AGAACATTATTACATGAAACGGTTATAAATACTCAGCCTGACGTCTTTTAATCGTATTTTAATCCATTTATTTGATTCCATTTGTGGCAGAGGGGTACATGCAGGGTGTTGTAAGGCAAAGAGTCCCTAAAGAAAACTTATTTTTTTCATATTTAAGCCTATTTTATCATTAATAACATTACATATAAAAACTTGGAAGACAGGTGTAGGTTCACTGGTGTTTTTGGATCATAAATAAAATGGCTGTATTTGTGTTGTAGACATGGTGACCCCAGGTTCCTACCACCACAACTATAAAGAAATCAGAGTCTGTGAGTTTCTCTACAAATCAACCATTTCACAACAAACCACTCTGAATGACTCTGCTTACATTTCAAGGACTGAATTATTCAAAAATATTGAAAATATGGTGGAATTCCCCTTTAATCTCTTTTGATGTCTGGTTCCCATCACCACCACTGTGAACAATTCTGATCTTAATCATTTAATTATGCAGAAACTTAGAAAAATCAGTGGAATTCCCCTTTAAGAGATAAATAGCACCATAACCATCTGTATGCAGTCCTACAGAGAACTAGTAAAAACCTTTTCTTCTACAGAAATAACCGCCTGTTTTTAGATTAGTTAGATTATTTTCTCACTTCGGCTCATTTAAACCCTAAAACTTCACGGTTCTCGGGGAGAGGTGCCGAAAAGAGCCGAGAGCTCCTCAGTGAGGTGAGCTCTGCTAGCCAGGCCTGTAGGGGGAGGCTACTGTCTCTCCGTGTGGCGAGCTTCCCTCGGAGGCAGCTGTGGCGATAAAACCGCGGGATTACCAGTCCTGTCAGTCCTGCTTGGAGTCAGAAAGAGGATTAGGCTCCTCTGGGAGGTGCCACAAGATCCACAGAGTCCTCAGGCAGCAGGAGCCTCGGGGAGAGCCGCACTCAGGCCTTGTTGCTGAGGGAGTCAGAGGAGCTTGCAAAGGCTGAACGGGCTTCAGCTTAGCCTGAATAAGTAGAGGTGACCTGCTGTTCGCTAATGTTCTCGATCTTGAAAAGGAAGGTGTGTGTATATATATATATATATATATATATATATATAAAATATCATTTAAACACCTCAGTGTCACTGCTGGACTGAGAATGGTCCACCAACCAAAAATATCTAGCCAAAAGTGTCCTGTGACCACTGGACTAGAGGATGACCAACACAAACTGTACAGCAACAGATGAGCAACACACACTGACACGCCACCACCACGTCAGAATGATCCACCACTCAAATAGTACCTGCCCTGTGGTGGTCCTGTGGGGGTCCTGACCATTGAAGAACAGGGTAAAAGGGGGCTAACAAAGTATGCAGAGAAACAGATGGACTACAGTCTGTAACTGTAGAACTACAAAGTGCTGCTATATAGTAAGTGGAGCAATAAAATGGACAAGGAGTGTAGAAACAGTTAAGGAGGTGGCTTTAATGTATGGCTCTTCAGAGTATATATGACCTACATTCATTAAAAGATTAAAAAACATGTTTTAAGCCAAAACTTTCTCTCAAAACTATCGTAAAAACAGTGCATTTGTAACCTTTTCATGCTATAACCTTCTGTCTTAAGATTATTCAGCTCAACACAGTTTCAGGCCAGCATGTGATCGTTTAGGCAGTTAGCATGATGCTAATTTGCTGTGTATAAGCTTCCATTACATTATTAATGTAGCTGATTAGCATTAGCTACATTAGCCACAATGGAGAGAAAGAGAGAAGCTGCTTTAGACGCCACCTGACAAAATCACCTGACTACCAAATTCAGGTTAGCACTTACCAGCAGGCAGTGAAAATACCCCACAGAAACACTAACACAACATAAATTAACTCTGAAGTACAGAAATGGGCTGTGATCTGATTTATCAAATGGCCTATATGTCAGTATGCATTTTCTTTGAGCAACAAATTTCAGGTAAAATTTGACAATTTATTCTCCACTCCATTCAGTTATTCACCACTGGCACAGATGCCTTCTACCGTTCAGTGGCATGAACTACAGCCACTGTCTCCCTCTAGTGGCTGAACATCAAAACACAACTGAAATCTAATTTGCAGTCCAACGTAAATATCAATATTGAGCAATGAAACCTTAACCAGTAACATAAAGCATTACTGACAGTATTGACAGCAAGCCAGCAGCTACAGAACAATCGTTAAAGGTACAATAAAGGGCCTACACATTTTATTTCAGGCTTTCAGACCTTAATTTTAATGGCAAAATTTATAAATCGGTACATCAATATGTCAAACAGAGAAGTCAAATTTTGTCTTAAAGATAAGTTGTTCTTTGTTTGTATTACAAGATGATAAAGAAAATTCAACTTAGAGAAAGGCTGTTTCTGAGTGAATTCTTCTGCAAGCCTCTTTTGTGAAGAATCATATAGTCCATATGCTATAAGGGGGTTGCATGGAAACTCAAAATTGTTCAGAGAAAAATAAAGTGCAAATCAAACACAGTATTTATCAGTTATTTGGATGTTCAAACATAAATCTCTACACTAGTCGACAGATCCCCGCTCCTTAAACCTAGCAGAATGTTCTTATCACGTCAATGGTTGCATAATATACATAGTAAACAGTAGGCTGCGCACCCTGGGAGCTGAATAAATACACGCTTGTGCATAATCTCATGGTCTGTCACCCAGTCAACTCACAAAGACTTATCAAGGGTGGCTTGTAAGTAGTTTTATATGAAAATAGTCACCATCAGGTTTAAGCAGCATTCAATAATTCAATAAGGAAGTGGTTGATTGCTGTGAGGCACTTCTTTATGCATCATCATTTTATCAGGTACACCAACCACATAGGTGTGGATTTGTAGATTTACAAAGTACTGATTGTAGCCAACTTACTGCCGTACAATTTATCAGCCCCTCCAACCCCATCCATCATGGAAAGGGCCCACAATGGGCCCACCACTGGTTCCTCTCTTCATTTTGTCACATGATGCCACCAAACTGGAAAGATGAAGGCTAGCTTGTGCTTTCCCTGAGTCATATGAAGCTCCACCGCTACTCCACATCATTGGACAGCTCAACACGCTTGAGGGAGGATGCCAATTGCCAGTTCTATTACATCAGCTAACAGATGCTGGCTAGCCAGTATGGTTCTCATGTTGGCTAGCCAGTAAGGCTCTTTTGGACCCCATGGATGGCTATGGCACCTCCGGGATCAAACGCTTGCTGGCCACTTTATTAGAAACATCAACCTTACTGATGATTTTCACAGGTAAAGACAAAGCTCATCCTTCTACATGCTCAATTTATGTTAGTCATCCAACACTTAATCAGTGTTCAGTTTCTGACCACAGGACCAATGTAGGGCTGGACACTTTTGGTTGGCAGACTATTTTCAGCCTAGCAGTGACAATGACGTGTGTAAAAATCCAAGCAACACTGTTATGTCTGATACTGTATGACCACCATGTTAGCATCACTGCTGTGCTGACAACAGTCAAGTGTCTGGCAAGCGCAGCAGGGGTCCGACAGGAGTCCTTTTCCATTGATAAACAGGGTGGAGGGGGCTGATAAACTGTGCAGCAAGATGGGCTACAGTTTATAGTTGTAAATCTACATGGTAGGTGCTTCTAATAAAATAGCAACTTAGTGTGCTTATATGTTCTTCTGAGCTAAATGTAAAGAAATGTAGAGACGTTCTTCATAGGACTTTATAGCCCTTTACATAAAATGACTATGCTTTAGTGCAGGAGAGCCCCTGACTTTAGTTGTAGACTTCATCAAACACACCTGATGTATCTCAGTTAACTCTGTCAAGTCTGTTAGATATGGGCTAAAACTAAACTCTACTGCACAGTAGATCACCAGGAGCAGGACTGCACCTACATACCTTCATATATGGAAGTCCAAAGCCTCAAAATGTAACTTTTTTAAGCAGAGTAATAAATTCTTCGGACAAAATAACACACTATGATGCAGTCACTGATTTAAAACATTACTCTCACATAGGGACAGGCAATATGGCAAATGTAAAACACTACAATATGATGATATATGATATGTACCACATTATGTTTTTCTAAGGTTGGATCAAACAAAATGTAACAGCAAAATGCTAAATAAAAAAAAATCGCTATGAGTTTTTTAATATGTTTTAAAAGGGGAAAGTCTGTGAATGAATTGTCATTGACAAAGCTGATGCTATGTTATCCCAGGTGGTTGCTAAGGTGTTGCTAGGCCACTGCTATTGTAACACCATGTTGTTGTTGAGGTGTTGCGAGGCTGTTACTGTTGTATCCCAAGGGGTTACTAAGGTGTTGCGAGTCTGTTGCTGTGGTATCGTAGGTGGTTACTAAGGTATTGTCAGGCCGTTTCTATGGTATCCCAGGTGGTTAGTAAAGTATTGCTAGGCCAGTGCTTTGTTATCCCAGGTGGTTGCTAAGGTGTTGCTATGCTATTGCTATACTATCCAAGGTGGTTGATAATGTATTGCTAGGCCATTGCTATACTATCCCAAGTGGTTGCTAAGGTGCTGCTAGGCCATTACTTTGTTATTCCAGGTGGTTGCTAAGGTGTTGCTAGGCCAGTGCTATACTATCCCAGGTGGTGGCTAAGGTGTTGCTAGGCCATTACTTTGTTATTCCAGGTGGTTGCTAAGGTGTTGCTAGGCCAGTGCTATACTATCCCAGGTGGTGGCTAAGGTGTGCTAGGCCATTGCTATACTATCCTAGCATGGCAGGCTGTTACTGTTGTTTCTGAAGTGGTTACTAAGGTGTTACCAGGCTGTTGCTGTGGTATCGTAGGTGGTTACTAAGGTATAGCCAGGTCATGTCTATAGTATCCCAGGTAGTTAGTAAAGTGTTGCTAGGCTATTGCTTTATCATCCCAAGTGGGTGCTGAGGTGTTGCTAGGCCTTTGCTTTGTTATCCTAGGTGGTTGCTAAGGTGTTGCTAGGCCATTGCTATACTATCCCAAGTGGTTGCTAAGGTGTTGCTAGGCCATTGCTATACTATCCTAAGTGGTTGCTAAGGTGTTGCTAGGCTGTTGCTTTGTTATCCCAGGTGATTGCTAAGCTGTTGCTAGGCCATTGCTATACTATCCCAGGTGGTTGCTAAGGTGTTGCTAGGCCATGGCTATGGTATCCCAAGTAGTTGCTAGGATGTGTGCTATAGGAATGAGAATTTGTATGTAATGTCTATGAAGGTCAGTGTGAAAGGTGTCCTTGTGACATCATATGGAGCAGTCAGAGTTGAATTTCTGAACATTCCCCCATTTGTGTCTTATGGAAAAAAAAAACATCTGAAGAAATGTTGTACAAAAACTGAACATGAGATCGGCCCCAAAAGCACAACCACATTGTTCTTTTGTATATGCTCTATAATTGCGCATAGCTTCGCTGCTCAAAACCATAAAAATGGTACAAAAAACATAGAATAATAAGATAGAAGAAGAAGACAACAACTTTGTCAAGCCAACCTAATTATGCAGAGCTGTTTCAAAAATCGAACAAAGAAAAAAAGTTGTATGATTAAACAACTTCTAACATTTTTATGGTACATGCCGTCATATTGCCCACCCCTACTCTCACATCACTGCTGCCTCATAGGAGCTCATAAGGACTCTCCCAACACTGGTGCCAAGACATATCTAAGTCCACAAAAAGATGAGTGAGAGTGACCGTTTGTACTGAACTTTAGGTTTGTGAGAAGTCCCTGCTAAGATTATTTCACTGAAAAAAGAAAGGATAAATAATGAAATGACACCTGAACATTGTTTTTATGGATGTGGGGTTATTCTGGAGGAATGCTGTCTGACCTGAGAAAGGCACAGTGGAGCTCAACCCCAAAACCACACACAGCACAGGAGTTCACACTGTGTAGTCCAACTCAGCGTTCATGACTGTGTACATCTCATAGATGGCATCCACAGTGGCGGTAAAGTTCACCAAGAACTGCCGGATGTTTGCCAGGCAGTCTTCCTCCGTGACCTCCTGCCCTTTGGATAGGGCCTTCAGGAAGTCTGACCTGTATGGTGCAGCAAGAAGTGCAGCCTAAAAGAGAGAAAAGAAATTGTTAGGCCTCCTTTGAGGGTAATATGTGCCACTGTGACCCCCTTGCCCTCCCCACCTCTCCAGTCATTTCTTTCACTTAACAAGGCCATGTCTTACCAGGACCTTGTCCATTTTGCAGGCTTATTAAAAATTAATAAGTAGATATTCAACTTCGGAGATTGTTCTGTGGCCCCTCTAGCATTTCCTTGCAGCCCCCAGTTTCAGAACCACTGCCTTATGATACCTTACAATGTAGCTACTTATCTGACAGGCAGAATATGGGAAAATGTAATTGGTTTGACAGTTTGCTTTAGTGATTACACGCAGTAAGCTGCCAATTTCTTACCTTGTGCCTACGCTCATTGGCCGTTTCATAACAAATACCATATACAAGTACAATTTCTAGGTAAACCGTTAGTGTTGCTGCACAATTATCCCCCCTCTACCCCATTTATCAGTGGAAAAGGACCACATTATGCACCACTAAGCAGATAATATTTGGGTGGTTATCACAGTGTCACTGCTAGTTTGAGAGCGTTCCGCCACCCAAATAATATCCACCCAGTTTTATCTGTGGTCAGAAAGGATGGCTATGGCTGGCTTTACACGGTGAAACTTTTATGCAACTTTGGTTGCTTGAAACCTACATGAAACTAAATTGCACTTGAGTTGCATAATGTAAAGTGTCCTGCAACTCACTAGAAACTCAGGCGCAACAGCTGCATCTCAGCTGTTGATTGTTTATTGGGTGGTTAAAAAGGAGACCCCCCCCCCACCGTATGACTCAAGATTGGTAGTTTTTCATTTTGTAAGTTTCTTGAGCCATGACAAAAACCATGGTTTCTCAAACTTAATGGTTCTGTAAACAGCTGCGTTAACTAGCCAACAGCTGTTTAGACAACTGCTTGTGCCGCCTTTATTCTTCTTTGTTAGTCTGCTGTCTTCGTGATTTATTGTCATTGTGATGTTACACAGAGCTCAGACTCATTTGGGATCCAGAGGATGAAAAGTAGTACAGAATGTGGTCCTTGAAGAACTTGCTGGATAAAGGCACATCAAGTAAGCTGTAACCATAATGTCTACTTAAACATTCATTTTCAAAGGCTTAACATACACACAACAGATAAAAATTCAAATAGACATTAGACAGATACAGAGATATAGAAAAAAAGAATTGCAGTGACAGCTGGAAAAAATATACAAAGGCAGTAAAATGCTGCAAATATGTAAATCACATCTTGTGGATGACTTTATAGATAAAACAATAAGGCATATCAAAAATGACAAGTTGCTAATTTGGCTAACTAGTTGAGGAATTGAATGGGTTGTGTGCAACTTTTTTTTAATTGCTTCTAGTAATTGTCAAGTTGCACCACTAATTATGTTGCAAGCAACTTACAACATGCAACTAGTTGCATGAAAGTTTCACCATGTAAACCAGCCTTATACAAACAGTGCATCAACAAATGTCCTACAGTCTCTAACTGTACACCAGTAAGGCGTTTCTGATAAAGTGGCCAGTAAGTTTACACATTATACAGTGCTGAATAATATGCGGTTCTATTCAGGGCTAGTCAGTAACTGTAAAGTGCACCTATGGTAGATTTACAGGATAAAGTGGTCAGTGGGTGCACTAGGTAGGCACGCAATAATCTTAATAAACTGGCAGCTATAAACACAAATGGCATATTCCTCCACTATCTGGTTAGCTAGGGGGTCCTATGGTGGTCCCTCTCCACTGAGGTAAGTGGTAGAGGGGAGATGATAAATTATGCAGTAACATATTGGCTACAGTCCTTAACTGTAATAAGCCCACGTACAATCATATGCAAAAGTTTTGGTCAAATGAAAACATAACTTTTGCACAGGACACTTTTTATGTTTTATTTCTTTTCCAATATGTTAAATTCAGCAAAGAAACAGTAATTGTGCATTAAAATGTACAGAAGTGTGTTCTATGTAGGGGATGTGTTAACTTATTTTCATATCAATAAAACACGGAATTTGACAAGGGGGCGCCCAAACTTTTGCACACCACTGTATAGGTCGCTGGCGCATGACATTTCTATACGGTCCAAACCTGCTGTGTGTACATATTCAGAGTTTCAATAAAAATGTGACTTTAGTTAATAAGTGGCTGTCAGGGAGTCTCCGCCTTGTACTCTGCTTCTGATTGGTTGCTCTGGCTCAGCCACATCCTTCCTCACTCTGCTTTATTTCTGTTCCTTGTTCCTCATGTTTCCCTCTTCTAGTCCTTTTCAGGTTTTTGCCTTTCACTGCTTGAAATCTGATCTACAATTATGGGTCCATTGGTTTTAACCCCTTTACATGGTGAAGGCCCAAAGTTTACTACACACTTCTATAACCTAAGAAGAGCTCAACAAGTTTGCTGTGAAGTTCCTGTAGTTACTGAATAATAAGCCCTAGTATGTTATAAGGGATTTTAAGGGGTTAACCCTGTCTGCCTGTTCTGACCATATTTCCTGGAATAGCCATAATAAAATTACTCAGCCCACACATCCACCTCTGGCTCCCCTCCATTACGCTTATTTAATAACATAACCCGAGTGACGCAATCAGCTACGAAAGTCTTGAGTTTAAATCCCAGGGATGCTGCAGCCATCGAATCGGCCGTGCTGCTCTCCAGCTGGCTTGTACTGCCTTTGGATGAATTTTCAACTCAGCTGGAAAACTGTTGCATCACCAGATTGCAACTATCAGTGGTTTGTGCTCACATGGTCATTGTGACTAAAATACAAAAGCATTTTAACACGTTAGCTATTGGTAAATTTTTGTGAAGTTCTTTAGGTTATTTCATAAAATGTTTAACTTTTTCAGAGAAAAACACTTTTATCACTTTTCTCACTTTTGTATTGAGAAAGCCTGGAGAAGAATTCCAACCAGACTGCGCAAAGGCAAAAGCACAGAGGTGGAAATGTCAAAGTCTGGGGCTGTTTTTCTTACAGTGTTATTGTTGAGCATGTACAAAGGCATTGTGGATGCAAACCTGCAGAAGTCTGCAAAAAAAACTGCTCAAACAATAACGATGTGAAACACACAAGCTCTATTCCAAAAAAGAAATTAAAATTTTGAAATGGTCAATTTAAAATAAATGCCACTTAGTTTGACCTCTTGCATTTCTTCTAAAATTCTCCTCCAACACGTCCCATTTCATCACTTTGTTCACGTTTCCTTAAATGATGTGTAAGGCCGCGGAGAAGCAGCTCCACATCACGATGCTCCCACCTTCGTACTTCACTGTGTGAATGGTGTTCTATGGTAATCTTAGCGCAACCACTCCATACATTACGAGCTGAATTATGAGTTCTGTTTTTGTTTCGTCTGACCAGAGTACATTGTTCAGAATTCCAAACTGGAATACATTCCAAAATGTATATTTTTCAGTTTTGGATACACACTGGAAGTTTATTAAATAACAAGCACAAAGATTCTGAATACTGAATACTTGTTTCCTCTCATTGTATGTCAACTGACTGGTCCTGGTGGTCCTTACCAAATAGAATAGGTGCTGTTATTCAGGCAAGGGGATGCATAACCAAGTATTCAACAAGAAATGACCCATGCAACTAATTTTTTGTCTGGGAGGCATATATTAGGTGCTATATACTGGTGGAGTAGTTGGCTGCATAAAAGTAAACATGAATACAAATCAGCTGTTTTTTAAATGTTTGAATCAACATTTTTTTTAAATATTGAGTTTTTATTGCTTCTCTGTACCCATATAAACACTTATAAACAGCTTTGTCTGTTATATTTCATTGTTTTAAAACCGTGCAGGTGGGTTCTGCTTCTAAACTCAACAGTTATGCTAACTCTGATCTCTTGGCCCTCCGAAGGGTCATCTCTTCTACTTCTCTTGACCTGAAGTAATAAATCTGCCCTTAAGATGCGTCATAGATTTTCACAAGAGAAAACGATGAGGGCAAGTCAACGAGGGTGTAATGAAATGCAGCTAACACTGAGGAGAAAATAGTCACATTGGAAAGCAATGTTCTTTTACTTTTTAACACCCACCTTGAAAACTTTCTGGACTATCCAGCCGTGGTACCTCTTGAGTGCTTGATCGTAGGCTTTAGTGATGTTGACGCGGATAAGATTGGGGTTGTTTTCGTCCCTCTCCCCGTCTGCGAGACTTTGCAACAGGATCTGAATGAAGCGTAGACCTCTGAGGAAGGCAGTTAGCAACTACTAATGTCTGAATTTCAAAACTTGCATGCTGCTTCACTCAATATCACCAGACAAGGCAAGAGTGAAACTGACTGATATGCATGACAGTTGTGCTGAGCAGTATGGATAAAGTTTACTATCCTAATATAAGTTTGTGTTAATTAATCCCACTGATTTTTACAAATTTTTCCATAACTCTAGAGAAACGTAGTCAGAATTGTTTGCAGTGGTAGTGATAGGAACCAGACGTTCAAACCGTTTAAAGCTACCTAGCAAAGTTATTAGGTGAAATGGCTGTTGCCTGAGACACTGTTTTATGATAGTTTTGAGATAAAGTTTAGGGGTTAAACGTACGTTTTAAACTCCATATTCTTTGTGGAGAGGTACAGCATTGTTAGAATGCAAAATAAGAAGAGAAAAGAAAGAAAATGTTTTTGTTAATTTTTTAAGATGTACCACTATTTCACCATTATCTGCATTGCGTATAAAACAAAGACGTGTAGATTCAAGGATAGTGAATAAAATGCCTGTATTTGCATTGTACACATCACGACCCCTGGTTCCTATCACCACCACTGTAGAGAAATCTGAGTCTGTAAGTTTCTCTTTAATGCACCACTTTACATCAAAACACTATGATTGACTTTGTTTACATGTCAATGATTGCATTATGCGGAAATTTGAAACAGTGGTGGAATTCCCCTTTAATGGCCCCTGCTTGATGAATGCTGGTATTCTATGCTAAAAGAACATGTTACGAACCTGATACAGCTTATTTAGATTGGACTGTTTTGTTTTGTTCTGCTTCTCTTAAACTGGAGTTCCACCAACTTAATCGGTAAGATGTAAACAAAGTCATTTAGAGTGGTTTGATGTGAAATTTACCATCACAGAGTTTTTATGTGTAATGTTGATGATGGTAAATAGTGGTGAATCAGGAAATATAGGTTTTCTTTAGGTCCTCTTTTGCCTTACAATGCCTTGCATGTGTATGTCATGAATCTATTTAAAAAAAATATATATATATATATATAATATATAATATATATATATATATATATATATTATATATATATATATGCTTAAGGTCCAAACTTAATCTAAAATAATGTCTCAGGCATCAAGCAGCTTATTTGTAACCGTTTCATCTAATAACTTTGTGATGCAGCTTTTAAAGGCATTAAAACCATTCAGATGTCTGGTTCCTATCACCACCACTGTGAACGATTCTGACTTGGTAAGTTTCACTAGACCTGAACATTTCACACCAAATAATTATTGGATAATGCAAAAAAGTGTTAAAAATCTATCAAATTTCTCTTTCAGATTACTTCAAAAGGAACCTTATATAGTACTGTAAACTTGCTATATCATCAAAGCTGCAATATGTATTTTCATTAAAATAAAAAAAAGTAGCATTACTCAGTCAGGAAACAAAAAACATGCTTAAATATGGTGAGTGTGTGCTGCTGTGAGTCACCCTGTAAAGCCTGAAATAGTAATTTAAAAGTCAGAGGCGTTGGGTTGGGAGTTTTTTGGACCATGTCATATGTCTTTACATATTAATGTCACACGCACAGGCTCAAAAAAAAGGTCCGGCTCTATATTCAGGTCTCAGATGCAGTATAAATCAACATTATACTGATGAAGATATGATGACAATGGTAAATAATTCACTCACATCCTCAGAAGACACGTCCTTCACCGTGTTTTGACTGAGTTCTCTTTAAATATTCTTTTAACATGTTCACAATCATCAGATTCGTCCGCTCAAGACAGGGATCTGAAGCACAATCCATGTGCAATTGCATGCAATTACACATTTCCACCAAATTCCCAAATCTTACATAGTGCAGCTTTAAGTCAGGCATGTCAAACTGAGGACCTTCCAGGCTAAAATCCTGCGGATATTAGTGTTTACCCTCATCTAACGCTCTGAATTCAGTTCGAGAATGTTTTGCTAATGGGCTGATGAGCTCAGATGTGTGGAATCAATCAATACAACTACAACTAAAAATCAATATTGTTGTGTGATATCAATTCTGTATACCGGTGTAGATGGTATATCTCCCTGCTCTACATGACAGAAATCGCTGAATACAGTAATATTCGGCAAAAAAACTTACAAAATACTGTTTGTAATTTCATATAGGTGCAGAATCCCTTCTTACCTTTTTAACCACATGAGAGCCAGCGTGGCGCCTGCTTTAGGCCATTCTGACCCATAGATGCCCTTCTCAACCTCCAGAATCTTTTGGAGGGTCTCGTACTTTGCAGGGTCTGAGTCATAAACAGCTCTGATTTTCTTGAAAGGATAAGAAGCAGAGAGAGCTCACATCAATCTATCTGTGATGACACTTTACACTAAACCTTGGCGGCAGAATTAGATTTATAGCTGAGACTTACTGTGATGTTTCCATTTATGTCAGCTTTGATAGGGGCGAAAACTTTGGAACCGAGGCAGTCTGTCAAAAAGAAACCAGTCAGATTATCAAAAGTGAAAGAAGTGCAGAGTTTAACACGGAGTCAGCGCTGGGTGTGAACCTACACCAACCAGCCACTTCATTAAGTACACCTCACTGTTTCTACACTCATTGTCCATTTTATCAGCTCCACTTACTGCATAGGTGCTCTTAGTAGCTCTACAATTACAGTCTATAGTACACCTGTTTCTCTGCATACTTTGTTAAGCATGACAGTAACTGTGATGTATATAACATAATTGACTATAATATGCATTAAATCACTGATTTATACCAATATCATCAAATGTTACGCGCAGAACACAATGTTTAATGTGTTAGTTCAATACCAGAAAAAAACAGGTTGCACTGGTCAGTTTGGATCTCCTAAGTGCTGCTACTTACCAGTTACAAGTATAAATGCATAAAATCAGTTATTAGTCTTTAGAGCCAAGGATACCGGCATACAGGGGGTTGACAAAGTAAATAAAAGAAGCAAGGCTGTATGTGTAAACCATGCATTACTGAGGACTATTATAGATGGTTTATATATAAATATATATATATATATATATATATATATATATATATATATATATATATATATATACACACACACACACAAGCCATTCGTAATGGTCATTAAAACAACTTTGTTTGATGTTCTTGACCCCGGTGACCTAGAAGGCGGAGTGGCCTTCTTTGAGGAGAGCGAACAGAGCAGTAAGCCCAAGTTGTCTAATGAATATTTAATAGCCCTGAGTTTAATATTAGGACTGCACCAATGGGGACTTCGAAAGCTACTTGGCGCCCTTATTTATCCAAATACTCTCAACCTCAGACTTCATTTGAAGAAAAAGAGCCTTATAAAAACGCCTAATGGAAGCTTTATGAGGACCTTTAAGGAGTTAACTTTATTCCTAGCAGTCACCTGGAACACTGCTCCGCTCGAGCGTACCCTGGTGAGGCGGTCTATGGAGGAGAACCGTTAGCTGTGCCGTCTTGTTTATGTCACCCTTCGCTACCCTCTACCTTTAGACCACGACAACTTACTGTCTCTCCGGCTAACGTTACTCACCGAAGAAACGCGGAAGATGAGACACCGACTCCAAAAACTCTTTTGTGGTGACTTCGTTGGTGTTTGGGAGCTGGGCGAACCGATTCTCCAGCAGGAGAGCCATCCTGAACCAGGCAGATGGAATGGAAAAGGGAAACGTGGAGCCCGTCAACAGCAGCACAAGAAAAACCCGGAACAGCCGGGAGTGTCACTCGCACAGCAGCGCGAGGGAGTGGGCGTGGCTTCGAGCGGAATATTCAACAGGTGCTTATTTAGCGAGCCAATGGGGAGGGGTGACCTCAGAGGGCGCGCTTAAAACTGACCAATACATGCAGTGTATGCAAATTAGGAGAAGGCGTGTTTACTCAAGTACACAGAGCTGAGCGGAGTTGAATACTAGTATGATAAGTTGTGTATTTATTCATAAGAGGTCATTTATGTACCTCATTTATGTGTACATAAGTGGAGTGCTGTACAAAAAATAGAGTCTTTCACAAAGCAGGATTTCTCAGTTTCACCAGATAACCCACTGCACAGATGGGTTAAATGCAGAGGTGAAATTTCCCCATTGTGGGACTAATAAGGGTTACTTAACTGTGCAATAGGAAAAGAGCAGAGAGACAATCGTTGGACAATTGTCAGTTTTCGGCTCGTTATCTGGCTAACTCAGGCATCCTGCTTTGTGAAATACCTTCTAAGATAGCCACATAACTTAAGCCTGATGTTGAGGATTATCCAAATGTCCTTTAGCTCTTTTCCTATTGAACAGACTTGAGTTCAGGCTCAACCTACCTGGCTAAACTAAGGAACCCTACTTAGTGAAATACCCCCTAGAGGTGCCCAAACGTTTTGTCTTAGGGGGCCACAGAAACAAAACAACTAGCTAGCAACACATTAGCTTTCCATTTCTCACTTTTTGCCAGTATACCTGGAAAAAAATATATCCTTTAAATATTCAAACGCTTTCATTACATACAAGATTGCCTTTCAATTCAGTGAAAAGTAATTTCTCTCAATCTCCTCTTGTTCTCTAACACAGCACGCTACTCTCTATTAGCTCTTATCTGCTGGCTACACGCTGTGTTGTTCAATGACAATTGCATGGTGTGTCAAGGGTCACTGATTTATTGTTTTTTTTTAATAACATAATACAAAGGGTAGTTTTCCCAGGGTTTAAGGAAAACGTAGTCCAGGACGAGGCCTAATCCCTTTTGGGAAAACTAACCCTATAACTTGTCACTAAAAGTACTTCAATTATAAAAAATTTAACACAGAAAAGAACAAGGCAAAAAATAAGTATAAAAAGTGTGTTCTCTCTTTGGCTGAGAGCATGGAAGGGAGGGTACATTTTCACACATCCTTGCCAACTTTGGTCCGCAGGCCCTACTCCGGGCAGCCCCGTTCTAGACAGCATTCACACATGCACACATTGAAATAACACTGTCGTATCTTGTGCGTGACACACGTTATAAATTCTGGTTTATTATATTCAATGGCAGGGTTTTCACAGAAGCGAAACCGACGTTTCTCTTATTCCTGTACGAGGTCCACTGTGTCGCTGCGCCTTGAACAGATATCTATTTGTAACAGTAAAGGGATGGGATTTAGCCAACACCACCTTATTAGTTGCATATGTAGTAGACAGCTAGCAGCATTTATATATTATACAAAGTACTGAATAATACGAGGACAAACTAATAATAGCACCACATATAAAAAAAATAAAAATCACAAGCGCAACTGCTGGTGGATGTTAGAGACATTAGTAATTGAACACATCCTTTGGATGAATCTCAATTCACAATTGCACAAAGCACAGGTACAAATAAACGCAATGGAAAACAATAGTGGGAGAGGCTTCTGTCCATTGTTATTAACAAAAAAGTACTTGAAGGAAGAGAACAAATGTGGTTCTGTGTTTTAAACCCAAATATACGTCCAAATCGAAGACAGTGTTTTGGGTCTCTGGAACATGGTAACAAGAGGTTAGAGCAGTTGAGTATATAGTATATATAGTAAACATATATATAAAAGTGAGTGAGGTATAATAGCTTACAGACTAAAGCATACATGAAAAGACGCTCTACACATCTGTTAAAAAGTTACAGGATGAGGGATAAAGTGGTGTTTCATGCAGAAAGGCCCAGAGGACTAAATATTCACTGAACAGATCACGGCCGGGTTTTATTACAACAAGAGATTGCATCGTCACACGGCAGTTGCTCCGATTGCAACTCAACAAGTTATCGGAAAATGGCAGTACAGACTGAGCTAGATGTTGGTTGACGGTGAAAACCTACGGCCTGTAGACTTCAACAACATGTTAACATGCCATTATGTGTCAACATTGTAACAACAGGTTATACATCAAAGGTTATAATTTAAAATTTAAAATTTGGTTAACAAAAAAAAACTGTGAACCGAAGTCCTTTAAATAAAAAAAAAAATACAACATAATACTTTTCAGAATACTTAATACTGATGCCGTAAAAAATAGTAATGATGGCCGAAGCCTCCGTATTGAAATGAGCTGGATAGTGGTTTCCAATTCTGGTCCTAAAATACCCTGGACATTTTAGTGTTTTTCCTGTGCCAACCCTTCCCCTGGGGATCTACTTTCCTGCAGAGTTTAGTTCCATCCTGCATCTAATATGCCTCCTTCCCCTACCTAACACTAATGCATCTGATCTAGCCAATCGAGAACTTCTGAAGAAGCTAATGAGCTGGAGCAGGTGTGGCAGGATGTGGTTGGACCTAGACTCTGTAGGAAGGTAGAGCTCCAGGACCAGAGCTGGTGACCACTGCACTAAAATGTGCTGGGCACGTGTAATCCAGGACCAGCATTGGGAAACACTGGAATAGAACAAAGGGCAAGACTCCGGCAGGTCAGTTGCTCTCTTTGGTAGTGACGGTGACGAGCTGTTTGGCGGCCTTGGCGATGTCGTAGGCGCACTGGATGAGCTGCTGGGTGACCAGCTGGGCGTCGGCAGGGCAGGAATCAGCCGGCGTGGCCCGGTGGCACTCGCCCTGCAGTCGGCTGGCGCTGGAGGTCAGCAGGCGCAGTGACCCACGCACCATCTCTGAACTCGGCCTCTGAGAGGGGAGAGACACAAAGGGTATCGCTTATCACAACCATGTGGTGTCAGCTGTTTATTTAAATTCATGGCAGCTCTGGCAGTGAGGTGGATTGTAGGTTTAACCCCTTTAACCCTAAGGAACCTGTATGTAGGTCCAGACTTCTCAAGCCCTCACTCGTACAGCTCATTTCATACAGAATAACTTAATACAGTAACTAAACAAGTAAGTCTTAAGAATAAAGTCCACCAGAACAACAGTGCTTGGACTAGACCCTGACTGATACCGGCTGACCGACAGTAAACTGTATGACAGCAATACAGGCTAAATGAGTAAGTCTGAACACGTCATGGTTAGTATTACAAAAACATGTAAACTAATAAAAATGAGATATAATAAAACAGAAATGAATTCAAAACTGCAAAAAATTAAAGGCAGCTCTGCCCCTAGTGCTACAATATTTGTATTGTTTAACTGTGTCATTTTCTTATTTTATTTGAGTGTGTTGACTCAGTCAGCATGACTGACGTGGCAGGGCATTCTTTACTTGTATCCAATATTCTGAATTTAAAGTTTCTGAATTTCAAGTCTTTACAATACTACTGTGTAATATTTACCTTTATATTAATATTCATACACGTGATGACTTGCTGCTGTCGGCTTTTGCGTTTGCTATATCAGGTCACTGCTATGGTTTCTTACGGTTCTTATGTGTAACCATATACTCCCAACACACCTTCCTGTAACCTGTGACCTTTTGACACCTGATGTGAACGTCAACCCTTTACCCAACATGTACTGATGCTGCCCTCCAATGCTTTGAGCTTAAGAAGTCTGACAACTCAGAAATGACAATCGCATCTGTCAGGAAAGCCTTGTTTAACCAAAACTACTGGTGCATAACTTAAATTATAAAATACAAATATACAATTACATCAGCAGGCCTGTCACAGCCATTACATTTTAGCTGATGATTTACTGGCATATGTATGTTTGCAATCAACAAATTAATAATCATTTAAAAGTTTAAAGTAAAAGCCTAAAGTGACTAAACTGGCTGATTATCTCACTTCCTAGCTGTCTAGACTTACTAGCTCCCAAATGATGGCAGAAATGGCTTGAGCTCAAATAGACAAAAAGGACTCATTGCTGCCCTCTAAAGGTGCTAGAGCACCAGTCAGAAGTCAGAACTGTTTCTTTCAAAAGACTCATGATGTGTTCTGCTTTCTTTCATTTATATGTATTCGCCTCAGCCCAGGGGTTGAAAACACACATCCTGCTTGCTGTGATGTAAACAATTGATTGTGAAAGCTAACAACTGTGTTAACTGGAGTCAGCTCAGATACTTCAATCAGACAATGATGTAATAACTGTGACAGACCTATGCACCGGCCAATTTTATTGGTCATCCGAATTTTTAATGCCTTAAAATCTGTATTTTAGCTTGAGTCCATAATAGCTGGATAATAATGATAAAATTATCTCTGGAATAAGGATGGTAAAGTGATAAACTGTTTTGAGTATTTTGCTGATGAACCAGACTGTTCCCCAATTTTTAGCCACAGTAACGGATCTTAAATATATGAAGCATGGAAGCTCATTTGTGTCATGTGGAAAAAATATCCAGCCATTTAGTAAGTCATAATAATGAGAAAGTTTTCCATAATTATGACTTAAAATATCAAAATTATGACATCTCACATCTCTCAATAACATGATATCTCAATAATGACTATGTATCTCAATTACTACTTACTAGTATCTTACTTTTGACAATAATGAGATCTTCTCAATGACATCCTATGTCATAATTATGACTTGGTATCTCATAATTACGACTTAGCATCTCATATTTATGAAAACGTCATTATTCTGAGATCTTAAGTCATAATTATGAGAAACGTCCTCATTATTATGATAACTTTTTTTTTCCAAGTGGCAGAAATAGGCTTCCATATAAATCAGCACTCTTGCCCCGATATGTTTTGTGACAGTTGAGCCTTATTCTTGATTAATATCACAAAAAAAAAGAAAAAAACTGTTGCATCTCATATTAGGCAGTTTATAACAGCATAACAACTTTCTGTTTTTCCCTTACCTTGGGAAACAGGGTAGCCATTTCAGTCACAGCTAGATGAATTCTTTCTGAACATGGAACAAAGCTGACAGGACAGACAAGAGAGAAATGAAAGTTATTAAAGTTATCAAAGTTATCAACCAGTTATTAAACCAAAAATGCAAAAGATATGCAAGGCCACAGAGCACACAATGCAGGAAAAACAGCACTGCTGCACATGAAACAGTTTTACATGAAAATCTGTGACATTTAACGCTTTTGAAGACCAAATATACCCATGACTATCTACATAATACTCTAGCATTAAGGCTACTTTTTAGCTTCCAAATCACTTGACAGTATGGAATTTCAAGTTCATGATCTCATATTTGCAGAAAATACTAAGTCAATTAATAAAACAGGTGGTATGATTTAAATCAGCTTAGCATGGCATTCAAAATACCACAAGTGATTTGGAGCACGTACATGGATTTATCACGTACTTCTCTGACAGTCCTACTATGAAAACATTACTGAAGCTGAAATTCAAAGTTGAACAGATAAGAACAGATCTGGCATGAAAAGAGTGATGAATGCTCATTGTATTCCATTGTCTTATCAGAGTGATATAAATGGCTTTACAAAGTTGGCCCTGTTCTAGAGATTAGCCACTGATATGCTACTCGTTGGTACCAGTTCCTCATGAAACAATAACTGTCTGGTGCAAAACGTTTCGATTGAATATCAGCTTGTGACAAACAACCAGCAAACTGATCAAACTATCTCACTACTGGCAAATTGTACCTGGTGAATTAATACTCTCCAGCAGTGCTTAATGTTCATGGGTGTGGCATGACAATGGAAAAAAGGCAAAACATAAACAAATGCAAACAAGATATGAACACAAAGAAACCACACACATACATGCAGAGTCACGTGAGTAGGAAGCAGTCAGCAAAGCTTGGGCTAAACTGCTAGATTTCTTTATGTTTATGCTCTTGGGCAGATAATGGTCTGCTGTGTAAGTAAAATTAGCTGTGTATCAATACAATGGCAATGAGTCAAAAAAAATATTTTCATTTCCACATAAAAATATCATTTGGACAGACTGATCTGACAATTATGTTATGACTAAGCTTTCCGTAAACCAGTAAGAGCAAGGCTTTTGTGAATGAGTATAATTTGCCAAGACATGCGGGGGACTGTCTACACTCTGCAATCGTTATAATCATGAGGGCGTGCTGCTCTGAATGCCAGCTGCGTTTGACAAACTCCCACCACTCAGCACCCACACAAAAGAGCCACTGTCCCTGAGACAGGGGGCAGAGTACCAGGAAGCAGGGTCCTGCAGAGAGGGGTCTCTCTCGGCCTGCTCAGCGCAGGGCAGCAGACCACTGAAACAGCCCTGACAGAGCTGGGAGCTGCCTCGGAAGAGTCACACACACACAGGTTTGTTTTTATACAATGTCATATACTCAACCCAAATCAAAATATGAATCAAATATGTAAATATGTATTAAATATGTGATCTATGTATTAAAGGGACCGTAACATTGACACCTAATTTTCCTCAACTGTATAAAATAAGAGCTGTTAAAAGTTTCCAAACATGCCATTCAGTCCATTTATAGAAACTAAGGTGTAAAAAAAGCCTGTTTTGAATCCACTGTTTTTGTGATGTCACAACAGCCAATACATTGGCATCTAACTGACTATTCAGCCTACAGCAGTTTAGCCCCAAGCATTCACCACTGAAGTTATGAGGAGTGTTTCAGGCCAGACTGCTTTTTGAAAGAACTACAATACAAGGCAGCCAATCAGAACAGAGGACATTTGCATGTATCAGTCTTAAAGGCACAGTAACAAAGGCAGACTGTTCAATTCTAAAGGAATAAAGAGAGGTTGGAAAATGGTCATGTAAAAGTAAATTAGCACTGTTTTTGATATACAAAACCACACAAATGTTAGAAATGGGTCTCAGGGAAAACATAGAACAGACTAAAAGTACATGGATCCTTCTATGTTAAAGGCCTAACCTTAACTTTAGTGGAAAAAAGAAGTTAAGGAGAACAAAAGAAATAGTTTTGCCTAGGCATGCAAATTTCATCAAATAATTTATAAGGAGACTGTCAAAATATCAATTATTATATGGACAGATCTGCTTCTAAAACCTGATTGGCTATGCCTTGTTCACAGCCACTGTAAAATAATTTATGTACAAACACTTATGAGCACACACATCAGCTAAATCTTGTACTAATGCACAAAAAAAAGTGTTCCTTATATGGATTGTGGGACATAGCACTGATAAGCAGTGCCAGGCATTAGCAATTATATAAAAAAAAAAATTACCCCAACCCATATTAAACATACCCGAAGTAAGAACTGGATTTTAAATCAAGGTGTTGACAACAATATGTTCAAGATTATATGATCAAAAACTAAAGAACTCGATGAAATGACTAATATACAGTGGTGAGCTACTAGAATTTATACATTCTAAAGTTATATTTACCACTCATTATTAGCCCAAGTTCAAAGGAACAGAGATGCCATGACTGGGGCTAGTTTTAGCTCAGTGTACATCAGTAGCTCTTGAAAGCTGCCACCATCCATCACATCCTTCTCTTTAATTTTGACCACTGATGTGTGATTTCCTTTTACCGCTGTGCACAGTTTCTCTTGAAGAACACAGACGAAACACCTGTCTGTCGTATTTGCTTTCTATATGGTACATCACTGTAGTTGTGCTTTCGTCCTCTTGACAAGTGGTCCTATTTTTGGCTGCGTGCTTCATATTTTAGTAGGTCTAACTATTGAGCACAGTTTATATATGTTCCTCAACTTGAATGACAAACCTGGCTATTCAAATATGGCCAGTTATTTATTGGATACAAAATAAAATTAATGCTTTTTTTAAATAAAAAAAGATAGCATTAGTCAAACAATTGTTTATTTGTTGACTAACGGTTAATCATTAACATCCCTTGTTTTACCCTTTCCTTTTAAAATAAATAAATATGTTGCTTTTGAAAAAAGCGCTCCACAAAGTCAGGTTATCTCTGTCTTTCTGTGTTTTTTCTACAAAGTCTGGGCATTTCTGTCCAGAAAATATACAAAAACAAGCACAAAAACATACATGGGCACACCAGCAAGGAGGAAGTGAAAACAGAGGACGACAGGAGGACAAATAATTGAAGAGAATTTCTGTCAGCTTCAGATTTCATTTCCCATTTTCTTGTTCTATAAACAATGGTGACACCACAAAATGGTGCCACTGTACATAAAATGGACTTCTGTTAAGGAACCAGACACCATATGTCCAAATGTTTGTTCAGCTACTAACGGTGAACCCGCTGATGTTCAATTGTGCACACAAAGCTTGTACAATCTCCACAGAAAAGCACTGTCAATAAAATGAGGCGCTCTGGAGCAGCAGCACATGAGCCTAAGGTCACCATGCCCAACGCCAAGCATCTAAAGGCGTATAAAGTCCCCAGTGTTGTGGGCAGTGGAATTGTGTTCTCTGGGATGAGCTGGAGTGGCATTTGTGATATAGCACTACTCACATCAGGACCTGACCTCCCTAAAACTTCTGTGCCTACAGTCAAATCCTCACAGCAATGTTCCTCGACATCTATTGTAAAGCCTTCCCAGAAGAGTAAAGGCTGTTACCGCAGCAAAGGAGGAACAAACTAACTATTAATACCCTTGATTTCAGGAGAAACGTTGGAGGAGCAGGAGTCCACAAACATTTGGACATGTTGTGCATCTTCCTAAGAGTGACTGTGTCCACTGAAAAACGTAATGCACTGAATTTTCTTTATTCAAATGTGTCATCGATTACATCAACACAGTTGTCTTGTAGTATTTTAATACTGGCAATAAGTAGACATGATGTGCACATCTGAATCAAGTTAATTCAAAGCATTGCTTTCTTCAGCATGTCCCCTTACCTCTCATGTTTGTTCTCCTGTGCGGCCCGCAGCAGCTCCTGGATGTTCTTGGTGATCTGTTCCGTCTTGCTGATGACGTCCTCTGTGGAGGGCAGAGTTGGGTCAGGCTCACACTCATCAGGGTCACCTGACTCAGGAATAGCCCCCTCTCCCAACCAGCCTGCAGTCCTGGGAGCACTCACTGACCTGGTACATGAGGCAGGGGAGAGAGTAGTGATACATTAGGTCTTGGTGTAGTAATACCCTTCCTATTTCAGTGTTTTACCCACTCACAGCTGAGTCTAATTGCTAATATGATCAGTAAATTATCAGTTCCTTCTTGAGCTCAATCAAGCGTACTAGACCAAGCAAAACCCAATACTGTATAGTGCAGGGATTTGGGGGAACACTGTCCTAACAAAAATTATCCTGCTTATCAGCTTACTAAGGCTGAAAGATTAATCATTTTCATTTCATAATCGCACACTGAGAGTGCAATTTTCAAACTGCAAGACCTGCAATTTTTATTATATATCACATTATCAACAGCACTGTCTAAATTTTACTGGGTATATTTAGCTTAGTAACTTATCAACATGTGTACATGACAGCTCTACCACAACTAACTGGCAATCTGTCATACTACATTAAGCCATAAAAATTGGATATGCTGGACGTCTTCGCAAAAGAAATGAAAAATTTTAGTCAAGCTTATGTAACGGGCATGGCTGGCAGCAGGGTAACTTGTGTGAAGCTGCAGTTAGCCAAGGAGCTAAGCTAGCAGTTAGCAATCTGGCTAACTCGTCTACCACAAAGCATCAGATAGCATCAGATAAAGGCAATGACTTAAGAAATCCTCCAGGACTACAGTTGAGAACCACTGCATTAGTCAATACCTTGTGGCAGTTAAAGTTAATGCCCAAGGCAAGGCGAGCCCAACCCTGTTCCTGCAGGGTTTACTTCAACTTTAATCTAACATATCTGCCTTCCTCTGACAAATGCTTACACATTAACTGGATTAGGTGTGTTGTATTAGATCTAAACTCTGTAAAGTGGCGAATGTCCAGGAGAAGGGATGGGCAGCCCTGGCTTAAGCACTATTTGATCTGGATTTGTTTGCCAGAGAGGGTTAATATGGGATAAAAATCTGTGTATTTTCCAAAGTTACCGGAGATAGGCTTTATGTTTACATCAGTGTTATATGACAGGCGACACACTGAAAAACAACATATCACAAGGCCGTGTCTATCAGCAGGTTTTGTTGTTACATTATCATAAAGTGGATTCAAACAAGAGGGTTCAACCAATTACAGAAGACCATTAATTGTGGAATTACCAGTTTTTAGACTCAGCAGATTCATACTTGTTTATAATCATGAATCTTGTCAGTAATTACTTAATCACTCAAATTACAGCACCTCCCCAGGTAAAACTAGGCCAGATTAAATTGAGTTTAAGGCCATTTTCACACCTAGATCATTTGCTGAATTCACCACCAGGGGTTGGGTTTTTCATTTGGTTCAGTTGGTTTCACATTGCAATAGCTAAAGTGCACTAAATTATACATGCGGGTGTTCTCTGATTGGTCAGAAATTTGGTGGAGATACAGGTGCTCTGTTACACACAAGTCTGCCTCCATTAGACCTTTTTTTTTTTTTTTCCATTCCATTACCCTATAATTTTATAAAATCCTGATCTATGCTGCAAATATATTCTTGATTAAATGCTACCTATTACGTTGCATGTAAATAGGAACACTTCATAGAAGGATCACAATCAGAGCAATAAAATAAACCTTACTGGATCTTGACTTTTTATGATTAACTGGTTTAAAAATGTATCAGTTTGAAATGAACCATCTGATCACCAATGCCCCCACGACCCAGAAGGATAAGCAGTTTCAGAAAATGTGCGTGTGTGTGTGTGTGTGTGTGCGCGTGTGTGTGTGTGTGTGTGTGTGTGTGTGTGTGTGTATGTATGTATGTATGTATGTGTGATCACCAATGCCTGGACCAGCCTATCAAAAATATGTTCCCTGGTCCATGTAATAAAATCAGGTGCTTTGCTATTGCTCATCTGCTGTTTTTAGGAGCAGCTTGTGCAGCAAGAACAGTATGAGCATCTGTAAACAGTTAAAAGGCAGATTATACAAAGTACAGCACTTTCTTTACTTCTGGAGCTACTACAAAAAGAAAAGCTCTCTGATGCTGGATTCCCCCATTTGGTGCGGACCATTGTAACAATGCGTTTCCACCAGGAGCGAACTGAAACAGGGTTCAATACAAAGCGGAATGATACACGTAAGCCTGTGCCATGACACCGGAGTCCTCTTATTCAGGTAATTTTGTGGAAAATAATCAGATTAAACGGTTAAACAGCGTCAATAGGGATGGGACGGTGACACTGATTTCAATAAGTAAGTAAGTAAATAAATAAGTAAGTAAGTAAGTAAGTAAGTAAGTAAGTAACTTAACCATGATGCTGAACAGTCAACACTCATGTGTGAAGCTCAAAAACTACTCCATCCTGAACTATAAGCCTGTCAACACATCGAACATCAGGATTGTTCTTACACCCAGTATTGTGTTTTAAGTGTGCGAGGCAGTAATGGCTACTGCAACAACAAGCATATTTAATAAATAAATATACAAATAAATAAACAAAAATCTCTGTTTGTTCTTGTGTACCTATGAAAAATAAATACATATCTATTTGTTTATGTAGTCTTTATAGAAAAAGCTGTTGAAGTTTGACTGCTGACTGTTTCTTAGCCTTTCAGTGTACAAAAAAAAAACAACAAAAAACTTGTAGTTCTGATCTGTTGAGCTGTTAGTATGTCAATTCTTTTTATTTTGCACAATAGTGAATGGTGCTTTTGTAATGCTGTATTTTGCTATTTGCTTAAAGGAGAGGTTAGATTTCTGTTTACACATTCAAAAAAAAAAAGGTCTGTCCTTGCAATTACCCAGTCGGAGGTGCACTAAATTTAATAATAATTTATCGCTTCTCATATAGACATCGTGATAACCAACAGCTTTATCGAACGTTGCATTTTATATCAATACCATACAGCCCTAGGGGCCTGAGGACGATTGAAACAGCCCATTTCTCCTGGTGTACAAGAACTGAGACATGTTATTACTCCAGTTTTTCCCCCCCCAAGAACTGAAGCTGTTTTGTCTGATGTCTGAAACCTGACACTGTGGTCTGAGGATATCTATGTACATTGTATCATGCAGACTACTTCCTGCACAGACAGAATGCATGCTTGCAGCACTGAGCATACTCAACAACAATCTCATCTACATGTGGTATTAATGTAGAATATCAATTCACCCAAAATGTTTAACACTTCAAAAATGTTTGTGTGTGGGAGCACTAGTGTCTTTCTTACTCCTCATGCACCTTCCTTATCTACGATACCAATAAATAATTTTTTTAAGGTTTTAAAAATGGTGCTAAATAAGTTTTTCCTATCATTGGGGGGCTGTTACCAAGATAACTCTGTAAACTGTTTGATTGGTCAGCACCAAACAAAGTAAGCGTGAAAGCACCCTGACACATTCAAGTGGAACTTGAGGAGCCGTACCCAGAGTCCTCCAACTCTGCGTGGTTGGGTGTGTTATCATAGTCGCTCTCAGACACGCCGCTCTGGCCGTCCACCCTGGAGCCCTGCAGTGAGAGAGAAGGAGTGGTGAGAGCTCTACACATGAACCCCATGCCTGCTTCCATCACAGGGCCTATCTTATTACAGAGAAATTCAACAGGGCTTGCTCAAGAGAGACATGGCTGTGTTAACAGCAGCCCAGGCGGAGAGCATGGGTCAGGCTGCAGCAGAGGGGCATTCCTCATGCTTTAGGTGCAAAAACATGTGGATGTCATAATTAGGCCAAGGAAAACAGATCATTACAGACAGACACATATTGGAAACACATGCACAAGGCGATATACTTCAGATGTAACAATGAGCACAGCTTTTCAGCCTCACTGTGGTCATAAACGCAGCATTTGAGTGAGATTAGTAGTAGGGCAAATAAGCAGCCCTGTATCTCCTATAAAGAGACTGTTATGAACTGAAATGGTGGTGGGTGAAGATACAGGATGCATGCAGATTTGCTGAGGGAGGGGGTAAAGCGGTGGGTGGAGGTGGGCTGAGGAGGAGGGGTGACGGGGTAGCCAGGCACTCCCTACAGAGGATGGCCTGTTCAGTGAGCGAGTACTTCACCCTTTGGGTTCGCTCATCCCACGACCAGGACAGGGAGGAGGGGAAGGTGGGGAGGGAGGAGGAGGCGGCCACGGAAGGACCCTTCCCAATCTAGAAAGGGTTCAAATCCAGTTTATGTACAGAGGCAGGGAGAATCTTCAAGGAATAGTTTGGCAAAAAAAACGAATTTACACAATTTTCCACTTACCCCAAATGTAATCAATTACTCAAGACATGGTGTTCGAAGACTGTTTCTTTAGTTTTGCACTGGAGCTACGAGGTTTATGTAGCTAGCATGGTGAATGCCTACATCACCAACTTATGTAACTGCTAACCACAGCGAATTGTGACATAACGTCAAATAGACATGGTTTCTGACACTGTATGATCCTGTTATATAAACAACACCTATATAAAAATGCACAATAGTACATGGTATAGTTAAAAATACTAGTAGCAGTAGCCATCTTGAAGCCTGAAGTCTGAGTATACTTTTGTCCATTTGTATTGATAAACTGAGGTAATTGATGGGATATCAGCTTTCACTTGTTAGCTACTGGGGATGGGCCAAAAGAATATACTTTTTCAGTAATAGAACAATGTCTGAACTCCATATTCCACCAGAGTCAGAGGCAATCAAGAGCCTGCATCTTACGTTTTTGTTCATTATCTTTATTATAGTGAGATAACTGGTGGGGCACAAGCTTTCACTTATTAGCCTCTAAGGACGAGTCAAAATTTTTGAATTTCTGAACAGTCATAAAAGTTAACACAACAATATTTTTTTGATATGCAAATTATCTTCTTTCTAACATCACACATTGTCAAATAGAAGAAGCACGATAATGTGTCTGAACTGTGTCTTATGTTTTAGGTCAGAGCTTATCTATTTAGTCCAAAGAAGTAAACACAGAAAGCCTACTGCAGCCAGCTCAGGGCTACCACACACTAAAGAAGAAGCTCTGCGCTGCGCTAGAACTTCTACCTCTTGGCAGCAGACGGTCCAAAGCGCAGCTACAGCACAGATGCTGCAAAACTAGAAGCTCAAGCTCATTTTATACTCCTGATTGTATAGATTTAACAGAATAAAACTTTGAGTAAACATAAACATCATTTAGTGAATTTAACCCATTTGGTGTCAGCTAACTAAAAGAATCTTCTGACAGGATTCGTTACCCATGGTGGGGTGGGGTAATGCCAATTTTTTTACAGGATGCCTGTAATGTTTATGACCAATTCACAAGGGATAAGAAATCTCTGTATGAATGACAGGGATGGGAGTCACTACTCAACTTATACACTACCTTTGCTCAAGAAACGAGTATTCCTTCTACCCTAACCATGTGTATTGCTATTTTAAGTGAATGCACTGGGTCATTAGCTTGTGAATTCACAGCTAACAGTGAACTGCATAAAATCAAACATTTTGTTTGGGAATTTTTACGTTTTAATGTTCTAAGTTGTAGACTTGAGGTAGGACAGCACAACCCAGCTTGATTTTAGCCACAGAGAGCCACACGAATAAACTGTTTTTCTATCCTTAAGAAACCCCTTTTGCACAGTACAGCATTCTTACCAACATGTCAATTCGCACAGATACATTATGTAAGGTAAAAGTGGCCAGAATCTTTACTGAAGCAAAAATGCACAGTCAATACAAATGACCGACATGGTGTATTCAGAAGGATCTAAACACTGAGAAATGCCAGTAAAAATCCAAACGGCTTTTCTCTACTAACTAACTCTTTGTTTTCATGCTAAAAGGTATGAGGTAGGTCTGGACAATTTAGCGAAAATATCTAATTGTGATTTCTCTGACCAATATTGTGACCATGGTTTAAACTGCAATTATTCTTTACGAATTAGGGGTTCAGTCCGTAGTTCACCAGACTGCCAGTTAGTTGTGGTTGTGATGTCATAGCATTTGGCTGTTTGGTTGTGCTGCTGTGATAATGTAGACTGTAATAAAACTGCTCTTAATTAATCTTTCAGCCCCGGTATAACGTAAAATTCAATAGGACTAGGCCAGTTATGTTATGTTACCTAAAACAAGGATTAGCATTTGTCTGTTTATCTTAAAATTGACACCTTTCTTAGCATAAAATTCAAGCCAGACATCACCTACTACGGATTTGTAGTCTGGGTTTGATATAGTACAGTAATAAAAAATGCTGAGTGGCTTCACTGTCTCTAGTAGCATCTGGTGTGTATGCAGTAGCCTGTAGCCTTATACCTTATTAGTAAGGCATTATTTTTCAAACTGAAATGTCAGATTTGACCAAAATGCCTATCCCTATTAGCTATATCAGCATTCAGTGCAAAACAAACAAAGCAAACTTCGGACACCAAAAATGTCTTCGACTGCCTCCATTTAGGGTAAACTAATATTCCTCCAAACTGTTCCTTTACATAATGATCTCTACACAATGGAAAGGATATGACAATGACTGATGATTAACCTCAAATGCAAGATCAAATACTGAACAGTACTGCTCACAGACTGAAAACACACTCAAAGCCAAGTGACAATCCTACAAATCATGCACTGCCCCCTTTTGGGCCGCACTTACGTTGGGTGGCAGGGGCTGGAGGGTGAGGCCGCCTGGGTCAGGGTGGGCACCGTCTGCTCTGGGGTGATAGTGCTTCAGGCCCGAGCCGGTCTCATACATGGACATGGCCCGGCCTCCACGGGGCTGCACCCGCCGCTGGGGGTCTTGCGGGTGGGCCAGGCTGTTGGCCCCCTGCCATTTTAGACTAGTGTTCTCGTTTTGCAGGGAGTTAAGCTGGAGACACAGCAAACACATGTACAGAGATGTTAACGGTTGCATACATGTCGCAGAGATCCAGCCACAGTTTCTTCATAGAACTGTAGTTTAAAGATCATCTTACTTATTAGAGAGAGTGTTCAAAGTGATCCTTGCCCTGGTTTACTAATGACTACAACACCTAGTATACTAGTTAGCAGATTGTACATGTAGTTTCCAAATAAATCGAGTTAAAAATGATTCTGCAAGTTTAACTGTTTCAGAAAAAGTTCATGTTCTGCTCTGCCTCATTTATCTAAATCTAAAATAGTTTTCTATGCACAGTAAACACTCGAGAAGCAATAGAATCTGCTGGTAACTAGAGCTTTATCAAGACAAACTATCTGATGCCTCATCAGACAGAAACGGGTCCTGACAGAAACACCTGAGCAGCTACTGGAATAGGATCTGTTTCTGAGAGGAGCTGCTCAACAATGCAGATCAGATAACCACTGTGAGTAAGCACAGGGGCAGCAAGGTTTCAACAAGCAGCATACCATGTGTTCTGCTTGACAGAGCATGAACAGAGTAAATATGATAAGAGTATGGATGGAGTATGGTAGAGAACATATGGCTAGAGTCACCACCTTGCTCTGCATGATCCTTAGCTCTTCACTCAGGTGGCAGTTGACCTTGAGCAGCTGCTGGATCTTGGCTTCTGATGCATTCAGAGCGCTCTTCACCTCCATGAACTCCTGCACCGTGATTGGTCCATCGGACAGGTCGGATGACTCCGAGCTCTGGTTGGGAGAGAGACAGTGAGAGGAGGAGAGAGGTCAGAGCACTTTGTCTGTTGATGTGATAAACAGCCACTATAGTTTGAGAAATGTGATGTGCCTGAGTGTAAATACTGGCGATGAATGGAAAACTGGTGGTTTGTTGAAGAAAAACTTCCTCTGGGACCAACCAGTGTCAGGGGGTGGACCATATGGCAAAAAGAGAAGTTTTTTTTTTGTTTTTAAGGTTTTGAAGCAAGTTGGAACTGGGCTTGTGTGATATTGTGATGGTCATACCATCGTCCAGTCGAGCCCCCTAGCCATTACCCACTGACGATACTATCATGCGGTATTTTACAAAATAAAATAAATCATAAACCAGTCAAAGCTTAGCTGTAAGCCTTCTGTTACTGTAGCTGTGCATTGTCTTTCCATGTCCTGCACAGCTTTATCAGTTTAACAATCACTGCCACGTGTAAGAAAAAAAGGAGAAAGATATACTTTACTGTGCTATAGAATGTTCTAAACCTAGACAACATATCAGGGCTGATTCAGAGATAGACTAAGTAGTTTTTGATATAGTACTTTTAAATGTGGCACTACTGGTAGGCCCAGGTGATGTGATCGGATATCGTTGACGATAACAAACCTTAAAAGGCGATAATCGTCATGTTGGCGGACAGAACTGACATAGAACCAGAGAGGACTAATTTACCTTAAAACAGCTTGTTAATAATTGTAAATGATGTGTACACAATGTTTAATTCACTTTTACTGTTTCCGTACAGCTTAAGTGCCCCAGTGGTTCAGAAGAGTTAAATTACAAAAATTATGAAAACATAATGCTGCATTTACATTTAAAGGCATCTACAGTGGAATTAAAGACTGACTCAGCTGAAACCACTTTAAAAAAAAAAACATGGGTATGGCAATCACTCCTTTAGAGAATGTGTTGCAGTTTGCCAACATACACCAGAAGGTGCATATGAATGCCTGTTTGCAATTACATCTACTACAATGACAGGTGAAGTAGTTTTAAAGTTTTTAACAGAACAGAAAGTAGGTCTAAGCTGCATACTGTTTTTGGGCTTTGGCAATCCACTGTCAGGCAGATAGCGAAGAAATGGAGAGCATTCATCAATACCTTTGCTAGGAGTGGTCATCTAACAAAAATCACTTCAAGTGTATAATATTCCAGGAGATCATAATGAACCCCCAGGATCTGCCAGCCACTCTTGCACTGGCTACTGTCCTCAGTCCATCAACAAGCAAACAATGAACAAAAACTGTGTGTGAAATGATAGTCAAAAGTAGTCAAAACAGAATTCTTTGGTGAAATGTTGTGTTTGATGAAAACAAAGCACTGCATTCCAGCCTGATTATCATCCTAACCAGGAAACATGGTGGTAGCAGTATCACGGTTTGCTGCCACATGACCAGGATGGCTTGCCATCACTGATGGAGCAAGGAATTCTATAGAAAACATTTGGTTGAAGTCACTGCTGCTCAACCTTACTGAAAGCAGAGGTTCACATTTTTTTCCCAAAAAAAAAATCTTTAATGTTGGATCATTCTGTTCAGTAAATGAATTACGTACAATGAATTATGAATTAGTAAGTAAATAATGTATGTTATATTCTATATTTTTTTTTCTTATCCATTTTTAGGACTTGGATAAACTCAGAAATTCAGAGTTTGCAAACATTGTAGTATCACTGTTTTTTGCCTCATTATCCACCCCTAGCATAAACTAAGATTATACCATAATGAGCTAAACAAATACAATCCAAATGTTGTTGTTTGAAGGCTCTTTTTTTTTATAACACATGCGGTTGTCTAGTGTTCTACAAATGCTGTTGATCCCCAAAATATACTCAGAAAAGCATATGATTATATAACCTGTTCCATGAACAATAACATATATTGCACACTCCTACTGGGCAGTACCTTTGTCCGCTCATCTTTCCCAGAGGCTGGCTCCCGTTCTGTATCTTCGTCGGATGCGACACTGTCATAGTCAGGCTGATCCAGCTCCTGACTCTCACTCCCATGGCGGCTGCCAATATCTTTTAGAATGAGCTCCACGTTATCTTGGGGGGAAAAAAAATCAATAAGTCAAAAGGGGGGCAACCTGGGGTTTATAAATAAATATATTAATAAAGTAATTACAGAATACTCCCTACCTTTGACATTGTCTGGGGAACTCCCTTGCTGACGACGCTTTGCATCAGTTAAAATGTCAATTACAAGTGTGGCAAACTCGTGTGCATTAAACCTTGCCAGCTTCTGTCTGCCCTGCATTACAAATGACCCAAAAAATTAAAATAAAATTTAAAAAGAGGAAGGTTTAGTCACTCATTGTATGAGGCTAAAATAATGTATGAGGAACTTGAATAACATGTGAGTGAAGTGCTGCAGGCTGGGTTACCTGGTTTCTGGTAGATGAGTATTCAGGGTTAACGGGAAGGAAAGGAACCACTGTGGTTTCGGTCACCAGGGTGCTGTGGTTCTGCGTAGCGAGCCAGACTGCAACCACAAATGCGAAGGTAAAATAAGTATTGCAACTTTTCACATGACTAACAAAAGCATATTACTAAAGACTTTACACACTGCACAGCTTTTTATATTTACTACTAATATAGTAACATATATTTCTTTCTTTTTTTCTTTTCAGAAGAAGTGCAGATTCCATTTTAACAAACCTGCATCCGTCTCTCTTCGATCGACTTCATCATAAACATCCATGGCCAACTCTTCAAACTGATGATTGCTAAGCTGGAATCAAAAGCATGCTCTTCAATAAAAGTGCTAAGGCTTAATGAATCGCATAATGCAAATAATCACCTAGAGTACTGGGTAAAGGCAGAGACCACCTTTCACTTATTTAATATTCAGTCAAAACGACCATTAAGTTACAAGTTATTCAATTTTCACCGTCAGGAAAAAGCAGAAAACATATACATAACAGAAAATTACACAGGAGCCTTATCAACTAAATATAATGTCAATTCTTTCAGTTTAATATTTTGTGTGTCCACCCTTTGTCTTTATTACAGCATTTAGCTGGCAGAAGACTTGTTTTTTTGGTATTTTTCCATACCTCTAAATTTAAAAATTAAAAAGAAAGAAAGAAAAAAAAAAAAATCAGCTTACTGATTGAAGTTTTTTCTTTGCAGCTTTGGCCAGCTCTGACAAATCCAGATTGCTGTATCAAAAAATAGATAAAAGCACACTGTCATATAAAGTCAACTCAAATAGGCTATGAAAAACTAAAACACGGACAACATGGGACAAACATACTATCATTTTAACTTACACATTTCTTATCCATTTAATGTGAGCATGGAGAAAAACCATATCAAAGTTAGATTGTGTACATCTTTTTTCTGTTACTGATAACGCTATAAAAGAATCGTAGAGTGTGAATCTTACCTGTCTGCTATCTGGGGGATTATAAAGTGCTGCCCATTTTTATGATCTGAAATAAATGTGAAAACCGTGATTTATATTTACTATAAATAAACGGCTCGGAATGCATCAATTCATTACATAGCAATCTGCTTGAAACCCACCAGCCTTGAAAAACAGAATGTATGCACACTTCCTGGTATTACTCTACCTACCAGTGTTGCGGAGGACTGCAGTGGTCATAATATTCACAAGGCTTGCCCTCCCACACCGTTCAACGTGCTATGAATTTTTTGTTTTCAGATGGTGCAGTATGATTCAATACATATGAATCAGTGACAAATGTGAAGCCGTATCAAACACAGGAAATGAGACAAACGGAATAAGTCAACAAGAGGCTGCTTGACAGACTGAAATAATTATGTGACTGCTCTACCAAAGCAAATAGCAGCTTTTACCTTTTGTGAATACCAAGGGCCTCATTTATAAAATCTGATCTCAAAATGGTCGTACGTGAAAATTCACACAAGTTATTTATTAGACAACATGATAAATGAATAGGACACTAATGTCTCACAAACGTGTTTACTATAGTAACGATATCATACTTAGTTTGAGTAAATTTATTTTTGTCTCAGAAGGTTCTATATAGAACCATATACAGCACATTCTCCATCAAGCTGAAAAACCCTTTCACGATGCAAAGAACACTTTAATCATGCAAAGGGTTCTTTGTGTGTTCATGGTCCACTCTTTACTAAAGAACCACTGAAGAACCACCTTTTTCAAGCGTGTAGATTTTAACAATTTACCTTTTAAAGCATCAGAGGTGATTCAAAAAGATTCATCTGATTTCAAAATGATTTATTTCACTTGTAAATCATTACAGAACAATGCAGTTAGTTGTAAATGGTTTAATTGAGCATAAAGTTTATTATGTAATTTATGTAAAAGTGCTCAATATGAACCTCCTCCAGCTGTACAGACAACATCAACGCCATAGTCAAATTCATCCCATACTCGACTGAGCATGTTGGGTGTTGCTGCACTCACGGCTCTTTCAGTGTGATTTCAGAGATCATCCAGTGTTGTGGAACCAACGACGAACGCTCTGAGCTGTTGGAGGTTCACTGCCCACGAAAATCACACTGCACAGTTATGAAGGATTCACTCTTATTGAAGTGGAGAACGTAAAACGCTTTCTGCTCAGGGGTCGCATCACCTTGCAGACTGAAGGGAGCCATCTTCCGGTGACAGTCAGAAACTCTATGACCCCCTCTTTCAATTGGTATGTGATTGGTTCCTAGGCGCCTCGCGGTTGTAAAAATTATGGTACTTTGAAATCGGATGAACCTTTTTGAATCACCCTGTATGTTACACTCATTTACACTAACAGTAGGTAATTCATTACAGTACTGAATTCAGTAAAAGTGACTACTAAAAAAGTACTTGGTCAGAAAAAATGTTTACAAATGCATGCATATTACTTACTTATTTAGTCATTCATTCATTCATTCATTCATTCACTTGCTCATGTAGAAGAGAATATGCTGCGCTACACTCTTTCACTTCTCTTAGGAGATTCATTCCACCTGTGCTCTTACTTGTTTTTTCCTCCTCATAATAACTATCATTCCACTAAGCGCTGGTTGCCAAGTAATAAGTATCTTTATGCTGCACCCAACTGTACTAAAGCCTTACTCTAATGTGATTATATTTCCATGAGGTCCTGGCGTCATTTCCTCATTTACAGGTGCTTCTCTGCAATTTTACTGCCACCAGATCGGCCACGTCGGTGAGAAAATTACAGGCCAAAAAGCCTACTGTTTTTCACCAACCTAAGTGCCGCTCTGATCATCATTTTCTAGGCAGAAGTTGCCACGTGTCGGGGGGCGGGGGGTTCGGGGTGGTTTTTGGGGGAAGATTTTTGACCGCTGCTAGTCGCCATTTTTGGTGCACTTATCAGAGGCCCCATATTAAATATATTAAACATTTTCCAAATCATGAAACGAAAAATTTATGCTTTTGAAGAATCACCCCATTTACTTGGCCTGGGTTGTAAAACTTTAAAGCATTACTTTATACATTACATTACATATGCACTAATCATAAACTTTTTAAGGAGGTTATTTTTTTTTTAGTTACCTAGAAAGAATTATCAGTTCTTCAAAGATCTAATGGTGAATTCTGATACATTAATACAGAACTAAACAATTCTATTTTCACATTTACATTGTTAATGTAATGCAAGAAACACACGTCTTAAAAATAATAAGAAGAAAGTTGCCTGTGCTGTGGTCATTTTTGCCAACCAGACACGAAAGTTTTATCAATGAAAAGACACACAAGAAGTTTTTTTAACAGACATCTCCCTGATAAACGAATCCAATACAAACAGGGATTAAGTTTATACTTTAGCACATTAGAAACATTAGGTAACTTCTATGAGATAATGTTTGACTTGCAGCCTGTTTGGTCAAATCCTGAAGAAGAGTGTGGCAGCAGGACTACATCAAATTGCCCCAAGGCAAGTTTTCAGTAGGCAGCTGTGAGGCAGAAAAACTAAACAAGCTGGTATTTGCCAGAAATTAACAAAATAATTTTTTTCAGCAAACAAGATGGGCTGTGAAAAGTTTTACAGACTGAACAAAACAAAACCACATTCAGGTTAATCTGGCAAATACTGAAAAAGCTGAGCTGTACCTGATATTTCAGCAGCTTTATGGTTCTATCTGTAACGCAAACAGCACTACTTTATGCCTTTGGCTCACGTGCATTCACCGTATTCACAGCTGTGATGTTATTTGCGTTGTTTGTATTATATTGCTATTTTAGGAACGTACTTACCCGGCCTTCTTCCACACAAGTAGAACGCTAGTCTGTCCGTCAGTTCATACTGGATCTCCACCAGCCTGTCAGCCAGCTCCTGATGCCCTGCTTGTCTATAGAGAGAAAAAAAGCAGATGTTATGACTCAGCTCAAGGACAGCAGAATCTTTACATAATATTATTATGATAAACAGAAGATATTTTACATCATTATGAATAATAACATATATGAGACTTACAATTACAGCCAAGAGGACAACAGAATCGTAGTTTGCATCAAATGTCCTGCCAAAGTACATCATATAACAAAATGTTCCCAGCACTAAATATTTTCAGTGCCATGAATCTAATCATGTTTGAAAACTTATTTTAATAATCTCCACGACCTAAAGCACTGAAAGCTTGCATCTGTGAAGCCTCACTGCACTCATATATGCATTACACTGTAAACTCAATTAATTAAATAATTAAATTGTCGTTTACTTCATCCATTTTTACATCTGTTGTAAATATACATACTGCCCTGCACTCCTGCAGCAGTGCCACAGTAGTCTCTAGAATGAGATTTGTCCAGTTTAAAGGCTAGGAAAACCCCCTTCTGATGATGCGTCTTAAATGTTAGAGGAACCTTTAAAAAACTACAAGTGCCTTGGGGGCGGATATTTGAGGGTGGGCTGTTTGAAATGCTTTCCCAACAGCTGGCTGCTAATGCAGACGTAAGCCAGACAGCTAATGTTACTGCTAGGAAGCTGAATATCACGTCTCTATTTATGTATGTTTTCAGTCAGAATTTCTTTATTGCTGTAGCGGATACCCAACGGCAGCAGGGCACATGTGCAGAATGCATGCTGGTTACTGTAGTGAGAGCACACAGATGGAAGAAAACACAAAAAGGATACAATATCCTCAATTCTATTAAACCGAATGGCTGAGAGATGCAATGCTGTACTACCGAATACTAAACAACATGACAAATAACATTAAAAGGTAATTTCTCATCTGAATGTCCCTTTAATTATCAATTGTCATCGGCCCTGAAATTCAGTATCAGCGCATCTCTCCTCCTTTTATCTGGCAGGACCGTCACGAGTCAGCAGTAAGTGTTACCTTGCATAATCAACAGGAGTGTTTCCACTGCTGTCTGGCGCACCGGGGTCTGCACCGTACACGGTAAGGAGCTCCGCTTGTAGCACCTGACCAGCTTTAGCTGCCACATGTAATGGAGTGTTCCCTTTCTCCTACAAAAGAAAGCATCTAATTATTTGTCCCAGTACTTATACCTGCCTAATAACAATTGAATAACCACAAAATGTGGCATTAATACTGAATGCTAAAAATAAGTAAGTAGATAGATAGATAGATAGATATAGATAGACAGATAGATAGATAGATACATAGCACAGCCTCCTGCCTCAATATAAAAGGCCACTTCACAAATCAAGACTTGCACACATCACTGAATGTGTATATTTCAGTAAACTCTCACAAACGTTTCATAACCTCCTACATGGAAACTTACTGGATGGAAAAAGTTGGCCTGTGCTCCCAGAGACAACAGCCTCAAACACGTCTCCAGATTTCCAGTCCGCACACTTGAGTGGAGTTGCTGAAAACAGTTAAATTATTAATCAGTTTAATTTTATATTCTGATTTAATTTGGGAATTACATTTGCTCAAAATTTAGGCAAACATGTCAAGCCAAGACAGCATATTATACTGATATATCACCATATTACTAACATGTTTCAGAGAAATTACATATAAAGCATAAACTACTCCAAGTCTTCATTGCTCACCTTGCTCAGGTCCTTCGCAGTCACACTATCATCCTCTCGACATGGCATTCGATGGACAAAAGCCAACATTTGGTATTTGGCCTTTATAAACTCTGTTTTATTAGGACTGTGAAAAAGAGAACCATGTTAAAGGGGAAATCCATTTTTCAAACTTTCTGCAAAGTTCAATTGTTTAGATGTAAAAGTAATTCAGAGAGGCTTGATGGGACATAGTGCACTGTAGAGAAGCTTAGGCCCAATCCCATTTCACCCCTTGCCCCCACCACGGGAAACTTCGAACAAGAAGCTGGCAAATAGCTGACTTCAGCTTCATATCACCAAAGAATTAGTAGTGGGTGATGATAATTAATTGCCGCATCCGCCCTCTTTGAACACATATGATGCCCTAACTGTAACTAAAGCCCAGCAGTGAGGTTGCTGAACCCGCCTCTGCTGTCACTGCAGACTGGCAGGGTCACCTACAGAGCAGCGTTAGTAGCCTGTTAATGAAATAAAGTTCCTTTTTATTTTAAGGGTCCCATTTCGTTGGGCAACATTTCAACCACTACCTGCTGTAACTCAGTTCCAAGGGGCAAGGTGACACTTGAAAATAAGGGGTAGGGGTAAAAAATATGAAATGGGTCTGGGCCTTATAGGCTCTGATGTCTTTACAGTGATGGTGGTAGGAACTAGGGGTCGCAACTATAGCCCTTGTGTTTGCAATATAAAATGACCAGTAAACGTACATGTCTCTGAGTTTCACATATAATGTTGATAATTAATAGTAAAACACAGGTAAATCTGAAAAAATAAATTTTATGGGGTACAATTTTTTCTTGTAATGTCCTGCATGTAGCTCTCCGCCATGAATGGATTTTAAGATATCTGGTTCCTGTCAGCACCACTGTGAACAATTCTGACTCAGAAAGTTTCTCTTGAATGGAGCATTTCACATCAAACCACTCTCAATTACTTTGTTTACATCTTAAGCACTTAATTATGCAGAAATTCTGAAAAACAGGTGGAGCTCTTTAAAAGACAGGTAGATTTAAACATCATATTAAATTCTCACAAATTAGGTCAAAGGTTAACAAGCTTCATTAAACACCAGCTCATTCAGTATGTCTGTAACAAGAGGAAGGTCACTTTAACAAAGCTACTACAACAAGATCTCCACGTGTAATGGGAGTTATCACTCACTGCACTCTGTCCTGTGGGTTCGCTTTGCGTTTTCCACTCATGATGGACGAGGGGTCGAGAAGACTATGCTCCCAGATTGAATTAGCCCCATTACTGTATAAAGTCTGTACCATCTGCGATTGAAAAGAAATTACAGAAACATGAGATCCTACGGTCACATGCAGCAATGTCGTTGGTTTAGCCTCATTCATGAACGCCCACCTCCGTTCCAGCAATCAGCATCTATCCGCACTAAAGCAACAAGAAAGAAACCACAACAGCAACCCACACTGCTTTCTTCTATTTTTATTTGAGGAACTGCGACACAATACCCCCATTTCCTCATAGCTGCAGCACACAGAGTGAAGCCCTACACTGAACATGAAACATCCAACAAACATCCGCTCTGTACCTGTAACTGGGACTGGGGCCACGCCGTGTGGGTCAGATGGCGGACCTGAGAGCTGTGGCGGCCCAGGCCCCTGTGGATGCTGCAGCATTCATCGCAGATAAGAACTCCCCTGTTGATCGAGGCCCAACGAGGCTCTGCGGAAGAAAAAGCTTTAATATATGTATTTATGACTTGCATAGTCTGTTTTGATTCTGAAGTTACCCTGTGATTTCATTCAGTATTAATAAAATTTCTATATGTTGGACGACATATCAAAACTTAACAAAAGTTTCGTTGCTTTACTGAACGTGGGTCAAGCCTAGTCTTTTCCTGAACTGTCAGTGGTGATTCACCATTGTCATTCCTTTTCAGTCTAGTTTCAGGATTAATACTGTTCTGGAAAAGCAGCTCATCGAGGAACACATTTTCACAGAATCATGAAGCAATCATTCGAAATATCTTCATTCTACTAAAGTGAGTTACTTCCACTTTTGTCAGGGTCATCTTTTTTTTGCATGGCATTCTCTGAGATAGCTAGACCACCTGTCTGTAGCTGCCTGATACCTGTTCATTCGTTTATCTATACATCTTTTCCTTCATTCACGCATCACTTCGTCCATCTGCACATCTGTTCATCCATGATTTCTACCATCCAGGTACCGTCACATAAAAGCTGGATAACGATGTGAGTTCTGTATGAGGGGCAGAGGAGGCTAGGAGTGCTGGACCCAGAGCTGTCAATCAAGCAGCTCATTAGCCACGCCCACACAGTTCTCAGATAGGTCTGAGCAGCGTTTTTTTTAGCCGTGTTTTATTATATTTACATCTTATATTTTTCACTCAAGCTTTGCTGGATGTTCAACATAACACAAGTTTAGTATCATACAGAAATATGTGTTCACTGTTACGTTAACTGTGACTTGTCTGGTGGTCTGTTATCAGCTTCACTGTTCAATAAAATATAGAAAGGATGGGAAAGTGTCACTAATTGCAACTCAGTAAGTCAGTAAGCAACTCAGTAAGTCAGTAAGTAACTTAAGAAAAGCTCTAATCTTTCCCAATGTAAGCTACAGTGTGTATAGCTGATATGAAATACACTTCAGCCTAAAACTAAAGATTAATATGCTGCAATAATACAGAATATTACTTGCCCTAATTCATGATTTTGTATCCTTTTTGTACTTCCGCCGATCAATATTCTCTCACTACATTACCCAGCATGCATTACGCACATACACAATAAAACGATTAGAAATCCCCCCACAGCTGTTGGAGCAGTTGTAGTTTTTCCAAATGTTGCTTCCACCTTCAAGGTACATCATCAGAAGGGACATTTCCTAGCCTTTAAACCTATAAATACAGCTTTAGAGACTACCTCGATACCATAGTATGAGGAAAGAAGGCATGTTTTCAACAAATGTAGTGATGGTTACATTTTAATTTTAGCTGGAGCGCCTCTTTAATTGCTTTGTATGAAGCTGTGATTGAATTTAAACAGATTTTACTTCAGATAAAAGACGTAAAACTGCTACATGAAGCCTGGCAAGTAGCAGACACTTTAACCTAACGTTTCTCAAGAGCTTAGCTACAAAAATAGCTTCACAAACACGGACAAATTTCCATTTTATCTTCATTTTTGCTGCCACTTGTCGGCATCCACAGGCACAGAGCTAGCGCGTTAGCCAGCTAGCGCCTTAGCCGTTTTAGCCAGCCACTAGGAAAGCAAACGAGCAAATGAAAGGAAGCAACAAGATGAATTAAAACCCGCTGCACTAATATAAAGTGAATTCTCTGTGTTTATGTCAGCAGAAGCGTTACTATCTGGTTTTCAGTCCAAGGCAGGCTTCCGTTAGATAGCTAACGGATTCGCTAACGTTATTTCAGATTGTCTTACCGGGGGCGCTGCAGTCAGCGCAGATTTCCCTGTTGCGAGGCCTCATTGACATCCTTTACTGCAAAAAAGTCCGTGAAAAATGGTCCTTTCTTTCACACTCATGAGACGGAATACATGTGAAACAGCCAAATATCTACTGGGGAACTGCACTGCGGGATGGAAAGTAAGTGAACTGAGAACAATTTCGCCCTTGTTGAGCCTTTTTTCAACTTCCTGAATGGGGAGGTGACCGAGCGGCGTTATTTTTTCCCACCCGTATTAAGACAAGTCCCGCCTCCTGCGGTAAGATTGGCTAGTAATACTCCCCGTGTGAATTACTAGCCAATCCCAACGTAATATGCAAATAAGAACGCTGCTTTTGCGCATTGATTACGATTCGATTCTAGCGCGGGGGCGGGGCTTGTCCGAAAACGTGTGGGGGGGAAAAATAATAACGCGGTGAGCGGAGCTGCCAATCAGAGAAGGAACATTTTTTCTGAATGCTGCAAAACCTGTAATGAATACTGAAGAAGATTTCCTACTGAAGCCACTGGAAAAAATATATATATCCGTTTAATAAGTCATAATAATGAATTTCCTACGACTTACTATCTCATTATAGTGAGATAATGTCTCATTACAATAAGACACTAAGTAATTATTATGAGATACTAAGTTGTTATTATGAGATAGCAAGTCATAATGAGATGCTAAGGCATAATTATGGAAAACGTTCTATTTATTCTGACTCAGTGAATGGCTATACATTTTTCTCCAGTGGCAGAAATGGGCTTCCACAGATTTCATCTGATTTTGATTTTTTTTATTTTTCTACATTTAAACACAGCAGCTGCCCTTTACATTGTGCGAACATTTCATGATAAATGGACTGATAGAAATAAGCTTGAATAGAATTTCTTTACACTGACTTGTATTAAATTTAAGAATGTTTTGTGCCTTCTCCTGTATATTTATTTATTTATTCATTCATTTGTTCTTTTATTTATTTTCAAGATATATAAATATTCTGCCTCTGTTGATGACCACTAACCTAAAGAAATCTCAGCATCTTTGATAGTGTGGCAAATCTGCACCATCATATTGAGGACATGCTTTTTTAAATGAGTGATTGCAGTGAGAGTCAGACACGTTAGAACTCATACATTAAATCTAATGATTGTATTTAGGTTGATGTATAGAATTTAAGCCAATAATATTTCAGCTATGATATGAGGGACTGCACGCCCAATAATTGTTTCAATATTGTTGTTGACACCAGGGCGGTCTTTGCACTAGGCAAAGGCAGGCAGCCGCCTAGGGCCCCCCTATTAGCCAAGGGCCCAATGAAAATATAATTGAGATATAATGTATGTGCTGATCTTAGGTAACCTAAAAAACAGCTGTTATTTGCAACTTCAGCAATTATTTTTAGTAACTGCAATGCAGCCAGACCCCCACAGTCAGACAATTACATGTTGTTACGCAAAGACACAACCATGTATAGACAGACTGGTATTAACAAGGCAATTAAGAGATAATTTACATTACATTTTCATTTGAATTTTGCTACCGATATGATTTCATAACAGTACATAATACTAGTATTAATGTTAGTATAAAAAGCTCCAGTGTTGGGATAATTACTCAAAAAAGTAATCCAAGTTACTAATTACTTCTCTCAAAATGTAATGAGATTATGTCACCTACTACTTCCTGGAAAAAGTAATCTCATTACTTATGACTTTACTTCTTACTCTGTACCAAATTATTTCACTATATTTAGGGGTCCAAGCACTGTAGTAGCATGAACCCCTATTGCTTTTGCTAGGATTTTTCTTCTTGTTGTTATTATATTTTTTTCTTCCCTTAAACTGATTGGGGAACAGACACTGTTCATCATCCAAACACCAAACTTAGAGAGTAGGTGTAGTACCAACTACTCACGCAAGTCAAATGACCCCAACTGGCCTGATGGTGGCCTGATGTCTTGGCATGGTTCTTTTTTCAAAGAGTCTAAAGAATCCTAGGAAACCATTCAGGAAGGAATAAAAGAACTTAGAGTTGAAATAGTTGCAGCCAGAACCCAAAAAAACATCAGAGACAGTTTTTGACCAACAGTCCGTTTCACACACATAGCACTGTCTAAACCACAGAACTCACAATGGACAAGAGCAGACACAGCACTGGTACACAGCCTCAACTTACACAAACAACTCAACATCACACCTGTCTGACACTTTTCTAGCTCCTATACAGATCAAATAAATCAGCTAACTGGCTGGAGGTTTATCATGATAAAATAATAGCGTGATGAACAATATGCTGAGCATATTGTGGATATTGTCTGTACCTAAAGAGCACTGACCAACTGCATGCTTTATTAAAAGTACATACATAATTAGTCCTGTTTAATTGGTTTTAGTGCAGTTCAGAATGTGAAACATTGAATAAAAGTCATTGTGCCCAGTGTTTTGATGTTGCTACTGTTGCTACGTCTGACAAATGTGGCATATTAATTATGAAAACCTCAAATTTAATGATTTACAGTGAGTTGAAACAAGTGTTCAGACACTTCACAAATACATATATATATATATATATATATACATATATATATATATATATATTTTCATTTGAATCACAACAATAAATAGAGAGAACCAAACAAAACAAAGAACACTAATACATTTCTATTTCTGACAAGTTTGGACTTCACCAGCTCACTGTCAAGCAGACAAAATTAAACACCACTGTTACATTTCCCTGGAGAGGTCATCCAACAAAAATGACTCCAGCATAGAATATTCTAGGAGATCACAAAGAACCTCAAGGTAACATCTAAGGATCTGCAAGTCTCTCTTTACAGTGGCCAATGTCAGTGTTCATGAGTCCACATTCAGGCAAACGCTGAACAAGAATAGTATGTATGGAATTACAGCATGGAGAAAGCCTCTTCTCTCCTGGAAGAACATTTCTGACTGTTTAAAGTTTCATAAAGGCCACCCGGATGAGCCAGAAGGCTACTGAAATAATATTACTTAGACAGATAAGGCAAAAATGGATCTTTATGACTTAAATGAGAAATGTTATGTTTGGCAAAACCAAGCACTGCATTCCAGCATAAAAACCTCATCCCAACTGTGAAACATGGTGGTGGTAATATCACAGTTTGGGGCTGTTTTGCTGCTATTGGACCACTACAGCTTGCCAACATTTGATGGTGCTATGAATTCTGGATTGTATCAAGAAATTCCACATGAATATACATGTATATGTATATATATATATATATAAAGGGCGGCACGGTGGCATATATACGTGATTTGGCAACATATGCTGCCATCCAGATGACGTCTTTTTCAGGGAAGGACTTGATTATTTCAGCAAGACAATGTCAAACCACATTCTGCATGTATTACAACAGCATGGCTTTGTATTAAAATTATCTGGGTGTTAAACTGACCTGCCTGCAGTCCAGACCTGCCACCTACTGATAACATTTGGCACATTATGAAATTAAAAATACGACAAAGGCGACCCTGAACTGTTGAGCAGCTGAAATCCTATGTTAAGCAAAAATGGGAAAACATTTCATTTTCAGAACTACAGCAGTGTCTCCTCAGTTCCCAGACACTTATAGAGTGTTGTTAAGAGCAGAGGCGAAACACAGTGGTAAACATGCCCCCATCCCAACTTTTTTGGAACGTGTTGTTGGTATCAAATTCAAAATGAGCATATATTAAAAAATAAATAAATAAATTAAAAAACAATAAGATTTCTCAGTTTTAAAATATGATTTGTTGTCTTTGTACTATTTTCAATGAAATATAGGGTTTAAATGATTTGCACATCATTGAATTTTGTTTTTAATCACATTTTACACAGCATCCCAACTTTTTTGGAAATGGGGTTTTGTATATATATATATATATATATATATATACACATCCCATACAAAACTCCATAAAAGGAAGCAAACAGATGCATGTCTAAAATGTGCACATGAGCATTACAAGTTAGAACCCATTTGGAATAATGTACTCTGGTTACACGACGCAAAAATAGAATTATTTGGCAATAATTCAGCTCATCATGTTCGGAGAAAGAAAGGTTGAACATATGATCACCATAGAACACCATTCCAACAATGAAGCATGAAGGTGGGAGCTTCATGATGTAGGGTTGCTTCTTTGCAAACGGTACAGGTCACTGAAGGAAACATGAATGTCATTGAAGGAAACATGAATGTAACACTGGGGTGTTACAGGTCACTGAAGGAAACATGAATGGAGCGATATACCAGGAGACATTAGAGGAAGATTGAATCTCATCAGTCAAGAAAGGTGAGAAAATAAACATTTCAAGACGACATCCTCAAACATACAGCCAAAATAACTCAAGACTGGTTTGTAAAAACGAAGGTGAATGTGCTTGTGTGGCTCCCACTGAAAAATTATGGAGGTTCTATAAACCTCATAACCTTGGAGAACTGAAGACATTTTGTCAAGAGGAATGGGCCAAAACTGAACCTGCAGAAGCTGCAAAAAGCTAATTATCTCTTACTGTACACTGTGAAACATCAGAATTATGCTACCTTTTATTTTTTTACTTATTTGTTAAAATTACTAATACAAATCCAGTAACATTTACTATTTGTTGTGTAATCTTTAGTTCCTTTAATGAAATAATATCAGTTCATTTGGAAAAGTCTTACAGACTGAAGAGCGTTTTGCCCAAAATGTTTCCCAGCATTCTTAGCGGTTTTGTTGGTTTCTGATAATTAACTCTTATTATTCTACTTTATAAATAAAATTCTCTTTGCAAAAAGATAATTTTTTTTGTGTCAGAGCAAACTCTCAAGCTAAATGTGAAGCTTGGATGCATTTTAGATGTTGCTGTTGTTCTCACCATGATGGTGTTTTGTGTTTTAATTGATGCCGATACATTACATAAGGAAGAGTGTTTGGTTCAAGTTAACCTGAATAATTTTAGAGTGAGCAAAACTTGAAAAATTAGAGAGTTCCATCAGTTCAGTAGATATCATTTATAATTATTGGACTGTTTGAATTAACCTTAACTTGCTGCATAAGTGTGGATATTTCTATGCTCATTGTCCATTTTATCAGCTCCACTTACTATATAGGTGCACTTTGTAGTTCTACAGTTACAGACTGTAGTCCATCTGTTTCTCTGCATACTTTGTTAGCCCCCTTTTACCCTGTTCTTCAAAGGTCAGGACCACCACAGAGCAGGTATTATTCACGTGGTGAATCATTCTCAGCACCGCAGTGACACTGCTGGACTGAGAATAATCCACCAGCCAAAAATATCCAGTCAACAGCATCATGTGGCCACTGATGAAGGACTAGAGGATGACCAAGACAAACTGTAAAACAAATGAGTTAATGTCTCTGACTTTACATCTACAAGGTGGAGTGACAAGGTAGGAGTGTCTAATAGAGTGGACAGTGAGTGGACACAGTGTTTAAAAACTGTGACTGATCCACTTGTACCTGTGCAACACACACTAACACGCCACCACCATGTCAGTGTCACTGTTGAGAATGATCCACCACCCAAATAGTACATGTTCTGTGGTGGTCCTGTGGGGGTCCTGACCAATGAAGAAGAGGGTGAAAGGGGGCTAACAAAGTATGCAGAGAAACAGATGGACTACAGTCTGTAATTATTGTAGAACTGCACCTATATGGTAAGTAGAGCAGATAAAATGGACAATGAGAATATATATATACATATATATATATATATATATATATATGTTTGTATAACTATTTGCTAAAGTTGAAATTGAAGTTAAGTAAACAAGAGAAAAAGTGTAAATTGGTACTCAGATTGTTGTGCAAGCTCAAAATAGGCCTCCAGACTGGGCTAATAACTGAATCCCATCCCAGGACAGTAAAGGGTTAAAGCGGTGTACTTTTGGAGGTGGTCGCTGTCCGTGGTGCTGGAGAAGCTTCCAGTACTGAAGCTCACGCCTGCAATACCATATAGCGTCAAAACGTGCGTCACGTGCGCTCGTAAAGCCACACACGACACCTGCGCGTTGAGTCCGGATCAGCCGCCTCGGCCGTTCGCTTCACGGGAAAATATAAAAGGAGGGGGGCGGGGCCTAAACGTGCGCAGCGTGCTCTGGGTTAGGATTGGACTCCGTGTAGCCAATGGAACCGGGCTGTGAGTGTGGACGAGAGTGGCGTGCGGAGCTCGCATAAACACGACTCAGCTGCAGAAATTAGCGCGATCGGAAGATTGAGGTGTTGCACAGCCTCGGCCTTTGAGGGGCTCTTTGGTAGGTGAAGCTTCGTGGGGGTGATCCTTCGTGTTTTACCGTCGTCCCCTGCGCTCGTTGTTTTGGCCCCACCCTGGGAAATGCGCAGCACTGACTCACGGTGACAGTTTCAAGGCTCCTGCCCGTGTGTGTGTGACCGATCCTGCGTCCATTTCCAGCACGGAGCTGAGGTGGCGAGAACATCCAGCGTCGCATTCAGCCCGAAGGCGATCAGGGGTCGACAAAATGGGAGGTAAGGACTGAGGGGGTGGCATCTCCAGCGTCATTAATGGAAGGAAAGGGGGGGATAGAAAGGCCTTAATGATGAGAATGTGGTTCTGTTTACCCTGTAGAGGCAGAGACCAGACAGAGATTGCTGCGCAGCGTGAAGAAGGAGGTGGGTAATGCTGCGTGGATGCAAGGAGCTCACAGTTATTACAGTTCTGGCAAGCTACCTGGGTTCATTTGCATCCTAACATCAGATGGAGGGAAAAAGAGGCAGCCCTGAGTAGATGATCGCTTTCTCATTTTCAGTGGAAATACTGCTGATGCCATGCTATGTTGTCTTTATTCCCATGCCTATGTATTGGCTTGACCGCCTATATATACATATACATATATATATATGAATAAGGTCGTTTTTATGTCCCCTGAATGTCCCCAAATGGACCCTCTGCTAATGGCAGCCTGTGTATACTATTAGAACATCCTTCAACAGTCCACTGGAAGTGAATGGCTTCATATTTAGTTAAATCACATGCACTTTCACTGTGAGAGAGAATCATTCACAGCAAGGCAACAGCTCAACGTGGGTGGGCCTAACACTTAAAACAGAGAAGGCGAAATGTTTCCTGTACAGCGTGATGGCATGACACTTAGCAAGAAAAGCCACAGCTGTGGCCCGTAGCCTCAGAGCGATCCCACTTAGAATGTGTGGCTAAAAAAAGGGTATGGAGTAAAAGAATACTATGAGAGTAACACTGTAGACACATACAGTCATGCATGACATAGTGAAGGTAATGATAGACACTGACTTCTGAACAATCAGTCTTTTTAGGATGACTTTTAAAAGGCCCATACAATTGAAATTTTTTTCTCATTTTTTATAATAAAAGAGTTGCCTGAGCCAATCACATTTTGTGATGATTGACAAGTAAGCTGATGACGGTGCTTCAAAGGCAATAAGCCATTTTTGGAAAGAGAACCGACAGGGAACTCGAGAGGACTAAATGAATTTAAAACATTTGAGCTGCTTGCTAGAAACATATTAGCTACACTTTGTAAGTTTTGGGGATTTGGAGACCTCTCTGGTGGAAGTGTATAATTGCACTCAGTGTGTGGAAGAACATTTTGTAACATGGGTTGTGCTTCGGACCCCTTCCCCAGGCGGATGAATCTGATGATTGCGAGCGCATTGAAAGAACATTCAAAGAGAACTCAGTCAAAACCTTTTGAACAAGGATTTAAGTGAATTATCTACTGATGTCATCATATCTTTATCAGTATAATGTTGATTTTGCATTTGAGACCTAAACATCAAGCCAGACCTTCCTTTTGAGTCTGTGCGTGTGACTTTTAATATGTAAAGACAAATGATGTCCAAAAAACTAAAAAATTATTATTTCAGGGGTTACGGAGTGACTCAGAGCAGTGCAGGCACACCATGTTTTAGAATTTTCATATTCTCCTAAATCAGAAATGCTACTTCTTTCAGTTTTAACAAAAAAACTTACATAGTGTAGCATTAAACATGTACGTATGATGTTTTGCTCCCCTTTACTGTGAAAACAATAGCTTTTTTACAGCGCATTAAAAAGCCATTAGGCTACAGTAGAGCAAATTTCCCCCTGCTTGTGCTGGGGGTTTCCCCGGAATATAACTGTCTGATATAGCTGATTTCTGTCCCATCTCGTATTTTTAGTATGTAAAATGTGGGAATACCCAGAGGTATTCGGGGGGTCCCATGTTAGATGTCGCTTTGGAACTCACATACTTATGCATGTTTAGCAGTCTGACATTTCTCCAGCAGGGGGAGCTGGAGAAATTAGTTTGCAAGTCACCATGAACCCACATCAGCAGGAGCTCATGAATGCACATGTTAACAGTAACAGATTTTAGAATGAGAGGTGAAATAGTTTTCAAAAAATATTTGATACTCAGTGTTGTATTAATTAATCTGCAACTGTCATTAAATAAAACAAAATAGACAAACAAAATAGTAGGTCCAAGCTGCAGCCGACTGTGTATGTATGTCAGCAGGGGAGGAGTGGAGCATTGATATTATTAATAATCACAAGTCCTTAACAAACAAATGTTGTGCTAATTATTTTTATACATTGAGTAGACTAGTGTGGAGCCCCGAAGATTTTGATTTTGAGACATTCAGGGGGTCAAGAGGTTGATTAGGGAGTCCTGGATGCTCCAGGAGCCCCATGTATTTTGCACTTTGCATATATCAATCTTAAAGGCTCAAACTTTTTAATTCTAAGAGATAAAGAAAGGTTGGAAAATGGTCATGTAGAAATTAAACGTGACTAATTTGGTAGACAAACACACAAATGTTATGTCAGACCACAACACCCACCAGATCATGAATACAACAGTACTCGAACTACATACACACTGTACTTTAGCCTTATTCTGAACTCTGTCCATGTTACTGCTGGCTGACTTCATATATACTTGGACTGAACACTAGAAAAAACATGCATTGTTTACTCAATGCATAAGTATAATTTACACACTGGACTTGTCTCTGAGAATGCTGCACATATTGTGCACATAGGTGCACACACCATCCATGTGCTAGTACACTTCTGTGTCTCTTATTCTGTATTTTTTGTCTATTCATTGTTTTTTGTATTTATTTTGTGTATTGTCATCCAAATAGTACGTGTGCTCGTCCTTGTCTTAATGTTTATGCACCAGAGTAGTAGCCCAAACGCTCAATTTAATATACTTAAATATTTATAATGACATTAAAGTTAAATGAAATTCAATTTGATTGAATTGGAGCTCATGGACAAAAAATAGGATATGGGCCCCTGAAGACACTTAGAAGACTGAGTCACACTTAAGACATCCACCGATGAGTTGAAACATTATGACCACTTGCTTAAAGTGCCGTTGCATGCTGCCAAAACACCTTTGATCCACCAAGGCAATGACTCCAGAAGACGTCTGAAGATGTCCTGGTATCTGGCACCAAGACATTGGCAGCAGATCTTTTAAGTCACGTAAATTGCGAGGTAGAGCTGCCGTGGATCAGACAGCATATCCCACAGATGCTCGATTGGATTGAGAATCTGTGGAATTCGGAGACCTTGAACTCTTTGTCATTCCCACCATTCCCAAACAATGTGTGCATTGTGGTTATCTTGCTGGAAGAGGCCACTGCCATCGAGGAATACTATTTCCATATAGGCGTGTACTTGGTCTGCAGTGATGTTTAGGTAGGTGGCATGTGTCAAATTGATGTCCACATGAATGCCCGGAGCCAGGGTTTCCCAGCAGAGTATTGCCCTGTTGCTGGTTGGTGGTTTGTCCCTCCTTGGACCACAGTCATTTCACCACTGCTGACCCGGAGAACCCCACAGTCCTTGTCGTTTCAGAGATGCTCCAGCCCAGTCATCTTTTGAGGAAAAGATCAAAACTTTTGAGAAAGTCAGTCAGGTCTTACTCCAGCCCATTTCTCCCACATCCAACACCTCGACTATGATAACCGACTGTTTGCTTACCCTCTGATATATCCCAGACTTTCTCACATGCTGTAGTTATGAGATAATCAACACTATTCACCTTATCTGTGATAACATTACTGTCATAATGTTTTGGCTCACTAGTGTGTATAACATGTTAATGATATAACATGTTCTATAATGCTAAGCAGTGTTTATATTCAAATTCCTATTTGTATGCGCATATGCAGTGTTATTAAATGGGAGCTGGTTAAAAGGGAGTGTTAGACATTTTATGACATTATAGAACCCCCTTTTCCTTCTTGTAGAGGATGTTCTCTAGCTGTGGCAGTCACACCTGCCAATCAAAGTCACACTTAAAATGCATTCATTATCATACTGATTAATTCATCATCACTTTCCGAAGTATGAGTCTGAAAATGGAACATTGCCTCTGTAGTGGTTCGGGAGACTAAATGCTGTGAGACTAACTGCTAGTGCCTTGGAGGTTTGAGATTTCAACCTCAGCCTCTGCCAGGTCTTCATCACGTATGACTCACTGCCAGTGAGGATCTCAACATGTTTAACGCATAGTGAAAATGATGATACATACACACACCTTCCTCACAGTCTCTATTCCACCTTCATGCCTCTTTTTCACATCTGCGAGTAGAGACATGTAATTACGCTTTCTCCACTCATCTTCACTTGTTCTTTAAAGGTACACTCCAGCATTTCTCAATCTGCTCTCTGTTTGTCGCATCTGTAGCACATGATGAACACAGAACACTGATTCACTTGAAACATACTTGCGGTACTGGGCAAAAGCAGAAATGCATATATATATGTATATGTATATATATATATGTATATATATATGACTTGTACCTATATACAATAAATATTATACAATATTAAAATATTAGTTTACATTTTACAGTTTAGTTTTTCTAAGAAATCTGCAGGGATATTTCTCCACACCTCCAAAGTTCAGTCTTAGAAGTTGGTTGCATTTTCTGCTTGATCCCAAACACATTCAGTGATGTTGAGGGCTGGACTCTGGGGTGGTCAGTCCATAGTTCTGAGAACACCAGTACCTTCTTTGTTTGATTTGCAGATGTTCTTCTTTTTTGTCTATTTTTCTTTTCTGAGTTGACAACTACACATCCTTTAAGACTCTCAAAGATGAAAGCTTTAAGTACTGTTTTCTGATGGGGACAGTTGTGGTGGTCTAGCAGTTCTTCCAGGTGGCTGTTAGGAGTAATTTTCTCTGTATATTTTAATGATTTTTTTTAACTCTGGTTATGGAAACTCCTATTTTTCATTTTTTTTCTTTGACTTTCCCCTTCCTTGTTGCAGATTGGATTATTTTATACCTTTTCTCATCAGAAATATCTGGTTTAGCCTATTCAGATGCGTGTAAGAAAGACATTTCATGAATATTAGTGTCTCTTTAAAGAGAACATAATTGGGGAACATCTTTTGTGTTACTTACTGTTGAAGGCTTTTGTGTAATTTTCCATTCAAGTTTTTTTTTTGTATTTGTATAAATGCAAGTAGTGATTTTACATATGTCAGTGTTTTGGCTTAACCATTTCCAGACCTCATCTTATGAAAGCCCTGTATTGTAGTTATCACCCAGCACCTGGTTTGGCTGATCAATACTCGCAATTTCACAAATTCAAGCAATAGCTCAAGGCATCCAGGAGAAATCTGAAACTTTGTTCTTCAAATTAGAACTTACTAACTAGAAGTTACTTCAGCATCTGCCATGAGTGTGTTTTGAGCCAACAGCTTCTATGTTTTTTTAAGTTAAATACATTTAAATTATAGTCAGTGGTAATGTGTAACTGAGTAAAATAAGTATTCCTGTAACCATATATAAAAAAAACTTTTGGTTCGTGAAACATTTGAAAGATTTCGCTCCCCTTGTGACTGTTTAGGTGAAACAGATTATGGAGGAGGCTGTAACGCGGAAATTTGTGCACGAAGACAGCAGCCACATCATTTCTTTCTGTGGTAAGCTCATCACCTCTTGACTTCTCTCGCTATTTTTAATAGAGCTCTTGTGTATGAGACATAGTATGTTGTACAGGACATGACTCATTTACGTTAACATTTGCTGATGGATATTTTTACCCTGTAATAATCACTTTGAGTGCATTGAGACTCTTTTTTTTATTTGGTTTATCACCATCTATCAAAAAAGAAAAGTGGTATAATAACTGCCGTGTGGTGGGAAGTTGTTAGCAGAAATGAAAAGGCCTCAAGCTCATATGCTGGCAGACGTGAAATGGATTCTAAGCCGGTATGGTTGGTGGGTGGTGAAGGCATGCCTTCGACGCTGTGAATGGTGGTTAATGACCATTGACATTCACTGCTTTGACCGAAGGCAGAGATCATATCCGTGTGTGTCAACAATTTGAAATGTCAAGCTCTGCCACCTCCACCTACCAATCTGCTCATGACAGGATCAGAGAAAGAGAGAGAGAAGAGACAGTCCATACTGTGTAGTTCAGTATCAAACACCATGCTGATTAGGGTTTGTGTACGTTTTGCTTACAGTGTCAATGTATGCATGTAAACATACAGTAGAAGTGGAGAACCGTGACTATTAGAGCCAGGCTTTCAGTTTGGGCCTTCAGTGTCAAAACCAAAACCTTCAAGGCCAAAAAAAACCACCTTTGCAATGATGCAAATTTTTGCTAGCACCTCTATTGGATTTGTAATTGAATGTGAGCATTAAGAGGGTCATCCTTATGTCGCCTGGGCCCTTTATTTTCTCACTAAAATATTCTGGAAGCAGTCCTGGTTCGTTGGAAGTGGTCTTTGGAAGCGGCCCCAGGCCCTGTGTTCCCTCTTTTGGAAACAGTAGTGGAAGTAGTAATTGAAAACAGCTCTATATTCCCAGGGTCCTATGTTCCCTCATTGAAATTCTTAGCATTTTCTATGTTTCCATGGCCCCATGTTTCAGCACCAAGTTACCTCAATGATAAAAATAGGAGTAATGTCCATACCTACTTATGTACAAACATACATATCCTGATGATATATGTTGAGTAAACAATCTCTGAAATTGTGCTTATAGACATGCTGCTTCCAAATACATTATTAAAAACACAATGGCCCTTATTTATCAAATTTGCATAAAAAAGAACACAGATCTGACCGCTTTAAATGACATACTACTCTACATCTGATTCATGAAACGTTTATACGAAGTGGAATCGAGTTGATTTGAGCACAAATGATGACTCAGCTTCAGTCCGTAAAATCATGCACCAGCCTACCAGCCCCTCATTTACATATCATTTACATGAAGCTCGCCTTAATTCATGCTGATGTTTTGGTAGGGAGCCAAAAAAAAGACAGCATTCAGCGGCTTACGAGCCAATGGCTATGCTTGTAGGTGGAGTTTGAGGTCGAGTGGTCAGTGCACTGCACCCCGACTTTTTAGTGTTAAAATTACAGTGACTGGAAAGAATAAAATGTGTTTTTGTTAGATGGTAGAATTATTATTGTAGTTTAATTATTGTCCTAAAATAATGTATTCAAACATTGTATTATGGCAGTGCATGAGATGTTTCTGCACTAGCTGTGTTTTGTATTGTTTATTGTATGGGCAGTGTCACTAGTATAAAACAAAATCACAGTGTAATATGTCTTTAAATGGAATATTGAATAGCTGCAGCGTTTGTTTCTACCAACGTTCATGTAAAATAAGTACATCCACTTTTGTACTGGATTAGCATGTGCATAAGTTATTAGCCTTATTGTTATTTTCTATTTAGATTTATTATTATTGGTATTATGGAAGATATTTAAAATAGTTAACCACAAATGAAGCTTTTTTATGTTGTTAAACTGTTATGCTCAAATTTACATGCACTCCTACCAGATGTGAGTTTGATTGTACAGATACGCCAAAGATAATGAATTTATGAATAGCAAAACTGTCTGTGAAATTTGCATGATAAGGCTTGACTGTACCCAAGTTTGATGAATAAGGGCCATTCTGACTGAACAGTGGCAAAAACAAGAAAGAGAAGGCGGGATTTAATGTTTGCATAGGCTTCAGCCCATACAGATTACCTACATAAAAATACAGCTTTTCACTGTTTTGGAGATAAATGGCTGTAAAAGGCTGAAATAAGGGAAATCTAGTGTAATACAGGTTTCCCATAAACTCTGGACAATAATTCTGTTGAGCTTAGATTCAGGCCTGTTACAATTATTACATAATCAATGAATCACAATTATTTAAGCTGATCGCAACACTGACTGGTGCTATAACACCCCTAAAAGACATGAGAAATTAATGTTTGTTTATTTGAGCTATTTGTCTTCTGTTGGGTGCTACTAAGTATCAACAGCTAGAAAGCAAAATAGCTAATCAGCCACTTTAGATTTGGCCACTTTAGACTTCAATATTGCATAAAATGAACACAAACCAGGCATTTAAACTGTTAATTGCACTTATTTGTGGCGAGTAATCATCAGCTGAAATGTCATAATGGTGACAGACCTACTCGGATTTGTTTTTCACTCTGTGTTTTCTTTTTAAAGAGTTATGGGCCTAAATAGTAAGCTGACCAGACAGCAGGTGGTAGAATCTGAGCAGGTGTACTGATTGATTTGAAATTCTTTTGTGAAGCACATGCTGTACGTGGACAAAACAAATATTGTCTCATGAGAAACAAGCCGTCAGAGCATCACTTGCCAGAATTTCAAAAGTGTTGTGCTTTAATAATCAGATCTGCCGTTTGATCTGATTGTAGTCAAAACTTTAAAGAGCTCACCTTGCAGATGACACTACATTATCATAGTCTTTTGTTCTGTCAGTTCATCACAGAACACAGCCTGACTCGACTTTGCTCTCTTTGATTGTGCTTGTATATGTATTAAACTGTGTGAGAGGCTGTATAGTTGCTTAACTTTAACTGGCAAACAAAGTAAAAACACATGTCTGATTCAACATGATGTAATTAGTATGATTACCAGATGAATATAAATCAGAAAAGACAATCAGAACTGGACAAATTGCTGTTGTTCATAATGGCAGAAATGCTTTATAAGGTATCAGTGAATTTATGCTGTAGTTTACTGTACCATATTAACAGTATATAACAGTAAAATAGCAGCTGTATTCTGTGACTTGACCAGGAACACAACATTACTGTGATGTAGCTGCGTTCTCCTCTACGCTTACAGTACTAAGCTGTAATTCAAATACTATATTTCTACATAACATCTGTAAAAGTAATGCAACTCAGTGCCAAACATTTTCTTTTAATTTTACCAGATCTATAAATATGTTAATTGAAAACAATATCAATAAACATATTTATTTACCATGTTTTGAACTATATATGCACAGAATATCTTAACACCGGTGGGTCCAAAGTGCTGCTACATACTTCTATAACTATAAGAATAACCCAGTTTTCAGTGTAGTCCATTTAGTTACTGAATAATAAGCCTTAGTATGTAATAAGTTGAATATGCATTTTACAGACATGTTAATTCATAATTTTAACTTATTTTTGCACAAACAGGGCCAAAAACTAATATCTTATAAAAAATACAGTAAATACAGCACAGTAAAGTAAAACTTTAAAAATCTTTTATTTAACATGATTTTATATAAATATTTACGCCTTTTTAACTGTGATATCCCTGTACAGCTCAACATCAAACTCACAGTAATTTATTGTGTTTGTAACTTTACTGTCCTAACTTTCTGCTTAGCAAGCTAAAGGCCACACAGCTAATTAGCACACTAGCCTAACCTAGCAAAGGGCAAGTGAGATCCTACTGAAAAAGTACTCCTTGTTGTACTCTGAATGACCTTTGGTGACCCCCTAAAATAAACTTGACCCTTGTATAGGTTCCTTTAATGTAAGATATAAAGATGAGGGAACATTTGGCCCTCATAGGTACGCTACAGTGCTAAGCTAACAGATTCAGCATGTACAGCATGAAGGTTTTAAAAGACATTCTATCTGTTACATTTAAAGCTTGCAGCGGACAGTAACATATATTTTACCTTTTATTAGTTTCACAGTGACTCTTTAAGTAAAGAGTCCTGGCATAGAGCTGCTGCCTGTGTTCTCTATTGATTACCCATTAAAACTCATAGATTAGGCCACAGCTGGCTTTCACACCCTGCTGAAAAACCAGCACAGACCAGCAAGCCTTTTATGCTGGTCTAAGCTGGTCTATGCTTGTTTATGCTGGTCTAGTGCTGGTCTGGTTCTGGATTAGCTGGTCACTCCAGCATCAAAACACAACATATCGCTGATTTTCAGTTTTTGACATAATTTGAGAATGCCTGCTGGCCTTTACATTGTGTGTGAATTTCATGAAGGATGGACCAAAAGAAATGACCCCAAATTACTTGGAAAAAATTCTGCTTCTATTGACCTACATTAAAAGTAAAGTATGTCTTTTCCATCTCCTGTAAAGTTACCATTTGGGAGATACGAGGTTTTGTTCCAACAGCAGCGATAGGCTGGTTTTGGTGGTGATCAGCATGTCAAGGTCCATTGCTGCTGACCAGCGTACCAGCATCCAGAATACAATATATACTGGTTTTGCTGGTGAACAGCAATGCTGGTCTGTGCTGGTTTTTCTAGCAGGGCAGTTAGTGACGTATCTAGGACTTCCAGAAGATTTAATGATGGAATAATAACATTACTACAGTATTTACAGAGTTTAAATACAACAAGCAAGATGACTGTATAAAATAAAAATGAACTAAACATTACACGTGTATTTTTTGGTTCCCAGAAATCAGTAGACCTTCTCTGAAGGCCTAGCACGCCTTGACAGTTCTCTTCTGCTCTAGAACCTGTACCATACTTTTAAAGAGTTCTTTGCAGCAATGCCATAGCTGCACCACTTTACCACAATGTAGTGGTTCTCTGGCCCTGGAGAGCCCCTGTCCCACTCATCTTGTTGTTTTCCCTGCTCTAACAAACCCACTTAAACTCAGCAAGGACTTGCTAATTAGCTAGTGCGTTGAATCAGGTGTGTTGGAACAAGACAACACTAAAATGTGCAGAGCAGGGTTACTTCAGGACCACGGTTCAGGACCAGTGCCTTCAAGACCCTTTCCAGGCATGCTTCTTTAAAGAACCATCTTTGTAAATGAGATAAATGAGAATCTAGCAGGACCATGTTTGGTTCCATGATGTAGTGCTGGTCCTGGAGGCCCCATGTGTTCTGCACATTGTGGTATTTTCCATGCTCTGCTGTGGTCGTGTCAAATGGGAGCTCCGAATTTTCCGACTCAGAATCTCCTGCTTCACACCTAAAAATATTCATGCAACTTCAGCTGTTTTAATTTTGAAAACAGAGGACGGTCGCAGTAAGCTAGCGCTTGTTTTACTGTTGTGTGTGTATAAAAAGCTCTTAAAGAAATGACTTAGGCAGTTGTTTATTTAGTGCTTCATTTATTCTAAAAGTGGATGTAAGCAGTGGAACTTCACTGTTAAAATATATCTCAGAAAAAATGACACAAAAGTGCACAGTTTGATTAAAAATACCCCTGTGTTTAGCAATGTCATCAACCAAGGGTGGTGAACTGCAGCTACAGCACAGTTTGGTGATTTTTCTCCTCAAATAAATACAGCAAAACTAAACATGGATAAACATGGCAATTAGCTGCTGAGTTGAATCAGGTATGTTTGAGTAGGAAAATCACCAAACTGTGCTGGACACTGGCCCTGCTGGACTGCAGTTTGCCACCCTGTCATTAACAAATAGCATATGATACCAGGGTTAGACCGTGACTGTTAGAACTAGAACTTCAGCTCAGGCCATAAATGTCAAAACAAATGCTGAGAAAATGAGATAAAGAAAAAGTATAAAAAAAGCATAATCTATCATAAAGCTACTTTCCGCCCATACAGGATTTTAGCGGTATGTTAGTGCTGAGCTAATGGTGATTTACATAAACATTTTTCCCTTTCTAGACTAAATTACATATTTAAAGCTTATAAAACATTCCATATCTTAATTGAAAGCTTATAACAGACATATATTTTGCATTGCATCAGTTTTACAGTGACTCTTTCAGAGTCCTACAATTGAGTGTTTTACTTTAAACAGGTGGCTGATTGGTCAGGCTTTCACTCAAACTTGTAGTCAGTGATGTATCTAAGAGTCCCAGAGAGCCTAGAGTTTTTCTCACAAAATTGGTCCCAACTGTGGAAAATCAGAACATGATTGGTTCCACTGTTATATCCACATTATGCTGGAAGTTGATCTGATGTTTTAGGTCTTCAGTTCAGCTGATCCTGATTGGATAATTTTCCATTCGGTGCTTCAAGATTTTAACCTTTTTGCTTTCAACCAAAACTTAATAGTAAAATGAAAGAATTACTACAATACTATAAAAAGGCATGATAAATATATTAAATTACAGACTTTTTTTATTCCATAGAAACCTGAAGGCCTAGAAGGCCCTGAGGGTCCCCCACTGTATGATACACAAATAGAAACTCAAACGTCTGTTTAAATATCTTAAAACACATTATTGCTTCTTGATCTAGATGTTGAAAAGGCGTCACTCCGAGTCAGTGCTGTTGAGAAACTCTGAGTTTCTGAATAGAGGAATGTTCAAATGGGTTTTTCCACTTGGATGTTGAAAAATTCCCAGTTCCCACTTGGTCATGAATGTGGCATAACACTCCAAGAAAGGACTTGTAAGTTAACTGATGTGCAGAGCAGGGTTACTTCAGGTCCAGGCTTGAGAACCGCTGCCCTAAAGAGCTCTTCAACAGATGGTTCTCTAAAGAACCATCTTTGTAAATGATATATGCAAGTATGAAGTAACTTCCAAAGCTATTCCAATGAAAGGTTTTCCTAGAACCATACACCTTAACCAAGAACCATTCAGCAACTTTTGTTTTCAAAGCAAATATGATGTTTCCTCAGCTGTGGTGGAAGCCTGCGTGTTGCATGGGCTGAAGAGGCGGGCTGCAGGCTTCCTGCGCAGTAACAAGTTGGCAGCGCTCTTCACGAAGGTGGGGAAAATCTTTACTCCTGCTGAGGACCTGTGCAAGAAGGTGCAGGAGCTGGAACAGATCATCGAAAACAAGTGAGATCTGATGATTCCAGGCTTGAGGCAAGATTGAATGTGTGTTAGTCTGAGATACATGCTGTATACTTGCTCTTTACTCTCTACATGGTGTCCAATTATACAGCTCCAGACAGAGCCAGTCTCAGATGAGCCAGGACAGTATCCGTAAGCAGCCGCGGGTCGCCAACCTCTCCCCCCAGGCCATCAAACACCTGTGGATCCGCACAGCACTGACAGAGAAAGTGCTGGACAAAATTGTTCTATATTTGGTGGAAAACAGCAGGTTGAGAATCTATAATCACATTTGCATATTAATGGATAAACACTCGTTACTAATTATACACTGATTGCTGTTGGACTGTTTAGAGATGTTTTTTGTTTTGTTGCAGTAAATTCTATGAGAGGGAAGCTTTGCTGAGAGATCCTGTTGATGGTCCAATCCTGGCATCTCTACTGGGTATGAAGCACACTATTATTTCCCAGGCTTACTGTCAGCCACAAAGCATGTTTAGTTACATAATGTGGGATCAGGGATACATATTGTACTTTAAAGGGGAATTTAACAGATTTTTCAAAATATCTGAAAAAAAAAAATTACTAATGTAAGCCAAGTCATTCTGAGCAGTTTGATGTGAAATGCTGCGTTACAAAGTCAGAATTGTTCACAGGGTGATGGGAACCAAACAGAAATACATATAAGAATACGTTTGAGAATACATCTGTTCCATCTTGACTCTTCTAGTTGGTCCCTGTGCTCTGGAGTACACAAAGGCAAAGACAGCTAACCACTTTTGGACGGATCCTTCTGCTGATGAGCTGGTGCAGAGGCACCGCATCCACAGCGGCCACTGCCGCCAGGATTCTCCCACCAAACGCCCTGCTCTTGTTAGTAGTGCACTGTCTCTGCTTCAGCATGAGGTTCAAAATGCGGAATATCGCTGTTGTTGAAGAAAACCTTGTATGTTCAAAAAGATAACTTTATAGGAGAAGGGAAAAAAAACTACTTTACTTTTAATGTAAGTCAGTGGAACCAGACCTTTTTTCCAAGTAATTTTGGGCCGTTTCTTTTGGTCCATTCAGCAAGAAATTTACAGACAGTGTAAAGGGTAATGGTATGAGGTTTTCTTCTGACAACAGCGATGTGTTCATTTCAGATGAGCACATTAGCACAACCCATATGTATTTGTTTGTGTAGATCCAAAAGAGGCAGTCGAGTGGCAGCATGGACGACAGGCCCTCTCTGTGGGCTCGGGACTATGTGGAGTCTCTCCATCAGAACTCCAGAGCCACGCTGTTGTTTGGCAAGAACAACGTGCTAGTCCAGCCAGTAGGTGATCTGTTGATATTACTGCAGCATTGGTATTATTGAACTCAACAGGAATGCCTGAACAAACAGAGATGTATGTCAATATAGTCCCTCTTTGTTCCTGTAGACAGATGACATGGAAGCTATCCCAGGATACCTCTCCCTCCATCAGACTGCAGAGCTCATGACACTGAAGTGGACACCGAACCAGCTGATGAATGGCAACGTGGGAGAATTAGATTATGAAAAAAGGTACATGACTAATAGACCTATGAGGTCAAGTGTCATTCTCTAGTCAGCGTCATGCCCATATGAGGAACTCTGTGTCTAAGCTGGTTTTCTCTGTGGGAAAAATTAATGGCGTTTAGAAAATGGTTGCCGTTGCACCCTGTGGTGAACAAAAATGTTGCAAAACTGTCCTACATTTTTTCCTGAAGTCAGAGGATCTGCTGCCATTCGGAGGAAAAATGGCTGTATGGCAAATTGTACCAGCATTGCAATAAACAGCGGTTTTCAAAAAACAAGACAAAAAAATGTTAGTTTAAAGTGCAAAGTGTCCACTGTGGTTGATGAGCGTTACAGCTCTGGGGAAAAAGCTGTTAGCATGTCTGGTTGTGCTGGTTTTGATGGCCCTGAATCTTTTACTAGAAAGGAGTGGCTGGAATAGGTGATGTCCAGCATGAGAGGGGTCATCTGTTATTTTGCCTGCAAGCTTCTTCACCCTGCTGTTGTAGATGTTCTGAAGCATTGGCAGACTATGAGCAGTCATCCTCTCTGCTGTCCTGATTATGCGCTGGAGTTTGACTCATTCTTGTGAGATGAAGGAACCAAACCAGATGGTTATGGATGACGTGAGGCTGGACTCTATGATCGCTGTGTAGAACTGGATCATCAGCGTCTGCAGCAGGTTGTTTTTGTACAGCTTTCTCAGGAAGAACATCCTCTGCTCTCTTGGCTATGGAGACCGTATTCCTCTCCCACTTCAGTGTTCCTGAATGTGGTCATGCCGAGGAACATGAGTGACTCCACCCTGGAAACCACAGAACCATTAATGTTTAGGGGGGGTAGGGAGGGAAGATTGCGCCTGAAGTCCACGACCATTCTACAGTCTTTTGTGTACTAAGTAGCAGGTGGTTGCTGCTGCATCAGGAGACCCAGCTGCTCGACTTCATTTTGTAGGCAGACTTATCACTGTTGGCTATGAGGCCCACCACGGTCGTCTGCAAACATCAGGATCTTCATAACTGGTTCCTTGGAGACATAGATGTTGGTGTACAGACAGATGATTTCAGGTGAAACAGTGTCCCAGATGTTCACTAACTGTTCCCTGGTTACATTAACAAACCAAAATAAACAGAAACCTACAAGGCTGCCATCCGTGGTGCCATCTTGGACTTCTTTAAATGGGCATGATGCCAAACACAGAATGACATGACTGCAGAGGTCTATTTATCACTATTACTGGAATATATGACTGGAATATTATTGTTGACTATTGTGTATTATATACGTTTCTTCAGCGAGTGACTATTATTTGTCCATTATTTTTTTTTAGTGTGTACTGGGATTATGCAATGACCATCCGTCTAGAGGAAATTGTCTATTTACATTGCCATCAACAAGGTAAAGTCTCCAGAGACTTACATACTGCTGTTTGGGATCCTTGTTAAATTTATGGCATCCATCTGTATTTGTTGTGCCACTGTGCTTCCATTAAAAATGAAATGTTTTCCCAAAACATCTTCTGTTTGCAGTTGATAGTGGTGGCACTGTGGTCTTAGTGAGTCAGGATGGGATCCAGAGGCCACCATTCCGCTTCCCAAAAGGAGGTCACCTGCTGCAGTTCCTCACCTGTCTAGAGACAGGTCTCCTTCCACATGGCCAGCTTGATCCTCCCCTGTGGTCCCAAAGGGGAAAGGTGCACCTGATATAAGCAAAGATTTATCTCTGTCCAGTACTTTGGCTAAGAAAGCACATGCAAGATATAAACACTTGTTTTGTTGTTCAACAGGGAAAGGTTTTCCCAAAATTACGGAAAAGAAGTCCACATGGCTCCTGTGAGTCCTTTTCTGATAAGGATGATGATGAGGCAACGGATTATGTGTTTCGGATAATATACCCAGGCAGTCAGGAGTTTGGTATGTGACTAAATCCAATAAGATCCTAAACTGTGGAGCTGTATGCTGTGGTCTGTCGTTGTGTTCTCCATCTAGCCTGTACTTTCTATCCTGTCTTGTCAACATCCTTCCTGTTTCTGTAGGTTATGATGGTGCCACAGCATCCCATCACCCCCACCTCATCAGCCCAGGCATGAACATCCCCTCATACCACTATATCTCTATTTCTGCAAGATCCCTCTCATGGTTCGCTTTGCTTTTGGAAGAAAGACAGAGAACCTGATCTCTGATCTTGGTCTGTCCCTTTACATTTCCACCCTAGTCACCCACTCATTCTTTAGAGCTGTAGTTCTCAGATATAACTGAACTAAACTGTGGCACAGATACTGAGGATGATGGTGATACTGATGGTGATGGTGATGGTGGTTAGGGAATATGCACCAGGTGGTGATATTTAGGATGCTCTCATAATGATGCAGTTGGCCCAGAGCTGATGGACCAGAGCATGAGCATGTGGCAGCCCACTCCAAGAAAGTCTTCCTGTTCCTCCTGCTCTCAGAATGGTTCTTCTGATGGTGGACTCCCCAATGGGTGCAACCATGACAGGCTAGTATGGCACATAACAGTACCACATTGTTTACTTTGATAAACACATACACACAAACACCAGGGTTCGAATTGGGTAGGGGCTGGACATTGACCACCCTAGCCAGCACTGGGGGGGGATCCCTTTAGTTTTGTGGGAGATCCAGGAACCCCCCAGCACTGGCTAGGGTGGTCAGTGATTTACTAGTTGCCTCAGATTGTGAAAATGTCTCTTCAGGTACTGCTGGATTTGAGTGCTTTAAGTACAACAGACCATAATATTTTAATGGACATGCTGCAAAATATGGTTGATTATGACAGTCCTTGTTTTGTTTAGGTTTCACTTGACAAACCCTTTCCAAATTGTCAGTGTAAACTGGAATTTTCTGAACATAGAGGAGTGCAACATGGTGTCCCACAAGACTCTGTTTTAGGGCCCTTACTGTTCTCCCTTTATTTGCAGGATACATAAACACAATGTTGCCTTTCACTTTTATTCTGATGATGCTCTGTTAAACATGTCAGCTCAACCAGATTCAGTGACAGTCAGCAGTGACAGTTACATGTAATGGAAGATTGTGTAAAAAAACATAACAGCCTGGATGGCGCAGTAGTCAGACCTTCCACCAGCAGAGCCTCCCAGGACCTCTGCCACAGTTCGAACCCCGGTAAATACAGCTTGCAGACTGTGATCTGTTATTATTAAACTGTATGTCTAAATCTGTTATCTTCTTTAGGGCACCTCTGAAGTTACTTTGCGAGACCATGAAGTACCAGATCATTTCTCGTGCTTTCTATGGTTGTATGTAGCATTTCCATTGTTGTTATAGTAAAAATCTAGGTCCTTTGAAAATGCATGAATTTCTCACTTTGGATTGTTTTTCTTACATTAAGGGTTAGCCTACTGCCGTCACCTGTCCACAGTCCGCACACATCTGTCGGCTCTTGTCAACCCCACCATCATTGAACCTGACATTCCCTATGATGCCAGAGGAGGACTCTCTGCAGAAATATGGAAGACATTTCTTCAGGATAGTTCTGTGAGTGGACCCGTCCAAACGTTCAAACCCTGCATTCCTGTCCAGTTACACAGTTGTCTAAATTTGCTTTAATTACATCTGTTAATCTAACATTTTCTTCCTCTCTGGCAGGCTTACGAAGAAGCGGAGCTTCTCCGGCTGGTGTACTATGGTGGTGTAGAACCTACTCTGCGGAAAGAGGTGTGGCCTTTCCTGCTAGGCCACTACCACTTCACCATGACTCTTAAAGAGAGAAAGGAGGTATGGTGAAGCCCACTTATGACTGACAGAATGGAATTAGTGTTTTGGCATATAAAACTGATGTTCTGATGCATTTCCCATAGGTGGACGAACAGGTCCGGGCCTGTTATGAGCAGACCATGAGTGAGTGGCTGGGCTGTGAGGCCATTGTGAGGCAGCGTGAGAAAGAGCAGCATGCTGCTGCCCTTGCCAAGTGTGCTTCTGGAGCCAGTGTTGACCGGAGCTTACGGCAAGACTCCACAATCAGCTCTGACGTAAGATATATTGCCATGGGAGACCTTTGGCTGATGCTAGCTAGTTAAATAGAAACCTGATAATGTTGCTGATTGGGCTGTGTTGTAGCGTCATTAAAGGGGAATTCCACCAGTTGTTTAAATATCTGCATAAATCATTTGTTGAGATGGAAACAAAGTCATTCTGAGTGGTTTGATGTGAAATGGTTCATGGTAGATAGACTTACTGACTCCGATTTCTGTACACTGGTGGTGATGGGAACCAGGCCTCCCATTATCTACAGTGCAAATATTATCATTTTATTTGCTATCCAAAATGACCAGTGAACCTACATGGGTCTTCTGAGTTTTATATATAATCTCAATAATAATAAAATAGTGGTAAATCTGCAAAAATAAGTTTTTGTTGGGTACTATTTTGCCTCACAATGCCCTGCTACCTATCCACAATGATGTGATTTAAAAAATCAGTTTTAAGCCAAAAGCTTGTCTCAGATTTATCGTAAAACGATGTCTCTGGCAACAGGCAATGTATTTGTAATCATTTTGTGTAATACTTTCTTTTGATATGACTTTTAGAGGCATTAAACACTTCAGACATGTGGTTCCTTTCACCAGCACTGTGAACAATCCTAACTCTCTGGATTCTGATTCTGAATGACTTTGTTTACATCTTGAATTAGCCAGGAAAAAAAAATGGAATTTCCCTTTAAGGTGTCACATGCACTTTGCGAAATAAATACAACTGCTAATCATGGTCCCTCCCTGATGGATTCCATTGCTGTTGCAGTCAGGGGTGGGAAAATCCATATAAATCTACTGCAAATGGAAGCATTCAAGAATTCCTCTTAATCAAAGATCCAGATAGGATTTACTAACAGTCGTGCCGCTTATACAGGAATAAATGGCGTTACACATTGCAGCAGTCCCTAAGAAACTGCTCCTAAATAGTGCATTGGGAGTCATTTTCAAAATGTACACATATGTCTCTCTAAATACATGGAAGGATAAGTGGCTGAGTGAACTAAATAATGATGCATCCTTGTCAATATTTTGCTATCTAGTCTTCCCAGAGCAGCAGCTCAGAGAAACAGAGCCATGCCTGTTCTCAAAGTGACTCCAACAGTAGCACTCAGGTGAGCATCAAGTTCAAGGTTTTCACCAGAAAACATTTCCTTGGCATTTTGTCTCACCTCCATTTGTATTGACTTGCAGGTGTTCGGGTCTGTTGATGAGGTTGACCCGATTGAATCTGAACCTAAGCCAAAAGATGAGAAGCCACAGCCCAAAATTCCAAACGGCACCCTTCCAAACTGCACCAGTTCTCCAGACTCTGGACATCCATCCTCTCGCAACTTCTCCGTCACGTCCGGACTCTCAGATTGCTCTCCAAGCACGGAGGATGCTTCTACACAAGAGTCTGGAAGCAAAATCCCACCACCAGAGCCATCAGCTGTGACCTCTGAGGTTGCAGTAGAACCTCCAGCCAACTCTAGCCTTGACAGCAAGGTCAAAGAAGAATCTAAGGAGCAGAGCGCACCGGTTGTGAATGGAGGGAAGAAAGATCCTGCGGATTTACAAACAGGAGAACTCACGACAGAAGATAAGATCAAAGCTCAGGAAGATCAGAAGTTGGAGGATTCTGATGCCAAAGAAGTTAGCGGGACTGACTCAGTGGAATCTCAGAAGGAGAAGGTGGATGTAAATGAAACATCTGAGACCAGCGTTTCTGAAATAGTAGAAAGCACATTACCTGAAATGAAAGAGAATGAGCATCATGAAACAGTGGATACAAAATCGTCAGACAACAATGAGCAAGGAAGTCAATCACATGAGGTTTCTGCTGAAGAGATGACCAAATCTTCAGAGGTGATCAGTGACTCACAAGTGGTGACTGATGCAAAGGAAAACACTGAGTCTGATTTGGAAGCAAAGTCAACCCCAGATTTAAAAGTGCAAGTACCTACCAAATGTGATCATCCTAGACCACTTACAAAACAGTATTCCGTGGATGAGCCAAAAGATACGAGCAATCCTGAGGAGACTGAGAAGACGAGAGAAACTGTGACATCTGATTTGACAAGTGAACCTTGTATGGAGTCTTCTGAAAATGAAACAAAGCCTACTCAACCTCTCCCTGAAGTACCACACATGGAATTGCTAATGAACAATCCACCTGATGTTGAGAAGCCAGCTGCACCATACTTAATGACCTGGGACTCTGATCAGAGCAGAAGCAAGGCATTAATCAAACAAATGACCGACCCTGTACCTGAGAGCTGTATTTCCTTTATGTCTTTATCAAAGCAATCACCAGACATGTCAGACGACTCTCCATCTGCTCTAGAAATGGAGGAGATCACAGCCGCTTTGGTTTATATGCCTGCAGAGGACACCCTGGTCAAGGCTCAAGTTACAATGGGACCTCCCTTGGCTCTGTCAATCCCACCAGAAAAGGTCGCAGCGGGTATGCCTTCTCTGGAGCTGTGCATGGAGGCAGGCCTAAACACTAGCCCAGAAGGTACTGAATCAGCGCTGTCTGAGGAAGAGCCAGAGATGGAGAGTCTGTTCCCCAAACCAGACTCTCTAGCTGTAGGAGGAGAACATAAAAATGATGTTGCATCTCCAGTTTCCTCCATTGGGACCACTTATTCTGTAAGTTAATTGACTCAAAGTCCCCAAGAAAAGCAGTATCTTTTGGTCTCTTTCTTGAAATGCTCATGTGTACTATTACTGGCCACTTTTTCAGATACCTTGTGTCTACACTTATTGTCCATTTTATCAAGTCAGCCTACCACTTATACAGTATAAAATTGACAGTTACAGACTGTAGTTCATCTCTTTCAATGCATAGTTTGTTATACCCTGTTCATCAATGATCAATTCTCCACACTGTGGTGACACTGACATGGTGGTGCAGTGTTGCTGAAGTTTTAAACAACTCTTAGCTGAGAATAATCCGGCAACCACAAATATTCAGCCAACAGTGTCCTGCAACCAGAAACTGACCACCAATGAAGGACTAGAGGATGATTAACACTTGAACCCTGCTGCACAACATTGACATAATGATACCATGAACATGATATGCATGTCATGATTATGTCCAGTAACAGTGTCATGTTACCATCACTGTTAATTGTCATGACGGTCCATAATGTTTGATGTCACGATAGTACACTTAGTAAAAAATGAGCACGTGACATAAGCTGTTATGTCATCAAACATTATTGTATCTATCATAACAGCTACCAGTAATGGTAATATGACACTGGTATATTACTGAACATGTTTATGGCATGGTTACGTCATATAGCAGGGTTAGCTCTAACACAAACTGTGCAGCAACGGATGAGCAATTATCTGTAACTTTACATCTGGTGGTCAAACAAGGTAGGAGTGACTAATAGAGTGGGCACAAAGTGAAACAACTGCAGTGGTGAGAATAGTCTACCACCTAATAATACCTGCTATGGTGGTCCTTTGGGGATCCTAAGGGGCATACCACTTATGCAGAGAAACAGTCCTTAGTTGTAGAACACCAAAGGGCATCTATATGGTAAGTGGACCTGATAAAAGGGACAATGAGTGTAGATACAAGGGAGGTGTACCTAATAAAGTGGACAGTGAGTTTACATTCAGAGTGTGCATTATGTCCATTTTTCCCTGTTATTCTGTAGCAAGAGCTGCTAGACTTGTACACCCTCAATCTGCACCGTATCGACAAAGACGTCCAACGATGTGACAGGAACTTCTGGTACTTCACCACTGCCAACTTAGAGAAACTGCGCAACATCATGTGCAGGTGAATCTAGAACTATTCTTTAGACATCGAACAAAAAATGGACACTGGACACTGCTATCAAAGGCCCCTAAAGGTCACTTATGCTTTTTTTTGCTTGATTTCTCTTCATAGCTACGTTTGGCAGCATCTAGATATCGGCTATGTGCAAGGAATGTGTGACTTACTTGCACCCCTACTAGTTATTCTTGATGATGGTAAGTTCACATCAAGTTCCTTAAACTCTACAGTCTACTAATCCTCTCCTTTATGGTCAGGTCTATTAATATTCGGACATCTACAAACTTATTAATTTCACTGTCTACCACAACATATTGGAACACAGTCACACATTGTAAACACGGTCATTCAGAGTGTTTTCATGGGAAAATGGTTTGTTGCAGAGAAACTTACCAACACTGATATCTTTACAATGGTGGTGATATAATCCAGGTGAGGAACAAGGGGTTGCAATGTCTACAACCCAAATATAGCTGTTTTATTTACTATCCAAAAAGTAATGTAATGATAAAATGGTGGTACAATCGAAAAAAATGCATTTGGGTACTATTTTGCCTTAAAATGCTGTGAATGACGTTTGAAAATTTTGTTTTAGGACAAAATCTGATCTCAGAACTATCATAAAACATTGTCTTAGGAACTGGGCAGTAACCATTTCATGCATTAACTGATGTGATGTAGCTTCTAGAGCCATGAAACACTCTGGACATCTGGTTCCTATCACCACCACTTTAAAACATTTAGCATGTTTCTCTTGAATTGAACATTACACATCAGCCCCCTCTGAATAACTTTGTTTACATCATAAAAATTGAATTATGCAGAAAGAAATTGGTGGAATTGTCCTTTATGCTCCTTCACAGAAGCCTTTTTGCAACAGTGTATTGATTATTAATAGGAAGTGAATCATTGTGTTCCTAACTGTATTCTCTAGGCTTTTGGTCTGACTCAGTATCTTTCTTTTTTGTTAGAGGCCATGGCTTTTAGCTGCTTTACAGAGCTCATGAAAAGAATGAATCAGAACTTTCCTCATGGAGGAGCAATGGACACCCACTTCGCCAACATGCGTTCCCTTATTCAAGTATGACTACATGAAACAATTTTTTTCAGCGAGCAGTGACTTATTACGTGTTTCTACACTTTCAATAGTGCTTTTTTATAATTCACAGATTCTTGACTCTGAGCTATTTGAGCTGATGCAACAGAATGGAGACTACACCCACTTTTACTTCTGTTACCGGTGGTTCCTCCTAGACTTTAAGAGAGGTAAGATCGTACATAAAACTGGGCAGTGGTTACCATTACTGTAGTCCCAAATAAAGAAATAATTTTGTCTACAATGCACCGTTTCACATTAATCCACACTGAGTGATATTGTTTACATCTCAACAGTTTAACTGTGTAAAAAGCGTGTGGCAACAGTGCATAAAATCATGCAGATATGACCAGCAGCTTCAGGTAATGTTCACATCAACCATCAGAATGGGGGAAAAATATGATCAGTGATTTTGACCGTGGCATGATTGTTGGTGCCAGACAGGCTGGTTTGAGTGTTTCTATAACTGCTGATCCCCTGAGATTTTCACACACAGCAGATGCTAGGGTTTACTCAGAATTGAGCAGTCAGAAATGCTACAGTAACTTAGATAACCCCTATTGTGGTGAGCAGAAAGCATCTTAGAATGCACAACATGTCGAACCTTGAGGTGGATGGGCTACAACAGCAGAAGAACACATCATGTTCCACTTGGCTTGGGTGACAGACGTTCTGTGTTTTTCCAGTCTGGAAAAAAATTGCCTGGTCTGCTGAATATTGATTTCTGCAGAGGCGCACAGATGGTAAGGTCAGAATTTGGCACCTATATCATGAATCCATGGACCCAACCTGCCTGGTGTCAACGGTCCAGGCTGGTGGAGGTGGTGTAATGGTGTGAGGAATGTTTTCTTCGCACACTTTGGGCCTGTTAATACAAATCAGTCACCACTTGAATGCCACAGCCTTTTTGAGTATCGTTGTTGATCATGTGTATCCCTTCCCTCAAACTGGTTTCGTGAACATGACAATGAGTTCCGTGTTCTTCAGTGGTCTTCCCAGTCACCAGATCTGAATCCAGTATACCACCTTTGGGATGTGGTAGAACCGGAGGTTCACGGCATGAAAGTGCATCTAAAAAAATCTGCAGACATTGCATGATATAATGTCAACACTGACCAGAACCTCAAAGGAATATTTCCAACAGTGTTTCTAATCAAGTGCTTGGTGAGTGTAGGTGTTACAGACACCTTAATGCTGTTAACGCTGTTGTTTGTGTGTGTCTCCTAAGAAATGGTGTATGATGACGTGTTCTCCGTATGGGAGACCATCTGGGCCGCCCGCACCATCTCCTCTGGGCACTTTGTGCTCTTCATTGCCCTGGCCCTGGTTGAGCTGTACAGAGACATCATTCTGGAAAACAACATGGACTTCACTGACATCATCAAGTTCTTCAACGGTAAAATGCCACTAAAGCATATTGTATTAGTAGTACAAAGCACAATAGTTCAGTTGCCAATCATCAGTTTCCCCATGTTTTATTTCAGAAATGGCTGAGCGACATGATGTCCCAAAACTTGTCGTGATGGCCCGAGACCTGGTCCACAAAGTCCAGATCCTTATAGAGAACAAGTGATTCAGCATCTTTCACCATTCGCTCTCCATTGTCTAATGAAGAAGACTACTTGTACCCTTTTTCTGCGTGTCATACATTCGAACCCAGCTCTTAGATTGCTTCTTCCTCTTGACCTCCACAGGGCACTGCTGAGAGCAGGTTCTAAGGTTCTACGCCAGGTAAAAAGCAAGAGTTGGCCAAAAGAAACTGCTGAAGAGCAATAACACCCGATGAAATTTAAATAGAAAATAGATATAGTAGATTACAATCCTTAGCAAAAGAAAGTCCAGTTTTGTACAAGATTATATAAGACCGTAGACCAGAGGTCTTCAAATCCGCACCTTGAATCCAGTTTCCAGTCCTGGGTTTTGTGATCACTGGTTGTGGTTGGCCAGCCAGTCACATCAAGCTTTATCCAAACTTGATGGGACCCGACTGCTAACGTCAGGGTCAGAAATCGTTTCAAATTTCACAGTCAGGTTCTCTTAGTTGGTCTCCCACTTTTAACAGATTTTACCCTGGATCTCCCCCACTTTAGTTTTTCTCTACTTTCATTACCACAATGAGCCCATACCCTGCAGTTTTCTTGTATTTATTTTTTCCACTGACATCCATTTATAACATTTGTGTGGTTTTATGTACCAAAAATGAATTAATTCTCTTTAACATGACTATTTCCCACCTCTTTTAATCACTTAGAATTAAACAGGATGTTTTGTTACTGTGCCTTTAAAACATATACATATAAATACATGTAAATGAGCTCTGTTCTGATTGGCTGCTCTGTATTGTGTCTCATTCAAAAATCAGTCCAGGCTGAAATGCTCCTTATAGTTTCATCATGAATGGGTTGAGCTGGGTTGAAACTGCAGTAGGCTCAGTAGGTGGATATATGTAAGTGTGTTGCTTCTTAAGAGAAAATGGATGCGCAGGAAACAAAACAGTGCCAAAAGGATGTTTGTTAATTTGGTCGACCAAAAGTAATTATGTCGTATGTTCAATGTAAAGATTAAACAAGTAAAGGCTAATTTTGCTATATCAGCACTGCACACCATGAGAACAGCTGCTTAGTAAATTTGAATTCAAAGTTAATTTCAGACAGATGATTATTTATTATATCTTATTATTTCACAGATTTTTCTTCTATTTATTCATGATCTAGTGATGGCTGTGATCCAATAACAGCTACTATTGTTGCCACACAATAATTTCACCTATCTATCTATTGTTAGAATTACCAGGGGCACCTGTTGATGTCACAGCCGTTCGAGTCCAAGACAGCATAACTCCCATCTCTCTCTAGGTGGGTAGGATGGTCTTAACTTTCCTCCAAGAACTCATCGTGATGCCAGCCAATGCAGGTGTCTGTTAGCTGACTTGACAGAATTGGCAGTTAATGTTCTCCTCCAAGCATGTTGAGCTGTTCACTGATTGTTGTTTTAAAAGATGCGGTGGGGCTACACGTGCCTCTGAGGAAGCGCGTGCTAGCCTTCACCCTTCCAGTGTGGTAGCACTGTGCGATAAAGGGAGACCCAGCTAGCGTGCAGAATTGGTTTTGACTGAATTGGGGAGAAAAATGAATAAAAATCAGGTTTTATTTGCACTTTAGCTGAGGGACTGGTTTGGATCAGTTTCAGACATAACTTTTTTTGGGCTTGGATCAGCCTTAGACTCAGGCTCAGGTGGGGTTCAGACAAAATTTTGTTGGGCTTGAGTCGGGTCAGGTACGGACTCAAATGTTCTGACCAGTATAGCGTCTAGAGTATAGCTCCAGTCAGCAGTCCAATTAACAAGCATCATCATCATCCTCATCATCTTTAACTGCTTAGTCCAGCTAGGGTCATGGTAACAGTTGGGAGAGCAGAGAATCCCAACCAACCCTGTCCCCTGCAACTTCCTCCAGCTCATTCCGGGGGACCCCGAGCCGCTCCCAGGCCAGCTTGAAGATATAATCCTTCCAGCGGGTCCTAGGATGACCCCGGGGTCTCGTCCCTTTAGGCCATGCCTGGTAAACCCCCACTGGGAGGGGTTCAGGGGGCATCCTGATCAGATGCCTGAACCACCTCAACAGGCTTCTCTCAATGAGGAGGAGTAGCGGCTCTACTCTAAGCTCCTCTTGGATGACCGAGCTCCTCACCCTGTCAAGTATAGTGTATCCTGCCAACCTGCAAAGAAAGCCCGTTTGTGCCGCCTATATTCGTGATCTCATTCTTACGGTCATTACCCACAGCTCATGACCATAGGTGAGGGTTGGGATGTAGACCGACCGGTAAACAGAGAGCTTTGCCTTATGGCTCAGCTCCCTCTTCACCACTACAGTCCGGTACAGCGACCGCATTACTACTAATTAACAAGCAGTGATTACAACATCCATACTGGAAACTGGTCCAAAGTACAGTCAACGTTGACGGAAGCCAAATTTCCCTCTACCAACGCAGATTCTTTGAAAAGCACAAAACATTGAAATTGTGGTCTTTTTTATCATTTGTTCAAATTAGAAACACAGACAGTTCCCAAATGTGTCGAGTATTGCTTGTTCGTCATGCCATCAGAATATTTGCACACAAATCTTAGTCTGTGTCAGCACACCGTTCAATTTTCAGGTATTACTGAACTTGTATTATAAATGAGAAAATGATGATTTTTTGTAATTATTACTTAAACTTTCTGCCCCCAGTGACTTTGTCACTCAGTGACATGTTGAGCTGCTACACAATTATGTACCTCACTCAGCGAACCAACCTTACTCGAAAAACAATCTATCGATAATATATCTATAATCTCGGAGATGTGTTTATTTTTTATCTGTCTTTTTTGCCTTAAGTTCCTTTGTTTAGGGACAAGTGCTGTCAGTTTGTTTCTGCTCAGTGAGTGATTATACCACGAGGCCGATTAGTGGGCTATGTCTCTGCATCAGAATGTGGGTTGACTGAAGCCATTATACGTGAGACTTGTTCATACATTACTGTAGTCGGCATATATAACATTTACATGAGGAGTGTGTGTGTGTGTGTGTGTGTGTGTGTGTGCGTGTGTGCGTGTGTGTGTGTGTGTGTGTGTGTGTGAGAGAGTGAATACGTGTGTGCGTGTGTGCTCTGATCTACCAGCAACCAAAATTTTGTATGGTTGTCTCATACTTTTAGCACTGGATTCAATGTGATTGTAGGAATCTGCTAAAAAAAAATATCTTGTAATTCAAACCACGTGTTTCAAGTGCCAGTGTTATCAACACTAACCATCACCCATATGACATTTCCATCTATATCTGTGCGTATTGCCATTTCTTAATAGAACACAGTATAAAAATAAATGAATGATATGGAAAATTAAATTATTTGTGAATTGTACAAAGTGCTGTATTTGAAAGTGACGATTTATTTATGAGAACGGAAATATAACAGATAACCTGACTATGTTAAAAGATTATACTCTACGCTTATATATTTTTATTGTAATCTGTGTAACAATATAATATATTGTCAGAATGTTGTGCCACTAACGATGATCTGTATTGTAATATGGAATAAATGTGAACTGTGGTGAGTGTTTGTGCTTCAGTTATTTGCATCATTTTACAGTTAAACTGTACTTGGAAAAATGACACAGACACGTCGCCAAACCTTAACACCCGTTGAGAATGCGAGGATTTATAAATGTAAACGATAATGCAAATTCATGTCAGCGCCTGCCTTCTGGTTTCCAAGCCTCGCCCCGTTTCACCACATTGTGCTTGTATCTTTAGAGAATGGGGGGTGCAGCCTTCTGTCTGAACAGGCTGAGCAGATAAAATTAGTGATATTTCCAGTTTGTCATACAAGTAATAATAGACCATAAAAACAAAAATGGTAGATACTGAAGAGTGCTAAAGTAAGTCTTCAGTAGGGTTCACTATAGCACCAAAAAGAATTCTTCTATTATTACAAGCTTGACATCATAACAATAGAAGAACCCTTTTCAAAAAGGTTCTATATAGAACCATCTACAGCACATTTCCCATCAGTCTGAAGAACCATTTCAACAAGGAGTTCTTTAAATGTTCATGGTTCTATACAGAACAATTTTCTTTACTAAAGAACCCTTGAAGAACCTTCATTTTGAAGTAGCAGAATAAAGACCATAAGCTTTCATTCAAAAAAAAACATTTTTATGACTGCCTGCACTGAAAAATGTTTTTTAATGGTGAACAGCTTCTTGGATGGCTTATTATGCTTATATCAAGTCAAATCAAGTCAGCTTTATTATCAATACTATAATATGTACAGGACATACAGAGTATTGAAATTGCATTACTCTCAGACCCCATGGTGTAGCAATAACATTAAATAGAAAGTAAACAGGAAAAGTGTGAATTTAAATAGACATTAAAAAAAAACACTAAACACTAATCGTAAAATAAACACTAATTGTAGGAAAATAGAATAATAAAAAATATATAAATATAGAACGTCCTGAAATTAACACTAAAGTGACATAAGGCACATACAGATTAATATAGACTTATATACTTATCATATAGACTGATTTATATAGACTGGTATTTGTGTCAAATGTGTTACTAGTTGAGTGAAGAAGTGAAGAGTTCACATTTTTCTGTTAAAAAACAAGGTTTTCTCAGTACATCTGTTAAAAAGCATTTCTGGGGTGCTATGTAGCAGCTTACTTTTGTATGAGGTGTATGAGCTTGAACCTATCACAGTCCAATATACTAAAATATGCTAATGTGAAGATTATGACATGGTAACTGCAAGTTTATAGATACAAAGCAAGCACTAGCAGCTTGACGTTAGAGATGTTTGGACTGTACAGGAAGCTGCTAAACACAAATGATGGCTATGAATATGGTGCCTAATGCAGCCGTACATATAGTGTGTTGTAAGGCATAATAGTGCGCAACGAATTTTTACAGCAAGAAGATTTACAGCTATTTTACCTTTATCACCATTACATATTGTTACTGTTGGAACAAAACCTAGTATCTCCCAAATTGTAGATAAAGAAATACAAATTTTTTGGACAAGAGTGGAGATATATAACCTCATGTAGGTTTACTGCTCAGAAGTTGTGTTTGTGTTCAATCACTGTAAATTTCTCTACAGTGGACCATTTCAGATCAAAACACACTGAATGACTTTGTTTACACATGAATTGTGCAGAATTTGGAAAAATCTGTGGAATTCCCCTTTAAGTTTAAATTTAGACCCAAATGTTTTGTTCGTCTACATTTCAAAGTGTGATTCTGTTTGTATCTAGTTTGGTCTTTATCATCATGTGTTTATTTGCTGTTCAGGTTCCACGGGAAAGGCCGGGTAGTGCAGCTTAAAGGGGAATTCCACCATTTTTCCCAAATTTCTATATAACTCAGTGGTTAAGATGTAAACAGAGTCATTCAGAGTGGTTTGCTGTGAAATGGTTCATTTTTAGAGAAACTCAAATTTCTTTACAGTGGTGGTGATAGGAACCAGGTGTCACCATGACTACAACACAAATATAAACATTTTATTTACTATCCAAACCACCAGTGAACCTACACGTGTCTTCTGAGTTTTTATATTTAATGATGACAATGATAAAAGGCATAAATCTGAAAAAAAAAACAAGCTTTCTTTGGTGACTGTTTTGCCTTACAACGTCCTGCATGTATCCCTCCACCACAAATGGATTAAAATAAATGGATTAAAATACATTTTAAGCCAAAATTTCATCACAAAATTATCACAAAACAATGTCTCAGACATCAGGCTGAGTATTCATAACCGTATCATGTAATACATTTCTGTGAGGGAGCTCTCAGAGGCATTAAACTCTTCAGATGACTGGGCTCCCATCATCACCACTTGTTTTTTTACATCTCAAACATTTAATTCTGAATTTTTTAAAAATCAGTGGAGTTCCCCTTTAAAGTTCAGAAAGTTTGACTTATGAATAGGAACTTTAGCAAGAAAATAAATGTATTAAATAATTCATCTTTGGTCCTGTGATTATAAAAGTACCCAGCATGCTTCGTTTCTAGCTATTGGTTTATTTTATTTATTTATTTATTTTTTGCAATACATACGTCGCTGTCCAATGAAAAACATGTATCTCCATTTTTTGCAATTTTTACTTTTCAGCATCATTTGAGCTCAGCTGTCCTTTACATTGTGTGACAATTTCATGATGATTGGACCAATAGAAATGCTTCAATATTGCTTAGAATAAAATTTCTTTCTGTTGACTTACATTGAAAGTAAAGAAAGTTTTTGCCCTCTCCTGTAAAGTTACAATTTTGGAGATACCTGTTTTTCTTTGGACAGTGTCGACATGCAGGAGATACACCAGTAACAATGTTAAAAGAATATGGTAAACAGGAAAAGAAGAAGAAAGAGTTACAGAATTACAGGGGGATATTAACACAGTAATCAGAGGAAAAGATGTACAGACATTACAGGTTTTAAGGATGATGTTTACTGGACCAGAAAATTACAGATATGCACTACCATTTTTTAATGAGAGTGAAAATAGTACAAATACAATAATGTCAACCTACAAATTGCACAAACATGCAACATTATAACAGTTATAAAGAAAAGAGCCGGGGGGCAGAACACATGGTTTTCCAAAAATATAATAAAGAAGGTGTTAATACAAAAATAAGTTTTAACAGCTTTTTATTGTTTTTGGAGAGGGTAACTGAAGTTAAGTATGTTATGTAGCTGTTTCAAATGTAAGAAAATTGTTTGGAATGAATAAATGTACATTAATATGAAATTAATATGAAGTCAAACAGTGCAATAACCAAGCAAAGATTAAATTCAGGGTCAATATGATCAATAATAAAGATACACACATCTTTTCGTTTTTGTATGGGTGCAGCGGCAAAACAGGTGTAGAAGAGTTTCTGGGTTTACAGCGCAGAATGAACAGCTGACGCTGAAATCCTTTGTAAATTTAACAAGAAACGGGTTCACTGGATCACATCTATGTATAATTTTATAAGAGACTTCCTTTATTCTATTCATTAACAGATATTTAGATGGTAAAGCCCAAATCTAGTCGAGATTTTTTACAAGAAAATTCGAGTATGTAACGGCATAAGGGTTAGAAATAATTAGAATGGTTCTTCTATGGAAGTAGAAGAGAACCATATTCAAACTAATTTGTGAAGAATAAGGATTGATTTTTATATATATATATTTATTATTCCAAATAAATACGTATGAGGTGATAAGTTATGTTTGTAGGCCTATATGAGGGACCAAACTAGTAAAACCTGCTGATGAAAGTTAGTTAATTAGAGCAATATGGCTCTAGAATAGTACTAATTCTAATACCCCATTAATGCTTAATTTTTGAATTGTACAAATTTTACATGATGTTTTTCCAAATAAAAAAAGTGCTATGATTTTATTTTATTTTGTTTATTTATTAAATTAAAAAAATAAAACCCTGTCAGGAAACATCAAACAGAAACATCAAAATAAAAATAAACCAGAACATGAAAAAAAAACTTACTTATACAAAAATATAAAAAGATTTACATAATTTCAGTGTTTTGACAGCTTTCTTATGATTAGAACCAGGAACTGTTTTCAAGAGTTTTTAGGCTTCATTAAAAAATACGCTCTACACTGTAGAAACAAGCTACAGCTGGGGAGAGACATGAGGAATAAACAAACAAATAATCAAACAGAAAATAAGAAAATACATAAATTATGATAATAAGACAAACTAGTACAGAGAAATATCAATTAATTCAAGGAGACAACAAAATAGTACAAAATTATAAAAAGGGCTATTTAATGCCAAAATCAGAGCACAGGTTCCAGGTTTTCACAGCTTTCTTATTACAGGAAGAAGACAAAGTTTTCACATAGTATTCAACATCTTTGATATAGTGAGAAAAAAGGGTGTACCTTTTTTGCACCTTACATTTATGAATATAATACTTTGCCAGCAAAATGAGGAGATTACATAAGAAATATTCATTTTTCAAATCATTTTGGTAATTTGTAAACCCAAATAAAACATTTTCAAAACAAAGTTCAAATTCACTATAAATAACCTCCACAACAAAGCTACAAATATTTTGCCATAGTCTTCGAGTTTGATCACAAAGAGTTTCTGGGTATAAAACTACAACTTATATCAACGGATACTTTAAACCTGGACACCAGAAGGGATTTTACTGGATACATTTGGTGAATAACGAATGACGTCAGTGAGCGGGAACAGCCAATGAGCTGCTCCGCTGGCCAATCAATCATCACGCTCTAGCAGTAATGCCCGCCTTCTGCTGCCCAAAACCCGTTTGCTGTAGAAAAAGGGAAATATATGGGCAAGATTACTTTGTTTATTTAGTGAAATACATCCTTCTACTTTCTAAAATTAAAGAAACGTTCTGGTTCAGTGATTAGAAACTATTTTAACTTCGCGTTTTTAGCCGTTGAGCTCCGTTCACTCCCATTCATTTAGGACTCGCTCGCGGGCGCCCTCTGCTGTTTGGCAGTCCTGTTTTTGATATAACGGGGAGAATAGGAAGCGGACAGGCTCCTCATAGACCGGCTCTGGCTGGTCAGATATGTTTCTCCTCTACTTCCAAAAAAAAAAAAAACAAACAAACAAACAGGGATATTCGCAGACTGTTTCAAAGAGATGTCACTTCTATTCCTTATGCAGTTACATATTGGAATTCTCTTGTAAAAAAATCCTGATTGGAAATATATTTGGACCTTACCGTCTAAATATCTGTTAACCAATAAAATAAAGGATGTTTCTTACAAAATTATACATAGATGTTATCCAGTTAACCAATTTCCTGCTAAATTTAAAAAGGATATCAATCTCAACTGTTCTTTCTGTGATGTAAATACAGAAACTCTTCTACACCTGTTCTGGCGCTGCTCCCACAGGAAAAAGCTTTGGAAGGATGTGTGTAGATTTATCATGGATTGTATCGACCCTGATTTTAATCTCTCTTTGGATAATGTGTTGTTTGGCTTCAGGCGTTATAAAAATAATAAAGTGAAAGAATATTATATTATTAATTTGATCATCTTTTTGGCAAAATTTCATATACATAAATGTAAATTTACTCACTCCAAACCAGATTTTCTCAATTTCGAAATAGAAGCTAAACAATACAACTTTTATTACCCTCTCCAAAAACAAAAAAGCTGTCAAAACAATGAATATATGCACCTTATTTAATTTGTTTCTGTAAAAACATGTGTTCTTTCCCCTGGCTTTTTTTCTTTCTTTCTTTCTTTCTTTGTTTAAACTTTGTTGTTTAAATTTGTTACCACATTTTTCTTATGCCATTTGTTATCTGACTTAACTATATCTGTTCTGCTTTATACTGCTTTTGTACAAATGTAATTATTTTATAAACAATTGGGAAAATAAATAAATAAATAAATAAATCACCCGGCTCTGGCGTTATACGCTTACGTCATATTTACGCGCATGGGTCCTTCTCTGCCCACGTGGTGCACGCAAAGTCAAGCGAACACCCCAGAGAGCCGGACTGGGAATGACGGACAGGCGGAGGCTGAGCAGCGGAACCCGTGTAGATCAGACTGTCTGAAGGCTCGTCCCCGAAGATGAACAGTGTGGGCGAAGGCTGCACGGAGCTGAAGCGGGAATACGACCAGTGCTTCAACCGCTGGTTCGCTGAGAAATTCCTGAAGGGAGATCGGAGCGGCGATCCCTGCACGGAGATGTTCAAGAAGTACCAGTCCTGTGTTCAGGTACATCTTCCCCAGCACTAACCTCTGAATTAACTCGGTGTTGAGGGTGGTTTGGCCGTGTCTCAGCGTCCTCAGAGCCCCTCAGAATGAAGCTGCTGGATGTTTATCGCCTCAGAGATCAAAGGAAAGACATCTTGACTCTTGATCTTCTGATTTAGACCCAATAAAGGCCCTGAGCTTAACCTCAGAGCAGCGTTTAGGTCTGAACGCTTAAACTAAACCAGAATATATGCTGTGTAGCTCAAAGTGAAGATTTAAGCTCCAGATCAACTGCATAAAAGGGGAAGTCCACCGATTTTTCAAAAAAATCTGCAGAAGCAAATGGGTGAGATGTAAACAGTCATTCTCAGTGGTTTGGTGTGAAGTGCTCCGCTCTGGAGAAACGTGCAGTCAGAATTGTTCACAGTGGTGGTGATAGTAGGAACCAGACGTCCACCTCTGAAAGCTCCCTCAAAGAAAGTGATCACATGAAGTGGTTAGATATATGCTGCCTGATATCTGACACGTTGTTTTTTTTTCCAGATTTATCACCATTTTACCATCATCACTATTACATTAACATAACATAAAACTCAGAAGGCAGGTGTAGGTTCACTGGTGGTTTTGGGTAGTAAATAAAATGGCTACATTTGTGTTGTAGACATGGTGACACCTGGTTCCTATCAGCGCCACTGTAAAGAAATCATAGTTGGTATGTTTCTCTACAAGGAACCATTTCACATCAAACCACTCTGAATGACTGTTCACATCTCAAGGACTGAACTATTCAGAAATTTTGAAAAATTGGTGGAATAAAGTGTCATACGTGGTTCAAACCATGTTTAGCAGCCACACTTACTAACCACAATAGAGTTTCCAAACTTTAAAGGGGAATTTCACTGATTTGTCCTTTTTTCTGCATAATTCAGTTGTTGAAACGTAAACAGTGGTGTTTAAAGTGGTTTGATATGAAATTGTGCATTGCAGAGAAATTTCAGAGGGACCTTTTGGTTTCCCCTTTCCTGGGAAAAGCTTTTCGTGTATGTAAATGGTTGGCAAAGCTTAAAGAACACGCCAGAGGGAGAAACTCTCTCCCATAGAAACCACTTTTCTCAGCTGTCTGAAATGCCTTGTTGGAATTCCAGCCCTTTTGCTTTGTTACAAGATGACACAGTCTTGTAACACAGTCCTTATTGCCCGCCTACCGTCAAGCTTGCCACACCTTCACACAACACAGCAACTACCAGAGGCCGGGAAGAGTTTGTTCAGTGTTGTAACCGTATGTGGAGAAGACGCTGACCTGACTTTCAGGATCAGACTCTGGCACAAACTGACACGGCAGAACTGACACCAATGGGACACAGTGGTGTTTACAGCTGCTCAGGAGAGAACGGTCTGTCTGCAGACTGCAAGACAGGGGCGGAATTTGTAGGAGCGGAACTGCTCTGGTGGTTGACCAATCAGAACAGAGTTGGCGAGCTGACCAATCAGAGCACAATGGTCTCATTGGGAGGCGGTGCTTAAAGACAAAGGCGCTCTAAAAGAGTGTTTCAGACAGAGGGTGAATAGAGATGTACAGTAAGAGAAAAATAATGTGAACACTGAAGCATGTAAATCTGTTCTAGTAGACCCAAAAATAAAATTATGAATATTCAAAATGAGCATAATCAGTCCCCTTTAACAGACTCAGATTTCTTTTCAGTGGTGGTGAACCAGAGGTCTTGAGGTCTACAACACAGATAGAGCCAGTTTATTTATCCAAAACAACCAGTTAACCTACACGTCCTCTGAGGTCCTTATATGTCATGTTGATAATGCTAACAGAGGTCTGGAAAAAATGTTTTCTTTAGAGACTGTGGGGCTATGAAAATGCCCTGCACGTATCGCTCCACCATGAATGACTTTAAAAAATACATATTACGTCAGAACCTTATCTCAAAACTAAAACAACGTCTCACGCATCAGACGTCAGCGTATTCCAAACCAGTTTATGTAGGAACTTTCTGTGAAATAAAAAGCTTTGAATGCCCTGCATGAACCACACTGTCACTGATGTGTTCAAAACAATACATTTTTGTCTCAAAATGATCAGAAAACAATGTCTCAGATGTCAAGCAGCATATTAATAACTGTTTCTGGTAATCAGTCTCTTTGAAGTAGATTTCAGAGGCATTAAACTCTTTAGGACGTCTGATTCCTGTCACCACCACTGTGAACAATTCTGACTCGGCAGGTTTCTCCAGAACGGAGCATTTCACACCAAAACACTGGCTGTTTACACCTTAATGATTTCATTTAACTTTTTTTCAAAAACTGATGATTCCTCTTTAAAAGTGCAGTGTGTAAGATTTAGAGAAATGCAATATAGTATACAAAACCATGTTTTAATTAGTGTAAAATCACCTGTATCTGTGAATGATTGTTCGTTAGCTTAGAATGAGCCCGTCATATCTACATAGGGAGCAGTTCCTTTTCCAACAGAGACCGCCATATTGCACCGCCATGTTTCTATAGAAGCCCAAAATGTACAAACCAAACACTGGCTCTAGAGAGCTCCCTCTTTCGTTTTCACATTGAAGCGGTAGCCTGAATTTGGTGATGCTATAGCACCAGCTGGAAGACGCAGAAAGAAGATTCTGCGGTTTCTGCTGGCGCTGGCTAACCATTTTGTGTTATGAGAAGTTTGAGAACCCAAATTTTGACAAATTTTATTTAGCACAAGAAAAAGCAAAGGAGTGTGAGTCCTCGTTATCACAGAAGCAAAAACATGACGAAGCAAAACAAATTGGGACAGGCCATGGCAGAAAACCTGACAGACACCATATATACATCCAGCGCCACTGTGGGTGGCAGCCTTTCCAGTAGTGCTTTCTTGTGCTAAATTTCCTTCGGGATCAATGAAGTATCTGTCTATATATCTAGGTTCTACTACACACTTGCACATGGAGGGGTATTCAGTTGGTTGCAGTCTGCTATCTCACCACTAGATGCTGCTAAATCTTACATACTGCACCTTTAAAGCAAAGGTTTACACAGAAATCTGATTTACACAATTTACCCCATACACAATAGATTGTTTTATGTCCAAAGTTTACTTCTTTATTTTTGCCCTGGGGCTAAAAGGCCAATGTAATAGAAGTCCATTACTTGTTAGCTACATTAGCCTTGTAGCTCCAGTGCAAACTTCCGACACCAAACTTGATCAACTGTGTTTGAAGGGGAAATTGTGTAAACTAGGTTTTTTGGTGAACCATTAATTTTGTAGCCTAATGTATCATAAACTAGTTCATGTTTTTATTTTTGCAGAAAGCCATCAAAGAAAAGGACATTCCTATTGATGGTGTGGAGTTCATGGGGCCAAATAAAGAGAAGCCTGGCAGTTGATGGGGTCTGAAAGGAGCTGAAGGAAGCAGTCATTCTCTACTGCCTGTTTGTCAGGGATATCTTCCTGACTTGGACTGGTGACACTGGCATCATCAAGAAGCTCTAGATATGAAGACTTGCTTTTGAGTACTTTTTTGGGTACAGGGACAAACTGAGTGGTTGGGTAACATGCATCATAGAAACGTTACTAATTTGGTATTTTAAGCATAATCAGTGAAAACGCTATAAAGATGTTCATGGTATGCTCAATTAGTCAGTAACTGTCATTGCTTTTGGACATGTAGGCAATGTGTACCTGGTGGATGATGTTATGAATCTTGTAATGAATGTTTGAACCATTGGATAACTGGAATAATGTGAAGCTATTAACCTGCCTTTGGAATATGGCTGTTATTTAGCATAGGAATTTGGTGTTACCTCTTTTTCTTGCTCACACATTGATCTTTATTCACAAAACTTAGTAGGAAAGCTGATTTAAGATGAGATTCTTGTCTTATTTACAGTGTTCTTACTGATGGGAACTAGATCAGCACTCCCATTCTGAGATGTTAGTATATAAGAGAAACAAAACAAGCAAGTTCCAATTTGCCGTTACTGATGTTCAATAATGACACTTTACCAAGATTTGGGAGAACAACTTCATGATTCAATGTTTTAATTGAAAAAGAAGAAAACACTTTGTATACACCCATTACATGATACAAAAAGGGAGTAGGGTGCACACACACAAAAAAATTAAAAGATCAGTCTTTTATTTAAAAGAAAAAAAGTGTTGATTTTGTAGATTAATCAAATTCATAATGTCCCAACAGCTTTTTCAATATTAACATTTACGGTAGACAGAAGTCATAATTATGGTGACTGTTGTAAATGCAACAGACTAAAAGCTCTTGCATGTCAGAATATCTCCTCTGTAACATTCTCTCTTTCTGGAAATTAAGTTAACCAGAAGAGGAATACTTTTGTTGAGACCATTTTGTACAGTGAAGGCCATTGGGGTGTCTTAATGACGGAATGTAAATTACAAAATTAAGAATCAAAACAAAAAAATTAAAAAGGTGGGAAAATGGGGCGTGGGTGACTTCAACAGCTCTGGCATCTCTTGGCTCTTTACCGATAGTGGCGTGGGGGCGGGCTGTGGTGCTGAGGTGGGGCTCGTCGAGGGGGAGGGCTATGACGGGACATATAACGCGGAGGGGAGCGGTAGCGAGGAGGCGGGGACCCTCTGCTCTGATAAGGAGGTGTATAACGCCCACGAGACCTGGATCTGGAACGTGAACGACCCCAACTTGTACCTCTCTCTTCCAGAACTCTGATGTATGCAGTCTCCCCCTATGTAAAAACAAACAAGCTGTTAAAAAGGCATTCACCGAAAACATCCTCTCTATAAAGAAATATAATATCGTTCTACAAAAACAGAAACAAAAGTCTTGGTAAGAGAGATTTTAAGTCGTAATTAACTAGGGATGGGCAATAAGACAATGTTTATTGTTATTGTGATAAACTGAATTATCCCCACTTTTTTCAAATAAAAGAGTTTGATAATACATAAACACTGCTAAAATTTAAGATACTATAATTTAACATACTATTCACTCCCCAGTCTATATATAGAAAGTACGTTGCCTGTTTTGAATTCATTGTGTCTGTGATGACATGAAAACTAGCAGTTTAGCAGTGTAGCTCCGCCCATTCATGCTGAAGTTATAAGGTGTGTTTCAGCTCGGTTTTGAATGAGGCACAATATATGACAGTCAAAACAGAGCTCATTTACACAGAGCAGTCGTAAAGGCATGGTGACAAGACAGCCTGTTTAATTCAAAGGGATAATGGGAAATGATCTCAAGGAAATGAAATACTGTGATAAATACATCTAAGTAGTGTGATAATATATTTTTGCCCATTATTTCCCAGCCGAAGTCATTAGTGTAATTAAGCACTGTCCTGAATATTAAAATTAAATTTTAAACCTGGTGGGATCTGAACTCTGTCCCGTCCAGTCGACGCAGGGCATACTCCATATCTTCCCGTCGGAGGAATTCCACCACTCCTTCACCATCCCTTTGAACATCAGCAAAGCATACGTCTCCTGCCTCCCTCATGTGATCTTTGAGGTCCTGCCAACTGCCAGTAGGAGGAAGACCTGCAAGGAAAAAGAAAAACAGGGTTCAGATACCAAATCAGTATAAATACCTTTCAAATGGTAACATGCCACTTTAGTCATCTTCCAACACTTCAAAAATAATTTACATGCAAGTATGCTATGCACATGTACCTCTGGTCACACTGAAGACATAAAACATTTTGACCTACCGGTGACTATAACCCGGAACTCAGATCTGCGTGACGGAGGCCCAAACCTTCCCCTTGGTCCTCCTCCAACAGGTCCACTAAATTTGGATCCTGAGGATCGAGGATATTCCACACGCAGCTTACAGTCTCCAAATCCATATCCATTCCTTCCATAGACAGCATCCTCCGCATCCCTATGGGAAGAGAGTAAAGTGCTCCTAACTTTCTTTCTAATGAGGGACACCTGAGAAATGTCTCCTCCATGTGTTTCCTGACGTCAGTCAGTGATGATGAAAATGAAACATCAGCCCTGGAACTCACCGTGGGTCCTCAAAACGAACAAAGGCAAACGGGATGGTGCCTCGGTTGTTCTTCAGCTCGATATCCCGAATTTTTCCATATTTGAAGAAGAGATCCTCAATGTCCCTCTCCTGCACGTCCATGGGAAGGTTCCCCACATAGATCCTCCCGTCCGCCATAGTTTAAACAGGCCTAATGCAAACTGAATGGACCTGCAGCCTTCGAGGAGATTCAGGGCTCCACAAAAGAGTGTTGAATGACAATCCCGATTCTAGTCCGTCCTCCTAAAAGCGTCTTAATTAATTCTCTAAATTCTGAATAGAGCAGCAGCAGAAGTAGTACATGATGAGCTTTAGCAACACACCATAGGACCTCTTCAAGATCTTGCCAGACTCTGAAAACTTAAAAACACAGGATAATCAATAAGTTTTTTTGTCCATGAAGAAGATTATCACATTTCTGTAGAAATGAATAATGCCAGGAATCGCAATGCTCCTTCCAGGAGAAGCCTATCTGCCTCTGTATTTGCAGAAAATCTATAGTATGAACATTTACATAATTTTAAAACTATTTAGCATAAAACATAACACTTCTGTTCCACACTTTGTCAGTGTGTCACTGTCTACATTTAGACAACTGAGGGGACTGCTCTAAGCAGATGTGATTGTATTTGTGGGTTTAGACATGTTACTCCCATGTGAATGTTCACAGAAAAGGAAAAGTATGTATTTGAATTGGAGTCAACTGGCTGCTGATAAGATTTAAATGAGTATATTAAAACACAGGGGCTTGCAATAAGGTAGAAGTATAATACCACAGCACTTGAAGACATTTTCACATGATGGAGAAGGAAAAAAGCCCCAGTGGTACAACATTTAAAAAATACTACCAAAAACTTTGAGTATAATGACTTTTTGTTCAATGCTTACCACACTGTGCTACAGTAAATCCAGTTAAAAGGGACTAATTAAGCTGTAATGAAACACACAGACGGTCAGCATCCTTTAAGTGCTGACAATGTCTATGATATGCTCCCAAAAGCTCCCCAGATATGTGATGTGTTAGCAGATATGGTATTTTCAAAACAGGACCCTCAGGTCACCTAAAATCAGCACTAAACAAATTTGCCACATTGAGATAAAAGATTAAAAGAGGTAAAAAAAGGACATTTTCACACTGACACCCCATTCAAAATATGTGATGTGTTAGAACATAAACAGATATGGTATTTTAATCTAAAAACTAAATGAAGTCTTAATTTATCCACATTTCGGTCTGTCAAACAGGACGCTCGGGTCACCTAAAATCAGCAAGGTGCCAAAGGCAAGGCAAGAGCAGAGGTCAGGGCTGTGCGATTCATGCTGGGACACAAATCGCTGCAATTTAGATTCCTATAGTTAGCTAACTAAATTAAATGCCAAACAGATATAAAGTTCAAATTCTGTGCTTGCATTTATTATTATGACAGTCAATCTGCTACTAAAATACAAGGAGACAGTAATAGCAACAGCTAGCAAAATGTGTCAGATAACTACCAATGCCTGTTACAAATGTACAGCATGTGAATGTGACTTTTTCAAGAAATGAACTGGATCTTTTTTTTGATCACATTTGTAACCTACATGTACATTGAGCCGACTGGATAACGGCTCCATCACTCCCTTCCTTGATGATTAAAACGAAACTGAAGTCGGCTTCTTGTTCGAATTGTCCCGTTCCACCTTAAATGGTGCAGCAGTTCCATTCTGGCTTCAGGCGCCACAATGTAACTGCTGCACCAGTTAAGGTGGAACGGGACAATTCGAATAGGAAGCTGACTTCAAACTCACACAGTGAAGCTAGACAGCTGCGTCAGTTAGCGACAATTTAGCTAGCATTAACTACAATAGCAAATGACAAGGTCAATAAGCCACTGTTTAACAAATAACGGCATTATTATGTTATTTAAAATCCCATGTTTTACTCCAACGAAGAAGCCAATGTGTCGCCTAAAGCTACATTAGCTAGCTGGGAAGCTGCGCTCACTGCTAGCTTTCTCTTTGTTAGGACAATACTGCTAGCCTAGCCTAGCTTAGCTGACCAGTATACTCATTTTGTTCGTGTAGAAGAGGGTTAAACACTCTACAGCTGCATGTGTCTGACTATTTTTGTGCCCTTTCGTGTATAAAATGTGCACAAAGCTGTGAAGAGTCAAAGGAAGACGTACCTGTCTGTAAACAGAAGCTGCTGTTAGCCGCGCTAAAGCTAATCGACCTCCCCGCCGCTTCCTCCCGACCAGGAAGTGAGTGCTGCCTGTAGGCCCCGCCCACTGCGCCCCTCCCTCCCTCATTGCCAAGCGGGAAATAAAATAAAACGCATCTCACAATTTTACATGTTAAAGAGGAATTAAAGTCTTTTTTTTTAATTTTCAATATAATTAAATGGTTAAGAAGCAGACAAAGTCAGTCAGATTGGCTTGATGTGAAATGCTCAGTTCTAGACAAACTCAGAGTCAGAATCGTTCGTAATGGTGATGATAGGAACCAGACGTCCAAAGAGTTTAATCTCTCTAAAACAGGGGGTCGCCAGTCTTATCCAAAAAGAGGGCTGGTGTGGCTGCAGGCCTTCTTTCATGCCAAGCAGAAGCACACCTGATTCACCTATTTAATCAGTTTATCTCAGTCATCCGCAAGTGAAAGTTAAATGAGGCGTGTTTTGCTTGGTTAGAATGAAAACCTGAACCCACGCTGTCACTATGTTTATTAAATTGGTGACCCCTGCTCTTGTTTTTCACGATACTTTTGAGATAAGGTTTTGACCTTGAACATCATTTTTAAAAGTGCACCCATAGCGGAAAGGTACTTCAGGGCACTGTAAGGCAAAAAAATCTATTATTTTGTTGTTATTTGGTAGTATTTTGTTTTCTTATTATAGATATACAGAATATCATTTATACATTTATTTAAAAATATGTATGTGTTCTACATTCAAAACTTACTGATTTATGTTATGTATAATATGAATAATATATGATGAATATATATTATATATTATGAATATTATATTATGAATATTATATTATGAATACATATTATGAATGTAGGTTCTGCCTATCATATAAAATTTAACATTTGGAATATCTGCACAATGAAACAAACACATTTTATACATATTTTAATGGTATTTTCATGAAATTTCAATTTTTATTATATTTACAAAATGTCTCTTACACATTTATAATGACAATTATGAACTGGCAGCAGTAACTTCCTTTAAGTAAACTTATTTATTTATATCACATACTGCTTCTGCAAATCAAAGTATATTTAAAATATTTAACATATCTGCCTATAAAATGTGTATATATGACCACATTTTTATGAGTATGCATACATATTTTAAGCATATTTTAATTTGGTTATATTTACAAAATTTCTTTTATAAATGTTACATACATGTATGTAGCTGGTAACAATAACCTCTGTAGTGTATGTGTGTGTGATATGTATGCAAAACAGTTATGAACAGCTATGTCATACATTTAAATATATATTCTGCATTCCACACTTGGTGGAACATCTCACAACTAATCAGATTAATTGGTAACAGGTCAGTAACATAATTGAGTATAAAAAGAGCATCTCAGAGAGGCTATATTATGAGTCTTTCAGAAGCAAAGATGTCTATGAAAAAACTGCACAGGCAAACAATTCAACAATAACATTTCTCAGCATAAAATTGTGAAGAACTTGGTGATTTCATCATCAATGGTAAACAATATCATTCAAAGATTCAGAGAATCTGGAGAAATCTCTGTACGCAAAGGACAAGGCTAAAAACTCATATCCACGATGGCCCTCAGACAGCACTGCATTAAAAACAGACATGATTCTGTAGTGGAAATCACTGCATGGGCTCAGGAACACTTCCGAAAACCACTGTTCGTGAACAAAACTTGCTGTTGCATGCACAAATGCAAGTTAAAACTCTAAAATGCAAAGAAGAAACTATATATATATATACACACAGAATCCAGAAACGCCGCCCTCTTCTCTGGGCCTGAGCTCATTTAAGATGGACTGAGGCGAAATGGAAAAATGTCCTGTGGTCCAATGAATCAAAATTCTAAATTCTTTTTGGGAATCATGAACACTGTGTCCTCCAGGCTAAAGAGGAGATGGATCTGGCTTATCAGTGCACAGTTCAAAAGCCAGCATCCGTGATGGTATGGAGGTGTATTAATGCACATGGCATGGGTCACTTGCACATCTGTGAGCCATTAACATTGAACAAAACATACAGGTTTTGGAGCAGCACATGCTGCCATCCAAATGACGTCTTTTTCAGGGAAGGCCTTGCTTATTTCAGGAAGACAATGCCAAACCACATTCTGCACGTATTACAGCAGCATGGCTCCGTAGTAAGAGAGTCCGGGTGCTAAACTGGCCTGCCTGCAGTCCAGACCTGTCACCCTCTGAAAACATTTGCCACATTATGAAAAAAAAAATACAACAAAGGAGACCCCGAACTGTTGAGCAGCTAAAATCCTATATCAAAGAAGAATGCGGAAACATTTCACTTTCAGAACTACAGCATTTGGTCTCCTCAGTTCCCAAATGCTTACAGAGTGTTAATAAAAGAAGAGGTGATGCAACACAGTGGTGAACATGCCCCCATCCCAACTTTTTTGAATCATCTTGCTGGAAACAAATTCTAAATGAACATATATTTTTCAAAAAACAATAAAAATTTCTCAGTTTCAACATTTGATATGTTGTCTTTGTACTATGTCCAGTAAAATACACTATATTGCCAAAAGTATTCACTCACCCATCCAAATCATTGAATTCAGGTGTTCCAATCACTTCCATGGCTACAGGTGTATAAAACCAAGCACCTAGGCCTGCAGACTGCTTTTACAGACATTAGTGAAAGAATGGTCGCTCTCAGGAGCTCAGTGAATTCCAGCGTGGTACAGTGATAGGATGCCACCTGTGCAACAAGTCCAGTCGTGAAATTTCCTCACTACTAAATATTCCACAGTCAACTGTCAGTGGTATTATAACAAAGTGGAAGCGACTGGGAACGACAGCAACTCAGCCACGAAGTGGTAGTCCACGTAAAATGACAGAGCGGGGTCAGCGGATGCTGAGGCGCATAGTGCGCAGAGGTCTCCAACTTTCTGCAGAGTCAATCGCTACAGACCTCCAAACTTCATATGGCCTTCAGATTAGCTCAAGAACAGTATAGAGAACTTCATGGAATGGGTTTCCATGGCCGAGCAGCTGCATCCAAGCCTTACATCACCAAGTGCAATGCAAAGCATTGAATACAGTGGTGTAAAGCGCCGCCACTGGACTCTAGAGCAGTGGAGACGTGTTCTCTGGAGTGATGAATCATGCTTCTCCGTCTGGCAATCCGATAGATGAGTCTGGGTTTGGCGGTTGCCAGGAGACGGTACTTGTCTGACTGCATTGTGCCAAGTGTAAAGTTTGGTGGAGGGAGGATTACGGTGTGGGGTTGTTTTTCAGGAGTTGGGCTCGGCCCCTTAGTTCCAGTGAAAGGAACTCTTAATGCGTCAGCAGACCAAGGGATTTTAGACAATTTCATGCTCCCAACTTTGTGGGAACAGTTTGGGGAGTTTGGCCCTTTCCTGTTCCAACATGACTGCGCACCAGTGCACAAAGCAAGGTCCATAAAGACATGATGAGTGAGTTTGGTGTGGAAGAACTGGTCTCGCCTGCACAGAGTCCTGACCTCAACCCGATAGAACACCTTTGGGATGAATTAGAGCGGAGACTGTGAGCCAGGCCTTTTCGTACAACATCAGTGTCTGACCTCACAAATGCGCTTCTGGAAGAATGGTCAAAAATTCCCATAAACACAAACCTTGTGGCATGCCTTCCCAGAAGAGTTAAAGCTGTTATAGCTGCAAAGGGTGGGCCGACATCATATTAAACCCTATGGATTAAGAATGGGATGTCACTCAAGTTCACATGCGTGTGAAGGCAGACGAGCGAATACGTTTGGCAATACAGTGTATGTATTGTTTCAATGATTTGCATATCATTGCCTTCTGTTTTTATTTTCCACAGTATCCCAACTTTTTTTGGAAAAGGGGTAATATGTAGAAAATTATAAATATTGCGTTTGTGTTATTTTATTTTAATAGTAAAATCACTAAATATTTCCTGAGTAATACCATTGACAACATTTTTGAGAAACTTGAAACTGTCAGTATGCTAGCCAGATTCCTAAGAAATATAAAAAGATATTTCAGTAACCGTGGACTTCTCAGAGTTAGTCCTTCCTGTTTTTTTAAATGACATTTTATGTTTTGGTAACACCACTGGCAAAAACAATCTTGGGAAAAGATTTATAAGTAAAATAAAAATAAAATAAAACAAGCATTAAAGTTGCCGTTTCACATAAACATAATGTGTGAAGTCACTGCTTTATTTTTGCGTGAATCACTGAAATAAAAAAGTTCGTAAAGTTTTATAAGTAATGTCTTACAAAATAGAATATGCATCTTATCTGTGTTTAATACATCAAGTCTACTTTCGTGTTGTTGGGCATGGGTCATCATTACCACTTCAGTGAAAACAGAGCTGGCTCTCAGTGAAGTAGCTCCGCCTGTTGTAGTGTAAACGCACGCATGTTCACACAAACACCCTTTCACAGAGAGAGAAAGAGAGAGTCACATGCCACAGAACAGGTTCTTTGAATGTACCAGGCAGGCTGACTTCTAAACTTGGTAGCGGCTACCGTGTGATGCAGGTGCAGCGTGACCAGGTCTCTTGCCTTAAGTATAGTCACTTCACACCAGAATGCTGGAATGGTGAAAAAGTGAGCTTTTCAGTGAGCTTCTGAAGGATCTTATTAGCACAGTGTCATCTCTGATTCAGCTGATTCTGTGAGCTGCCAGTTAAATAAGGTAGGAGGCTTAAAGAACTAATAAACTGTATAACTATATGACTTTCTAACTATGTATGGCCGCTGTCAACTAGATATAACTTTATAGAATATAACTTTATAGAATTATATATATATATATATATAAGTATATGTATATATATATACATATATATATATATATATATATATATATATATATATATATATATGTGGTTTTATATATATATAGAAACAGTATTATGCAAATGTTCTAGACAGTTCTTATACAAAATTATTATATTTGAAAAGCTACTTAAATGGACAGTAAGCATTTATTTGCTCAGAATAACACTAATATTAGAATTAATACTAATAACGTTAATAAAATAAGCAGTTGTAGTCCAATATTAACTGTCAAAAAGAGATTTCCAGGATAACAAAAACATTTTTATAATTTTTAATGTAAGTTAATGTAACCAAATCGTTGTAATTTAACAATTCTAAACATTGGCACCAACAATTTATGGAGTTTATAAAAAGCAAAAACACACCTACAGCTTTGGTTTTAAAAATATTTGCTCATTTGCTTAAGACTTATGCACAGCAACATCACCTGCATATATTGTTGGTATAGTGCTGTCAATTGAGTGTGGAGACATACCATGTATTCCTGCGTATACACACACACACACACACATATACACAAATATATACAAATTCCATATTTAACCCCTTAAATGTCCAGGGTCTGCCAGCGGGCCCAAAGTTTTATTATACACTTCTACTAAAAACAGCTCAATCAGTTTGCATTGAAGTCTCTGAAGTAACTGAATAATAAGCCTGGGATTTTAAGGGGTTAAGTCTGTTCTCTGTAGAGGACTTGAACTTATAATTAACTTACGTTAATTAACTTAAAATCGCTACTTATTGTATTAGTTGTTTGTATTATTTATCTATTATTTCATACTATATTCATGTATATGAACAGATTTGAAAAGAATAACAGCTGACATGTAATTCACTTTCTCACTTCTTTCTCTGATAAAGGTGATATTAATCATAATATAGCATTGACATATCGTGTATGTGTAAAGCTTTTTCCCAACTTTTCCCAACATCGTACAGTACTGTGCAAAAAGACTCCTATGCACACTGTTTAACCATTTATCTTGGCAATGAGTGTGTTTTTGCTTGAAAACATCAAATCATAATATATCATGAGAATAACCGACAGAAACATAAACACAGTAACAAGTAACAAGATTTCTTAGTTTCTAAAAAGTAGGTGATGTTTTGTGCTCGAGTTTGAAGAACAAGTTTAGTTCCAGATTTCTCCTGGACGCCGTCAGCCAATGCATGAATTGGCTAAATTCTAGCAAAGTTAGTTATATTTATTATAATATTGTGTTTTTCTGAGCAAACAGTTACCAGTGACCAGACAAACAGCTTTAAAAATGTAATTTTCTGCCTTAAACTTAGTTTGAAGTGGTAGTGGTTGAAATCTTCCTCTATGAAATGAAATAAAAAAGACCATTACTTCATTAAAAGGCTACTAGCGCTGCTCTGGCTATGACCCTGCCTGCTCTGGCTATGAGTCTGCAGTGGTAGCAGAGGAGAGTAAAGTTCAGCAACCTCACTGCTCGGCTTTAGTTAAATTCATGTGCTTTCAGAGAGGGGGATACAACAATTATTTATTATCACCCACCCCTAATTCTTCGGTGATGTGAAGCTGAAGTCAGCTATTCGCCAGCTTCTTGTTCGAGTTTTCCCGTTCCGCCTTAAATGGTACAGCAGTTCTGATGCCTGAGATGCCATAATGTAACTGCTGCACCATTTAAGGTGGAACAGGAAATTTAGCTACATAGCTACTGAGACAACAGCATACTGATAGCTTTTTATGCTTTTTATGAAGAAAATGACCATAATACATCGAAACAACATTAAACTAAGATAATACAATGGTTATCGTAATTTTTTATAGAGAAAATACTTACATTTGTGGGTTTCTTTGGTTGCCTGCGCAGCTTCGCCCTACCCCACTATCTCAACCAAAATCGGGAAACCCTACCCCTAGGCGTGAACACGCAAAACGGAGGGGTAAGGGCTAAGTGGTAGGGAAAAGGGTGAAATGGGATTGGGCCTTAGTCTTGAGTGGCCAACAAAATTGTTTTAAACTATTTATCTAAGCACCAACTGTGTTTTAGAATAAATTCAACAAAATAAACACATTAAAACATAACATGACTATGTTTTTTTTATATTTTTTAAAAACATTTTTAATATGTTAGAAGAATACAGTTAGAAGAGCACAGGTTTGGTTCCTGACTTCCTGCTGCACTCCAGCAATTGCACAAATGGTTTGTGCAATTTCTATTCAACATATTGAAAAAAAACGTGCCATAACTTTAGCACAAACCACATTTTCTTTTTTTCCCCAATATGTTAAATTCAGCAAATGAGCAGCAGTTGTGCATTAAAGTGTGTTCTCTGCAGCTGACAACCTTACTTATTTACACTCAACAAAATGTAATTTGACTAGGGGCGCCCAAGGTTTGCATACGGCTGTGTCATGACTGGCTCAACATCATGACAAATGTAAGGATCTGGTGCAAACATCTCAAGGACAAAAACTGTAGACCAAAATAACTCCAAAATAAGAAAATAAACTAAAGCATAATGCCCAAAAGAACAAAAGAAAACAGGCCCAAAAAACCAAACTGCCCAGGACACAGAAACAAAAGAACAAAAGAGAAGCCCCCTCGCCACAAGCACATCACACCAGTGTAAGTAGTGTTCTTGATGAGGCCTTCAGCCCCACCCACTACAGCTCCACCTGTAATGGCACAGGCCCGTCATACACCACCCCCTTAAAAAAAACAAACAAACCAACAAACAAAAACAGGACAAGAAGAAGAACAGGTCCAACAGCTCTGATCGCGCGACGTCATATCCCTGTCGATCCATCCCGAACCGCTCAGCCTCCCCAGTCACCAGTGCCCACCAACTTTGGCACCTAGGAAGCAAATTTTTTTTTTTTGGCTTTTAACCCAATTATCTACCCAATTTAGTCGTTGCCAATTCCACCCGCTAGTTAGGACTCCCCCAATCACACAATACTATCAACGCTAGGAGGGCAAAGGCTAACACCGGCTTCCTCCGAGACGCTACTGCTTCTTTTCGAACTGCCACTCACGCAACGTCACTGGACAGCCGAACGCGCTCGGAGGAAAGCGCCAACCGCCAGATCTGTTACATCAGCTAACAGACGCCTGCGCTGACTAGCATCGCGTTAAGTGAAGGGGGGAGAAGGAAGGGCCATCCTACCCACCCAGAGAGAGCGAGGCCAATTGTGCCCTCTTGGACTCCAGGGTATGGATGGCTGTAGCGTCACCTGGGATCGAACTTGCGATCTCCTGATGATAGGGCCAACGCTTAGATGGGACGCCACACGGGAGCCCCCAGAATCAATTTTAAGGCAGAAACTGATGGGAAGAGGTAGCAGAAGAGAAACAGAAAACACTGGACAAAAACAAAGCAGCAACCAAAAATTAGGTATTCACTATTAGGGCCACGTGACAAGGCATCAGCAATTATATTATCAGTACCCTTAATATGCCAGATGTCCAAGTGGTACCCCTGCAAAAACAGACACCACCTCATCAACTGCTGGTTTGGGTTCTGTAAAGAATGCAGAAAAGTAAGAGGATTGTGATCTGTATACACTACCAAGGGACGACCAGAACCCACATAGACCTCAAAATGTTTGAATGCTCAAATCAATGCCAAAGCCTCTTTCTCTATTAGGGAATAATTCAACTGGTAGGAATTGAATTTCCTGGAAAAGAAACCCACCGGAGGATCTATGCCATGCTCAGAAACCTGCAACAAAATGATTCCCACACATTGCTAGCATCAACCTGCAATTTAAAACACTGATCCAATTGGGGTCCAGCTAAGGAGTGACTTCAACTCCTCAAAAGATTGCTGACAGGATGGAGTCCAGTCAAACATTGATATCATGCTTAATAAGATTCATACAAGTGGGGGTATCTGGAAACAGTGACCCATATTCGCTGATCAGTTTAATCAAATCTGAACGCTGCAAGGCAGGCAAATGCCCAAGCATGCTATCCAAATTATGCAAAGCTTCCGAATTTTTTAACTGGCCCAGCAAAACACAATCACCAGGGTCAAACTCATCAGCAGGTTCTGAAATGGGAAAAACAGAAGGATGAGATGGCTCTTCAGCAGAACTGGCATCAGCCAAAAGTACACGTTTAACATCAACTTGTACTTTGTCATTTAACACCTCTGACTTTTCTGCATGAGACTCACGGCCATAATAGGGCTTTAACATGACAGATTCTAGTTGACTTCTTTCTGTCTGGTTTCTCCAACAAATAGTTAAGATCAGACGTCTGCCTCTCCACAGTATACAGACCAGAAAATTTGGCCTGAAATGGAGAGCCAACAACAGGCAACAGAGCAAGTACTTGGTCACCTGGCTGAAATACACAAACCTCTGATCTGCGAGCAAAGAGACGCTTCATCTTATCCTGAGAATGGCTGAGCTTTTCTTTAGCAAATTGACCAGCCTCATAGAGACACCTTTGAAAGTCACTAACATAACCTAAAACATTTTTAGGTGGCTCTGCCATTTTTAAATCGTCAGTCAGTAGTGACAATGGACTCCGCACACAATGTGCAAACACAAGTTGATTAGGACTAAATCCCAAACTTTCCTGTGATGCCTCTTTAGCAGCCAACAATAACCACAGCAACCTTGATTCCTAGTCCCCTTGCATTTGAACACAGTAAGCACATAGCAAAGACTTGAGCATCTGATGGAACCTTTTTTAAGGCTCCCTGGCTCTGGGTATGGTATGCAGTAGCCTGGTTTCACATGGAGATGTTTTAATACCTGGCTAAACAAACTAGAAGTAAAATTAGACCCTTGGTCAGACTGAATGACTCGAGGGATTCCAAAAACTGAGATGAACTGAGTCAAAGCTTTAACCACAGACTTTGCAGTAATAGAAC